TGAATCACTTTTATAATTATCAGCTTTGACCCGAAAATCTTAATAAAAATAGAACTTGACTTAAATCTTTTTATAATTAAAAATCAATGTCACGTAAACTTTCTTTTTTAATTCACTTTTACATATTTGTTCATTCATTAAACTGCGTTTAACTTATCCATGACATTTTTACATTTGACCGGATGTTTTCCCCTTTGCATTGGATCACATCCCTTGTAATCAGGTGGGCTAGCCTTATAGCCGGGGTTCACTCCAAAATCAATATCACGCAACTCATGCAGAACATCAGCAATCCGATCGTATTCTTTTAACATACTGAGCTTTCCTATAGAGTCCCACGCTCGCATGTAAGCATCAAATCTGCTATATGGCGGATAGATTGAAGATAGAACACATTTAGTCATAAAAATCGAGATTAACATCTACAAAAAACCTTTTATAAATATCTAGTAGAATAAATATTTAAGTTAATAATTACGCAGATAATTCCGAGTCTCATTTTTATTTCCCTCTAAACTAAACTCGAAAGTGATAATTTCAACTGATCTACACACAATTCAACTTGAACTCCAACTGAGTAATTTCATCAACACAAACATCAAGCGGTGATTTCAATAATGATGATAATTTTTTTTGCTACTTTTTTCTTCAAAAATGATTGACTTAAATTGTTGCCGTTATGAATTGATTAGTTAAAATGTTCCACAAAGTCGCATAAAAACATGAAGAAGTTTAATTAGTTTAAATTTTTTTAAATGTTGAGTGACGATAATGAAACAAACACGTTTGCAAAACACAAGATCGTCACTTCTCTCTGAAGTTTAATAAATAATTAAAAAATATTTCTGTTCATACAATGTTTCTAACACTTGCTTACATTCACTTCAATTTCATTATAAAATTCGAATGAAAACGATCTCTGGCATTATAAGAGATATTTATTGCTACAAAACTAATGGCAAAATGAAACAAATCTTATCAATAACTTTCTAATTTATCATTTTCTATTTTCATCTTCGTCTTACACTTGAACAACTGCAATGTAAATTTTCATAAATTGGCTTGATCTGGTGATGATAATTTTTCCACTTGGATAATTTTATTGCAGTGAAATCATAGTATGAAGTCTTATTTCTAATGAAGAATAATTTAATTAAAAAAATTGTTCTATTTAACATTTTTTGATTGACAATGAAATTATCTACAAGAAAAACAATTCATATGAAAATTAACAACTTTAAGTCACTTTCAATCAATAAATAGCATTAATTAAATTTATGTCTAAGAAAGACTTGAATCTTTGCTCGCATCGAAAGGCTTGTCGGTAACTGTCCAAGCTTCTCTCACTTTAAAGTCCAGTCCACGTAAACGTCGGAGAACATTCAATTCAAGATGGTCATGCTGCTTTAATCTTTTCCTCGTTTGCTCGGGAAATGCACTCCAATATGGATTCGTGGAATGTTTGAAGTCAGGATATTTGTAAGCTGAAAACTCTTCACTCTCGTCACTTTCGTTGTCTTTTATTGGATTAGGGGGAGCAGTTGAAGGTTGAAGAAAGATGAGGATGAGTACGAAAGTAATCTGCAAATGTAAATAAACACAAAAGAATCTTTTAGGTTGTGGTTTTATCAACTTTATTATTAAGCATTGATTCACATTCAAAAATTATTTAATTGTAAAGTTAGCTAGAACTATAATTGACATCTTTGGATTCATAATATTTGGACAATTCAAACGAATTTATTGTACTACTATCTTCATAATAGCTTTCTGAATCATTGAATGCTTTATGGAAAGGCAAGCCTTCCCAATCCACAGTATTCCGTGGATTTAATCTCATCAACGTTTCTTTTAATCTCTCATGTTCTTCTATTATTTGTCGATGATAAAATTTCAAAGTGTCAAAATATGGATCAATCTTTAGAGAATACTTTCTTGACGGATCTTCCATGTCTTGCAGCTCAGGGTTATCAACCACAGAAACCATTAAAATTAATGTCATTTCCAACTGTGAATGATTAAAATAACGAGCATTACAATTTAATTTTGTTGTTGAAACCTTGTACGAAACTCGCAATGCTTGTTGCTATTTTCATCAATCAATTAAATTTTTAAGCCACAAAATGAATTGATAAAGATTCTCAATAATTTTTGTATGCTTACAAAGTTATAAAAATGAGCAGATAACATTTCATTGATGTCTTGTGTATAAAAATGAATCACTTTGTTGTAAGCAATGTTTAAAAATAGAAAATGAAATAAAAATCTTCACAGATTTTTGTTATTTCGCAAGATTTTGCAACATTCCGGTCATTGTCTATTTCTGCAATAATTTTGATAACATTTCAACAATACAATGTTACTATGTAAAATTTATTTCAAAAAAATGTGTTTATCTTTCCACTACAATCATTGTTGTTAGTTAAATAAATATCCAGACTAAACACAGAGACTCAACATACGCTACACAATTTCATTTTCAAACTAGTCACTCATTTACCCAAAAAAAATTTGTTTGAAATTTAAATAAGTTTTGGTGAAACATTTCCGATCGAATGAAACTAAAAAAGTTTTTATTTAACTTTTTTAATGCTTTTTGTATTCAACACAGCGTGAAATTAAGGCCATTAAATTTAGTGAATTTAAACAGTAATTAAATGATCAATTCTTACCCAAAACATTTGATTCACTTTCATCTTCGATTTAATTTCAAGGATGATGTGGAGACGTACGAAAAAAACTTTTTTTCGATATTTAATTAATTATTTATCGCAATTACAATGTGCTTTTGGAAACTTACAATACACTTGACTGTTTTAGAAATTGATGAATGTTTGCTGAGAACACATTTTCGTATACTGAACACGTTTGATAAAACTTCTCAAATCTCATTTATTTGCATTTCAACAAATATTAAGAAATTGTCATTCTTTTGGGGCATTTGAATCTATAAAACCAATAAGCTGTGGTTCAATTTAATTCCTTTAATATTTATTAATTATTGCCTCAATCTCTAAAATGTATTTTGTCACCGTCATTAAAAGCTGCGAAATAACGTGAAAACAAATCACTTTCCCCTACAAGCACACCTTTGTTTATCACATAACTAAAACAGTAACTTGAAGCTAACAAAATAAGTGTGAACGCTGAAAATGTTACCTACGGAATGAATGTTAAAATAAAATCTTAACAGCTTGCCTTATCAAATTACTCACAAAACTCGGTGATAACCACATCGCGTCTCGGCGTTTAGAGAGTTTGTGTTGTATAAGTAAATTTTTCAACATTAGAAATAACAAAAAATAAGAACTTTTATCGTGTCAGCTGCATCTAAGTAAAATAAAAGTTAAAGATATTAGAAATATTTTGACAGATGGCATATTTAACACTCATGACCAAATTTTTATTTTATTAATACAGTGCAAGCGCGATTAGCGAAATTCCCTTGAGCGTAAAAGCTCGATAAATTTCGACACACTCACATTTTCGAACAATTTTCGTTCGTTGAACGAAAAAGTTCGTTGAAAGCATACATAGCTCCGTAATGAGCACGAGAGTTTATATTAAAATCGCGCTCGTTGTAAGTAAATGACAAAAAAAGCAGTTTTCAACGCGTTCATAGTGTTTCTTCATAAGAATAATATATATGAGAGACGCGTAAAATACAAATGCAACAAATTTATAAAAAAAACTCTAAATACAAAAAAAAATAATAGTAATAAAATTGAAAAATACCGGTGAAAGCCGTTCAAATCTTGGAGAAAAATGTGTCAAAGTTCTTAAGGATGCATTATCTTTGATGTATATTGAAATGCATCGCTAGGTTGACAACGAGTTTTCCATCAAAATTTTTGAAAAAGTTCGTTCAGGGAAAAAGCTCGTTAATTGTGACTCCCTTCGGTTTTCGCTAATCGCGCTTGCACTGTAAGATAATTTATTCAACGATTGGTACCTACTTGTTGTATTTTGTTTCAAGAAAAATTGAGAGGAGAACAACACAAACAACACTTTTTGAGAGAAGAATGTTGAGCAATGGTATGCCTCACACAGGTTTATCGTTCGCTAATGAAATAACGAACAGTGACAAAAAAAATATTTGATTGGTTTGAGTATCGATGACGCAATTTTAATTTTCGTTTTCGATTTCAATCTGGTTTAATTTTAATCTTGAATCGCAAAGCTTAAACAAAGCTTTAATAGAAACTTTGAGCTTTTCTGTATGAAAATGAAGCTTTCAAATTAACTGATCTGAATATTTCTTTCAATTTAAGTGATGAGTTTGAACTAGATATTTTAAAATTTTACAAAATATTAAATGCAAAATTAAATGAAAGGAAATCAGACATTCAAAATTGCTGAGATTTTAAAGATTATTTGAATTCAAAAAAAGTGTTCTCATTATTTAATTTGCTGATGAATCCATTTTTTGTTATGTTAACTTTATTACCAGAACAATTTTTTAAAATATGTCAATTTAGTTCCAGTGTCAGCAGGAATTTGGACAGTTAGAAAACATATGCAAAATTTTCTAGAATTCCATTTAATCTTGTTCTAAATTTTATCATAATAATTATAAAAGTTTTAGAATATGAAGCTTAACGTCAATTCAACAATAAAAACNNNNTCTAAAATTAAGTTCTTCAAAAAACAAAACGCTCATGAATAAGTTGATTGATTTTTATTGTTTATGGACATTTCAAAAACAATGCTTGCAGGTCATAAAATTTGTCGAATTTATTCTTTTCTTTTACATTTACGTAAATGAATTATTATAATATTCTTGTGGTTCTTTTTTAACATTTTTCAAATCAGAAATGTTTTCACTATTTCATTATTTTTAAACAGCAATTAAATTATTAATAATTACCTACCCAAGATAATAATATTTTTTTCATCTTCGGTGTTGTCTCAGGAATGATATGGAGACGTGTGTTATCAAACGATCTTCTCAATATGCTTAATTTCTCTTCGTACTTTCAACGTGGCTTTGGAAACAGCAATACAATTGTATTTATTCCTCTATTGAAATATTGTCTACAGTTTCAAGACGTTACACTTGTAATTTATTATTTTCAGATCTCATTTATTGGCGTTTCAATTTATTCAAACATAGACTTATTATCCTACTTCCTATATTGTTACAAAAGACTTGATTGATCAGTCTTGAGAGGAAGAATCTGAACCAATTCCTGTCAAAACTACCACATTCCAGTCAATCATTTTAAAGTGCATTAATTGTTGCCTTAATCTCTCGTATTCTCTCATCTTCTTTTTGTAATCTTCACTAAAAGCTGCGAAATAAGGTGAGAAGGATTTGCTTTCCCCTACAAGCACACTTTTGTCTCTTATCACATAACTAAAACAGTAATTTGAAGCTAACAAAATAAGTGCGAACGCCGAAAAAGCTACCTACGAATTAATTATCAAAATAAAAGTTAGTAATGTTATAATATTGCATTAACAGCTAGTCTTATAAAATAACTCACAAAATTTGAAGATAACCACATCGCGTCACGGCGTTTAAAGCATTTGTATAAAACAAAATTTATTCAAAGTTCTTTCAAGTAATTACTGATAATTTATTTTATCATCTGCCACTAAATAGAATAGTTTTAATGGTATTGACCGAAGGTGAAAACGTTCAATACATTACTAGATATTTAATTTGGCGAAAAATTAGACTCAACTGTCTGATAGTTGTAGCACTTTGTTTTAAGAAGAATTGAGAAGAGAATAACAAAACGTTTTGAGAGAAGAATGTTGAGCAATGGTATGCCTCACACAGGCTTATCGTTCGCTAATGAAATAGCAGACAGTGACAAAAAAATATTTGATTGGTTTGTGTTTTATCGCTGACGCAATTTCAATTTTTGTTTTCGATTTCATTGTGCTTTGATTGTTAATCTTGACTTACAAAGCTTTTACATGAGCTTTGAGCTTTAGTATTAACTTTGAGCTTTCCTGTGTGAAAACGGAGCTTTCAAATTAACTGATCTGAATTTGGTGCATTCTAGTCAGACAAGAGAAAAAGGTCGACTTCTTTAGAATCGGGAAAGATTGCTGCTGACACCTTAGATTTGGTCTGAAGAATGATATGGAAACGTGTAGTATCAAACAATCTTTTCAATGCCTAAGTTTATTTCAATGCACTTTAATCGCAACTTTGCAAACATGCAATAAATATATGTAAACATTGTTAAGAATTGACGGATGTTCACTCAGAATTCAGCTGTTATTTGTCTGCATATTTTTTCCAGTCATTTGTTTTAAGTCATGATGTTTCTCAGATCATTTGCATTGCAAAAATTGCCTTGGAAGTTAATTCAATTAAGTAATCTGGTTTGCATGAGATGGTTTTACGTTCATAAGTACCGTTATCTTCGTTTACAGATGAAGAAGAATTTTTAATGAAATTTCATTACAAAAATTTAACTGACAATATTTGAGAAATATTATTTGAATTCAAATTAAAACGTTTTACAATCACTGATGTGGTTCTCAAACTGTTTATATTATCTTCAATGACTTCTGAACTTTTCTCTAATCTTCTAAGATTCTCAAAGTTTATATTTCAACTCGAAAGTAAAAACAGAAAAAAAAAGAATGAAGGGTTTGAAATATTAGAATAAATATTTAAAGTGACGTGAAACATACGCATCTCACTGCAAATTCAATTTTCTCTTTTCTCACGTTCAAGAATTGTTTTTGATGTTTAATGAAAATATAATTTTATGAGAGTTGATCCAATTATTTAGACGACGACGTCTCAGTAGTGGATATTTAATCTTCCAAATTGCAAGATAAATGAACTCTGAAAATGTAAATATAAATTATATTGCTGACGATTCCGCGATCATATATCTCTAAATAATTACTCACTTAACATTGATTCATGTATCAATTAAAACATCAGCAATCGACGACAATTGTTTATTATTTATTCATTAATTTAAACACGCACGTAAGTTTATTAATTATTACATGAGGTGTATGAACTTGATCTTTAAACACTCTTAAAAACAATAAATGATAAAAGGGTGACTTTCAGTTGTCCAGTTGAATTAAATTTAAAGTTAAACTAAACATTCTGGTTTTGTTATAATTTCAATTCCCTGCCCAATCCAAGTGGGTCAAGATGAGGTAGATGCTAATAATGAATGAAGTTGAAAGAAACCATTAGTTTTTTTTATGCAACAAGCAGGTTACTGTCAATTTGAGTAGCCAAAAATTGACATTAATTAAATAAATGTAAAAGAAAAACAAAATTGTGTTAACTTTTAAACATGTTTTATGACTTTGATCGATTTCTTTAATATGACTTAGAAAATTAATTATTTAGACAGTGTCTGAGAAAGCATTAGTCTACATATTGATGAAATTAAATTTATTAACATCTCATCGTGAAAATTAGTTAATTTATCAGTGAATGCATATCGAAAAAGTTTTATTTTCAATGCCCGTGTGAACATGAAATTCAACTCCTAAGTTATCAAAAAGAAAAAAAAAGTTATTCCTTCGAATTCTGCAAAAAGGCCATTTGAAATGTATGCAAATAAGATTTTAGCTCCATTTAAATTATAATATGTTTCTCCGTCAACAACGCCTTTAAATATTTTTTTAATATGTTTTTTTTCCCATTTAGATAGTTAAAAGATCATCTTTAGTTGTAGAAATAAGTTAACAGTATTAAATAAAAGTGAGTAAAAATCAGCTTGAATCAAATTGCTGATGAATTCTTTTTCATTATTTTTTATTACCAGAACACTTTTCAAATATCTACTCCAATTTAACTGCAGCGTCATGAGGAACTCGCCAACCTGATTTTATATTCAACTCTCGGTTTTCATTCGTAAGAATTGGAATTCAGTAATACGTGATAAGCAGGTTAAGAATATCATATGCTGAATTATCTTTGATTAGATGTTTTAAAATTATTCACAAAGTCAGAAATTCATTCAACTAAATTGTTTCGTCAATTTCATTTTTTTTGCTAAAAAAAATTGCTACTTCATAGTGTCACAAGAGTGTCTCTAAGATTTTGTTTCATGAACCAGAGAAAACCTGAATAATCTGAGAACGTGACCAAATTTTGAATATCGAGCGTATTAACATTTTTGAGTGAGAAGAAGCTGTTAGAGAAGAGAGAAGTGAAACATTGAACTGACGATTCTGGGTGATAATAAAAAGATAAAAAGAAGATCTTTCATCTCGAAAAAATTGAAGCAAATCAGTCAACAGATATATTTACTAAATGTAGTGACAACAAGCTTGAAGGTCCCTCTCTTTATGCCTCCAACTCAAACAATAGAGAAAAAAGGCAACTCTTTTTTTTGTGTTGAGACTTGGCAGACGAAGAAAAAACCAAAAGAAATGTTGTCGACTGGTCATTTGTGATCCGCGAGTTGCTTAAACCAGAACGTTTGCATTTGTGATTCCAATGGAGTGGTCAGTTTTATCGAAATAGACTTGAAAATTCTTTAAGATTTTTTGATGATAAAAATATCGTTAATAGTTAAAGAATCAGTGATTTCGTTTTATAAAGTGATCAATAAATAATTAAATAAGGAATAGAAACAAAAAATAAATAAATAAAAGAAATTATTAAAATGTTTGTTAACATGTTTGAAAATGTTGAAAGTTATGTTCAAAGTAGTCTTGTGGTGCAATTTTTTCAAATGATATTCACGCGATTTTCGCCATTAACAGTTCTTTTGACAACGACTGTAACAATTTGGCTTATAAATTATAATCGTAGAAGATCAAGGTTGGTTAGACTAATAGAAAAAGTTCCTGGGCCACCTGCGCTACCATTTGTCGGTGAGTTGAGAGAAAAATCAAAAAATAAAGTAGAAAAATCACAAAAAACTTTCTCAACCTTTGATTCACAGGAAATGCTATTGAAATTAATGTGGAGCCTGATGGTACATATTCACGTGAATTTGTTTTAAGATCCTTCAATTTATTTAACAAGCGTGAATTAAAATAAAAATTAAATGAGATTTCGATTTCATTTCAAACCTGAATTATTTTAATAAAATTCATTCGCTATTCCGGTTCATTCTAAGCGGTGATGGTGATCGTTTGTATAAACAAACACTCGAGACGATACAAACTGTGAAAATCGACTTGTTCAGGGTTATTTCATATCATCGCGATGACGTTAAGAGCTTTGAATTGTTACAGAATAAATTTAGCTCGGAAATTCTTTCTTGCATAAGAAGCAAATCGATTCGATTAGAACAAGAAATTAAATCATGTAGATAGGAAGAAGTTTGAAGGTAAAAACAAATTATTAAATAACAGAAAATATTACGAATAAGTAAAAAAAATACCTCACACTCACCCTTGAATTCGAAAAACCTTTTTTGAGCTGTTTTTTGGAACATAAAAACAAGATTTTCTTTGTAGACTTACTTGCTAATGGTTTAAAGTTCGTGATGTAAATCACATTAAACGCATGGCAGTTTATCGGCGATAAATAAGTTTTTGTTTTGTTTCTTAAGTGTAATCCATAAATATGAAACAAAACCAATAACCGTTGTTGATAAATAAATGTTAAGGACCTGACGTTTCTGAACTTCAAAAACAAAATGTTTTAATTGTATATCTACTAATACTTTGCAAAAAAACTTGTTCAACATGTTTTCTATGACTTTGTTAAGCTAGATACCTTCTTTTCGATCTTGATTGATAAAAATATCGAAAATCTGCTGGAACCAATCTCTAAGGTGTCATGAAAAAATCGTAAAAAAAGCCATGAAAACTATTTGAGATATTCCAAAAAGCTGCGTTTTATTTCTCCCTACGTTCGATGAAATGTTGAGAAATTTCTCTTCTTTTATAGAAATTGACAATGAGAAAACTTTAAATCCAATTCTGGCACATCAAAATCGCTATCTGTACTTGGAAGTTCAAGCTTATCCCTTCGACTTTTCGAAATAAAAATTATTTAAATGAAATTTCCACAAAATAATATTCCACGTATGGAAACTATGATGTAAATAGATTGATGAAGATCATTGTTAAGTTTTTTTATAAGGAAAATATTCCGTTTTATAAACTAAGTTATTATTTTCAAGTTTGGGGTTATAGCAATAAATTGCTAATAAATGGACTTTCAATGCTTGTGTCACTCTCAGAGTCTCGATGAGTTATAATAATTCTCTTCGTTAAAACTTGCACCATCATTCTGTATACTTACATCTTTGAACTCGTTTTCAAATTTAAATATGGGATATTTCCTTAAAGTTAGTCTTAAAACTGGCTACGAAATTTAAAACATCTGAAATTGAAGTTGTTGGGAGAATCTCGTGCACAATATAAATAGTTGAATGAACTCTACGTTGAAGCCTATTTTGTTTACACAACCAATTGTTTTGAGTTTTCAAAATAGAAACACAATCGACGATGTATAATCTTCTGTAATGCCCAACTAAACCCTTAAAGTGTGTCAATAAAAAAATGTCTGGTCGTCTTCTTAAAAACTTCAACTTAAACCTGACCTTTGACAATCGATATCAGGTTTGCACGAAATATTTACACTTGAAATATATAATAAAAGCAAAGTAAATCAAAGTGAATGTTTATCATGATCCCACCAATTCCTTTCAAATCTACTTGCAGCACAACTTGTTTAATTTTGGATGATTCCATAATTATGTGGAGGTTATCAACCTTTCACAATTATTTAATTTGTTATAAAATTAATTGTTGACGAGTTTAACTCGTTTTTCTTTTTTTCTTTCTTTTTTTTAATGTTCATGCAATTTTTGTTTGCGTTTTTACCGAATCATGTCTAATGAATTTGCCCTAGAAAACATTTCATAACGTTTGCGTTCTCAATATGAGTTGTAATTCATGTTGAAGTCAACTTTTTAATTTTTCGGCAACCTCCCCGATGAATCGAATGAAGATTTCAATAACAATTCGTTTTAGCTTACCGTTTAGATAACAATTTCATTTTTAATAAGAACGAGCGCAAAATTAAAACTCTAGCCCGCCATTGATCCATCACCATAAAAACGTCGAAGGTGATGCGATAACAAAATCCCAAAATAATAAAATAAAAAAATTGCGTTTAAACTCATAATCAGTGTCGGCAATAATTCTTTGAAATTCTCGTGCAAGCTTTTTGCGCTACCTTTTATCACTTTTTTTTTCGTCTGTTTTCGTGTATTTTTTTTCTATTTGATTGTTTTGTGACATCATCTGCTTCAATTGGTTTATTTTTTGATATTAATCACAATAAAATTACAAACTGTTAAGTCGAAATAGCTGATCAAAAGAATATTTTTCTATGTGTTGAACAATAAGAACACCGTGAGGGAAATTTTTTGAAACTGGTTCGACATTAAGAATTCCTTTTTGATAAAGAGCAAATCCTCAACTTATTTTAATTCGAAGAACTTCAAACATTGATGATCTAAAGAAAAACATTCGAAGAATCTCAAGTTTATGCTTTCTTTACAACTTGTAAGATTCCAATAAATTTTGTTTATTGACAGGCAGGTTGTTTTAAGTTATGATTAGTTCCGATGTCGTTTAATAAATTAGCATTTAATTAACTGCCTCCAAATCATCTGATTAGCGAGTTCACCAAAGCTAAATTTTGGATTTTAATTCAGCGAATATGCAGATAGCTTGTCGTCTGTAATGCGTCATCGTTTCCGGATTTATAAATTAAAATGAAGAGTATTGGAGAGAATTGTTATCAATAACCAGTTTTTCTCGTAACTTTATAAAGACTGACAAAAAAAAATCTGCTTTTAAGCGTTTTGAAGGACTTTTTACCTGAGAACATCACCGATTGATCTTTTGTCTCGATTTCAGTTTATCAAATTGCAAAATTAACGAAAATTTTTAATGCAGAAATTTTTACACGCTTATGTGGTGGCGGGAAAATATTTAATCATAAAAAAGGGATTTTGAGAGGTTGGAACGGCGATAAGCCTTGGATTATCATTTATAACTACTCATTGGTTGAGGTAATTAAATATTTACAATTTAATTAGTATAGAATGTGTCGGAGTGATAAATTAACAAAATCTTTTTCAACCACTAATTTAACCATATCAGGTTTTTTTGGAAATTTAATTCTGGTATTCTTTGTTGGAGTGTTTGTGTTCTCTTATTAATAAGATATGCTAATGATTGTCTAAAACTACGTAAAGACCTTTTTTAAACTTGTCAATCATTGAAAGAATTTTTAAATTTGCAAAGTCAGTCTCAATCCAAAGAGCGAGTGTCAAAAATTTCTTATTTTTATGGTTTTAAAATCAAAGACAATGAATTAAATATTTAGCGTCATTCAACAAAAGGCGTTCCAATTAACACACAAAAGACAACAGAAACCTATTTTTCATGAAATTTAATTTATGTTTGTCGACAGTTTTCAGTAATTTGACTTTTGTCACTGACGATTATACAACATTTGAGATTTAATCTAGTTTTGTCGGCTTTTCTCTTGACCATTGACGCACTTAAGTAATAATAACAATTTTCACCTAACTGAATAAATTAATTTTTGTTTTTGACTTTAAGAAACCTAAACATTTCGTAACATTAACAATGTCATCATTAGATTGCTTAACTAAGATCTTTAAGACAGGGTTAGTTTGTATAATAGACAGATAATCATCTAGTTTTAAACAACTCTTCCATTATTCTTAATTTGATCTATTTTCTTGATTTTATGTTAATAAATATTTGAGTACTTTGAAAACGTTTTATGTTGATTCATTAGAGGTGTTTGCACGTTTAACTGGCGTCCGCAAACTGTTTGGTCGTCGTCAAGGAATTTCGCGATGCTGGATGTTGTCAGTACCTTATGTTATGATTTCAAAGCCCGAATGCGTTGAGGTAAATCAAATAAATGAAAATGTTTTAATTTAATTATTCGGGTGCATGGAAGTTTTCAATCTTTTTCAGGCTTTCTTTCTTCTACTACTGACAAAAACATGTTAACGAATGTTGACTAAGGTCAATGTTAAACGATGAATTTAAATTTTCTTCGTCTCGCTTCTCTCTTTCTTTACTACTCACATCAATTTTTAACACGTTGTTTCATCTTTTTTATATTTTGTTTGTGTTTTTATGACGACTTGAATGAAAAAAGAAGTCATTTGCATTTGAGGTGTTTGCATTTTTATTTCCTTGAAGAGATAATCTTGTTAAAAAAGGTAATAGAAATCAACGCACTCAAATGATGTTTTTATCGATGCATAATGTAGAAGTCGATCAATTAACTGCAATATCCATAATAACAATCTTAATGAACAAGAAATTTATTAACTAAAATTATTTCTAACGAAATTTAAAATTTTAGCCAATATTAAGCAGTCCCAAACATATCGACAAAAGCTCTGACTACTCGTATCTCCATCCCTGGCTGGGAACAGGCTTACTCACAAGCTTTGGAAGTAAATGGCATTCACGGAGAAAAGTTTGTAGACGATAAACTAAAAGTCAACCAAAGATTTTGTTAATTTTTATTTTGTTTTGCAAAAAATAGATTTTGACACCAGCATTTCATTTCAAGATTCTCGAGGACTTTATCGATATTTTCAATGAACAAAGTTCTATTTTGGTTAGAAAGCTATCAAAAGAAGTGAATAAAGATTCATTTAACATCTTCCCTTATGTGACATTATGCACCTTAGATATAGTTTGTGGTAAATATCCAATAAAAATCCTTTTATGCGATTTGAACTTCTTACGTGACATTAAACTTGAATTTACGATGTGAACATGAGAAAAATCTTTTCCATTTTCAGAATGATAATTGATTTATCTATCCCCCCAATTGAATATTAATTTCCAACATAAAACATAAAGATCAATTAAAATCTCCTTCACCTCTATCAATTTGTCGCTTTTACAAGTTAATAAGAATTAATAATTGTTGATTGATGACCATAAATATTTCTGTAATGAAGAATAAGAAACAAATCAATTAATAAGTAAAGAACCTTCAATAACTCTCGTTTAATTGAGACTAATTTATGTTTGTTCAAGATGTAAACATTCTGATAATTGAACATTAAAATTATTTATTTATTTCTTCCTAAGAAACTGCAATGGGACAAAACATCAAAGCACAGAGCAATAGCGATTCTGACTATGTTAAAGCAGTCTACGAGTGAGTAACTTAACTCATCGATAAATCAAGAATGTAGGTTTCGACACTAAATAAATTCCTAAATCTTTTTAGGATTGGTTCTGTTGTTCAAAAGCGGCAAGCCAGGTTTTGGATGCAATCAGACTTTATTTTTAAGCTGACCGAAGACTACAAAACACATGAGAGATGTTTAAAGATTTTGCACGGTTTCTCATATGGCGTGATTCGTGAGCGTAAAGAACAAATGAAGACAGCAGAATTGTTGAGAAAGAATAAATTTGACCAAAATAATAACAAACTGTCAGTTGACGAAAATGGAAACAATACCGGAATGTTCGATGACGAAGAGAGTTTCGGTAAAAAGAAAAGACTTGCTTTTCTTGATTTGTTGATAACAGCATCAGGAAATGGATCGATTTTGAATGACGAAGACATCCGTGAAGAAGTTGATACGTTTGTAAGTTTCATGGTTTTTTTGTTATGTTGAATTTAAATATCGTAAAAAAAAATTTTCTTTGAAAAGATGTTTGAAGGCCACGACACAACATCAGCAGCAGTTTCGTGGTGTTTATTTTTGATAGGAAGTAATTTAAATATTCAAGAGAAAGCTTTACAAGAAATTGATGAAGTTATGGGGGGCGACCGTGACAGAGCTCCAACAATGAAAGAGTTAAATGAAATGAAATATTTAGAATGTTGCATCAAAGAAGCTTTGAGGCTTTACCCAAGTGTTCCACTTATAGCTCGACATCTTAAAGAAGATGTTATGATTGGTAAGAAGGGTCTTGACTTATTTCCAAGCTATTGACAATCTTAAAAAAATAATTTCACAGATAAATATCTTATCCCAGCTGGTACAACAGCAATGATTGTCACCTATCAACTTCATCGCAATCCAGAGATCTTTAAGAATCCTGAGCGCTATGACCCAGACCGTTTTCTGCCAGAGAATTGTATTGGCAGACATCCTTATTCTTACATCCCATTCAGTGCTGGTCCAAGAAATTGTAAGAATCATTTACATTGTGGGAAAATTTTTCTTCTTCATTTCTTCATTTTAGGTATCGGACAGAAGTTTGCAATTTTGGAAGAGAAAGCAATAATCTCATCGGTCCTTAGAAAGTATAAAATTGAAGCAGTAGATCGTCGTGAAGATCTCACACTGCTTGGTGAACTGATACTTCGACCAAAAGATGGATTAGCAGTTAAAATAACAGCAAGACAGTAACTTTATGAGAATAAGTTTAGAAAAATTGCCATCGATTTCTTACATAAATTCATTTTTATCATTTTATTAATCTTGTTGCAATCAGCATTATCATTATAGTTATTTAAATATATTTGTCATAGTACTAATGATTAGATGAAATCTTATAGATGAAAGGTTAATCTGTTTTGCTATCTTAAACTCATTCATGCACACATTAAATCCATTTGTGACTTTTAAAAATTTTAATATTTTTGATTGCTACAAATGTAGAACTTTCACATATATTTATGCAAATTCATTTTAAAATAAATCTTTTTTATTTAGATAATTGAATTATTAAGTGGAAATAAAAATGGAAAAGAAAGAAATAAGAATGTATTTCTTATTTACTTATGATGAATCAAAATAATTTCAATTAAAAGTTTTCCTTTTATCGATACATGTTTGTTCAATGTCCGCTGTTGCGATATTTTTCCATCAATTTGCATTTCTGTTTTTTCACTGGCATAACAAAATGTACAAAGCGCAGATTTTCCATCAACCAGTCGACACTTAAGTGAAAGGCCATCGAAGTTATGCGCTAAAATGTGTAAAAGTGTGCTTAAAAGTGGATTTTAAAACCTTTTAAAGGCTCAACCGTCGTCACTGTTTGGAATCATTGACGTGATTTTTTTTTGTATTCTCACTTTGTTTTCATTTCAAATTTCAATTATGAAAGCGCATTCTTTACTATCCCGCAAATGTTTATTGTTTGTCATTGGATTATAAATGTAGAAGGAACGTTGAAATGTTTTTGTTTTCAAAACACTTTTTGAGGGAAGTGAAATGAAGAGAATGGAAATCACGATGAAGAAATGCAACAATATTTGACTAAATTATCCCATGAACGTGATCCTTCCTGATGCTTTTAAACACCAATGCCACCCTCGTTGAAAACTGCCATCCGGAACCGCATAGGAAATAGTTTTGCCCTCTCATCACATCTTAAACATTTCCCTCTCTCAATTTTCATCAACCGAAACAGGTTTAGGGGACAAACTCACATTCAATCTTCCGTAAAATTTTGCGCATCAAATCAAATATTTATGGAAGTTCTTGTTGCCTCAATTTTCTCTCAAAAATAGAATCTGATTTTCAGATTCTCATTTCAAGTTACATTTTAATCAAAAATAAATATATGCGACACGTGATCACACATTTTTATTTGTTTTACGGAACAATTTATGCACTCGCTCGCGCCTTCTTCAGTCACGTGCTGAGTGGGAGAGAAATTTTTCTCTGCATTCGTATTCTTGATGCTTTAATTTTAAATAAACATTTGATGCTCCTTTCATCTGTAAAATTGGCAAGAATTGGTTCAATGTGACAGTTTAACCGGTGACACGTGTAATGCGCCACCCTTTCGATGTAATGAGAACGTAATTCTAAACCACCGAGAGTGGAAGCAGATCATATTTATTGCACAATAGTAAAACTTAAGTAATTCAATTAAGAATTTTACGACAAATCAATGAGCAGAAAGAAATCAACAATCGGATGAGAAGGCGGACAGATGGAAAGTTCAGACTTTGAACAAATAGAACGTCAAAGTGCTGAGGGAATGATAGCGAATACATCATTGCGCAATAAAAGACAGTGAAATGATTAATGATGATGAGTTAAAAAATTTTAAATTGCAAAAATGAATAAAAAGTTTCGACAATTTACGCCACACAAAAATTAATTAATCATCAAAAACTAAATAAAAAGGCAAAGAGCAAACAATTTGTTCCCTTTTGCTATGACTTGCAATTAAAATTCTACGTTAACATATTTTTATGTCAAACCTTCTTTCTATATTAATATTTAGCAGAAGCAGTAGCATCGCCTCTTTGTTTTTAGTTAAACATTCTACGAGTCTCTCAGTAAACTGTAAAAAGAATTTGAAGTTTTGTAAATGTTTTCAGGAAGAGACAAAATTGTTTGTGCAATTTGTCAAAACTTGTCACTCCCTAAAATTGAAAAAGGACCAACAAAACTACAATTTGCAATTTTATTACTCACGTTAACAAAGCAAATGTCAAAATATATTTTTCTCCGATCTTCTATGTAAACAAATAAATTATTTATTTAATTTTATTGTGGTAAAAACAATCAAAACATGGATCGTTGGAATGTGAAAAGTTAATGTAATTAAACAAGCAAGATTTTGGTAATTCAAGATGATTTGAAATTTCAAACTGAGTCTGATACTTTCCAAAAAAGATTAAAAATTTCATCTTTATGATTCGTTTTATTTTATAAAAGTTTTCCTTACTTTAACTGCAAACATATTTCGATTATTTACAAAACATTTTTTATTGTATCGTAAAAGTTGTTTGCACTGACTAGTGATTTATTATATTTGCGGAACTTTCGAACAAAAGAAGAAAGAAAGGATGATGCTAAACAAAAGGCAAAACAGAGAAGTTATTTATCTGATATTAATCCACACACATTTTATTCTGTAATAACAATAATAATGATGATGATCGAAATACACAAACAACAATGGAAAGGGCTGTTTATGTGTAAAATAGAAGAACTATGCATCGGTCGATGGTGCAGAGACAGAAGGAAGAATAAAATAAAACCCTAGGGTTGCCAAGTCATTGCTACATCTCAACATATTTCATCCTCTATTGAGTAAATTAGGGAAATGTTCGAAATAAAATGCACAACTTAGCAAACCAGTGCATCGAGAAATTTATGACATAAATGATACGTTAAATAATTTAACAAAGTCAAACACATAAAATTTTATGTTACGCGACCAAAGTTTTTATTCAAAAATAAATAAATACATTTTTTATAACTCAACGTAATTTCCAGCATTAAATGTGGCTGCAAATAAAATAAAATGGAAAATAAATAGAAAATTTCTCTGTGCAGATTTAAATTTCATCCGAAAAATAAATGAAAATTGCGTTCGCGATAAACGCAAATAAAATAATTGATTATTTCGCTCTGTCGATATATTTAATTGTTTATGTTGGCAATTTTGTTTAATGCATTGGATGATTGCGCGTGATAGTCAAGGAGTGAGTTATTTTGCCATATCATCATTTGTCAAGTGGCTACGATAAAAATAAAAAAAATTTAAAGTTCGCCATGTGGAGAGATTTTTTGCGCAAGTTATTCTGGTGACAATCAATCACTTTCGAAATCGATTTCTAACGCAGCGGGCAACATTCAATGATGATACAATAAAAAACGATTCATGATTCATCAACACAATTCCTCAATGTCGAGGGAGAGAGAGAAGGAAATGTTCGATCCGAGACAGGGTAACGCTCATTAAATCATCATTACTCTTGAGTCGTGTCTTGCGACAGTTTTTTTTAACATTTATCGATTTTCGTCTTTTTTATATTCTTGAATGCGTGTAAACAAACAGGTGTCGGTTGAGCTTCGAATCAGTAATTTATGCGAAAAGCATCTGTTCCATAAATTATATCCCAGCCGCTCCATCCATAAGTTAATTTTTCCATCATTTTCTCTTCCATCCTTTTTTCCGTTGTTGTTGATGTTGTTCTTATTGACGTTATCACCATTTTGATGTGGTGCATACTTCACGCACACTTTAAAAGCTTTCCTAGGCTGGAAAATGCAGGAAAAGTCTTTGTATGAAAAACACAAACGTAACGAAAATATTTTTCTTTTGCCTTCATTCTGTCTACATGCGCATGATGGCTCATCATTTTCTTTTCTCCCTTCACCATCGATTACGAAGAAGGAAAAACATTTTCCAACCGAAAAAACACGCAATAAGTGAAAGTTTCTCCCTTCACGATGATGTCGAAGTTTTTCATTCTTTTCTTTTGCTGTTTCTTCTGCCTCGATGCCGGAGAATAATAAATGGCAGAAAATTAAGGAAATTGTGTAACATTCTCATTAAATTCTCTGCTGTAGCGTGCAATTTTTACGATCGAAAGAAAAAAAAAGTTTTGTTTCTAAGGAACAGTAAAATGAAGGAAAAAAATGAAAATTAAATCTAAGAAACAGAAAATTTTCTTTCCGTCAATTTGGGTATGAGAAAAAGTTTATGAAGCGTGAATTAATTACTGAAAGTCTTCGGTTGTTTCTTTATCTTCATCCAACATTTACTCGAATTTTAATCTGATCTCTTACATTAGAAGAAGAGACGGGAAATGAAATTGTATTGACTGATAGTGGAAAATATTTGTCTCCTTTGATTCATTTGCTTTCGAAACTTAATTGCATCAGCATATTGTGACTTTCCTTACTTATAAATAGAGAGGGAAAGTTTTCCAGAACGATTGTAATGTCTTGAGCTTGACAAATGTGCTTATGTGAATACTGAAATCAAATCCAGACCCTAAGGATGCTTACAGCGACTCCAATTAATATCATCATTATTTTCGTTCATTTTAGCATGAAGAAAGTTACATTAGAGAAATGGGCTTTAATCGAGACTCATTAATTTACGCAAGAAACTGCTTCAAGATTGATCTTAAAAATTACTTCAGAAATTACATAATTGCATAACTTTGTAACTGATTCTTCTTTACAATTACAATCTCAATTTCATTTCAGTGATAGTGGAAATAAAAATCACTGCGATGTTATCAGATTAAGCCTCAACGCAAATTGAATCTAATTCCTTATCGGTTAATCCAGTAATCCGCCTTTGTGTCGGTACATTTTTTGTTAATGTGAAATGCGCGATAAGAAATGATTTTTATGGGATTTTTTAATTGAAATTTTTTGTCTTGGATTTGATGATTGGCGTCGTTTTCATTTTATTTTTAATCTTTATCGCTGTTATTTTGAGTACGCGTCATTACGTAGAATGTTATCAATATTAGAAGTTTTTTCATGCAAAAATGATTGAATTAAATGTTACAATATAAAAAGAAAGAAAGAGGAAAAAAACATACAACAATTGTTGATGTGTTGTTACATATCATGGCGAGAATGAAAAATGATTTTATTCCGATGAGTCTTCAACTCGTTATCTGCACAAAGCCATACAATGGAAAACTCCCTTAAAAACCCATTGTCATTGTGCCATTGTGTCAGAGAAAATATTACGCAAGTTTTCATTTCCCCATTGTATTGAACGCTATGAGGAACGATAAGCTTTTTAATATTAAAAAGAAATCATCTAACACTGCACAAAACCACAACCAGAGAAATATTTGAGTTGAATATTCATAATAAACCTCGTGAAAATTAAAATGACTGACGAAAAATGTTAAATATTTATTCTTCTGAACGTTTCAATGAAAATTAAATGCCACAATGCATGATTTTTCCGACGCACATATCACATGAAAATATTTTTACGTTTTCCAACGCACACAAATAAATCTTGATTGTTTGTGAAGGAAAAATGTTTCATATTCACAGCTGTAGAATATTTTTCGAAGTTCCGCCATTTTTTTATTATAAACACGCCCACTCTGAATTGTTCGTTCTGCTGCTCCTTTCTTCAGAAGATATTTCAGATATTTTTTGTCGGTGGAGAAGGTCGGTTTATTTGAAATAAAGTTGCAAAGGTTGTAAGGAAAATATGTAAATATATTAAAAGGATTTTAAGTAAAAATATTTCTCTGATTAATTTCTCACATTTATCAATGAGAAAAATTTCTTTCAAAAATTTTCCATCATGTCATGTATCAAAAAAGAAAATCTTATGAAAGGTCATATCGAGTGAATTATGTTCTTCTCATCATAAATGAAGAAAAGCCGTAAAATATGAATTACAACCCGCCTTTCACACCATCATATACACGATGTTAAGATAACACTCAATAAATGTACTCGTGAATGTTTCGACTCTATGTTTCGCTTCTGGGACGATGTTTAGATGAGAGAGGTCGATGGAGGGCATGGAGTCAAGAAATATTTTCTTTTCTATTGCGAAAATGCTCCGCTGAATGATAATGAAGTTTGAGTCAGTCCATCTAACACTACTTAATAGTGAATTTCAAGAATGTTTTCGAATATTTATGGAGAGAGTTTGTTGATAAGAAAGAATTGTTTCTTCGTGTGTTCGTTTACTTATTTTTCTTTTTTATTACTCGACAGCAACAATGTTGCATAAATGTGTGAGTATGTTCGTACAATTTCATTCATGCAAGATATTTTCGAACTTTCCTCAAACATAGAACGTTGATTCGTTACATTTCCCCTATCTTGAAACCACTACAACTGACTAACCGATCGTTCGCTTTGAATCACTCACACATTTCACGAACGTCGCAAACAGAAACTTCTGATAACTTTTTATCATCGGCTCGTTGAAAATTATTTTCAGTTTAAATCAGTTCATTGCGTAAAGTAGATGGCATCGAGTTGAGCTCCGGTAAAAATCGTTGAAATAAAATTGGAAAATATTTTCCATAAAATATTCAAAGAAAATATTGAGAAAGATAATTTTCCAAATCAAAAGAATCAACAACGTGTGATAATTCTTTATTTTTTCCTTACTCATGTTATGAAGATCAACGCATGGTATTCTCGAATAGAAGAAAAATAAAATTTTCGAAATTGAAACTAAAGTTTCACGACGGTGAATGCGAAAAAGCCAAGACGAGTGTATTAGTGCCTCTAACGATTTAAATCCTCCTCTCTTAGAGTAAACGAGACAGAGTGAAAGTTGTGCAAAGTAAAGCAACGAGCTTGAAAAGGACGCAAAACAAACATAATCGAAAAATCTCTGTGATGATGAAGTATCGCCCAGCCTCTACATCATTACAAAAATATCAACCGACAAAAGTGAGTGCCGGGAAGGAATTATTAGTGATTTATACATTTTGAAGTAAAGTTAAGACCGGGTTAATTCTTTTTTAAGACTTCACACTTTTTCCTTCTCCCGTTCGTGGCTTTTTTGTGATTCTTTCACTTCTTGCTGGCTGATCCAGTTTAATGTTGATTTAAAAAAAATTGTGAGTGTGACAAGAAAAGAGAAAAATTCTCGACAATAGAAAAGTTTCGGATTATGTCACGACATAACGAGTGATTTCAGGAGCTTATGAGAAGACTTTGATGGACTTAGTGAACACAATTGATAAATCAAGATCTTGACTTTTGGTCTTGAAAATAAAATCACGAATCACTTTTTTATATCACATGAAAATCGCGTCGTGATAAATAGCAAAACAGGTTAAGCGAATAAAATGGTTCAGAATTAGATTGTTGAATATTTAAATATCATTCACGATTTATTTTCAGTGAATAAAAAAAGAGAAAAAAGAAATTAAACAAATAAAAGACAAACGATTGTGACTGAAAAGAAAAGTGAAAAATAAAAGTTGAGATTTTTAAGACTTCTGTCGAGTGTTCGACTTGAAATAATTCACAAAGATTTTACCCGCGACGGTGATAAATTTGTTGAACACGCAAGAAGTCAATTAAACGGATTATTTTATATTAAAAACTCAAAACTAGTTTAATAAACAAGAAATATTTCAATTCTGGATACTTACGGATTAAAAATCAATGTAAGTATTAAGTTAATTGGATGTTTGACTTCACCATAATCATCTTTGTGTGTGATCTTCATAATAGATGTGAATGATAATCTTGGTCAATTCACATAAATTCTCTTGTGAAACATGACATTGAATGTGAATTCTTGGGAAGTTATGAGAGCTCATTTGACAACGACAAGAATGAACGTGATAAGAAGCGCGAGCAAGGTTTATGATGTTGTCGTAGCAAATATTTGTTTGCTGTAATAAATTTTAATTTTCTAAGCTTTCTCAGCTTGATTGTCATCATTGTGAGTCTGCAAATATTTTTTTCGAGAAATGTCGCACGTTTTTCTCTTGGAGCTGTCAACAAATCCAACATTTCTTCTTATCTTTTGTGAAATTGGCTTAAACAAAAATTTCACTGAAAGTAAAATATTTCTCAGAGGTCTTGCGCAAAGAATTATGATGATGTTGATAATGAAATGAACGCATGAACGTTTTCGCGATAAGACTGCTTGGCTCTAAATATATATTTTTTTCAAGTACTTCAAATCCGTCGGTAAACAACAGAAGCAATTATATTTCTTCAACTCCTATAAAAAATTGTAGATTACAAAATTTTAAGTGAATTTAATCTAACGTGAGTTTGCTTTAAGATTCTCCGAACAGATTAGGATAAAAATAACAATTTTGATTTAGAAGCATTGTCGTAATTTCTGAGTTCATTTGAAAGTGACTGAAAAAAATACAAACGTTTAACTTGTTTGCATTTCTTCATCAATTACCAACAAGAATCGATGTCGTTAAATTTATCTTTCAACAAAATTTTCCTTCTTGTCAGACACATCAAAATTGATGTTAATCTTAAACTTTCACTCTTTAAAACAAAAATCCATTAACTTCTTCCCAACAAAATCCATAATCGAATTTATCGATTTTCCCGACTGTGAATGTCGTAAAAAAACTTCTTCGCCATCAGACTCATCTGAGGCTTTCAGTTTTATTTTTCTTCTCCCGTGAAGTTTACTAACAAAACGAATGCGAAGGATAGAAAACGAGAGAAGTTGAAACGGATGAAGAAGAAGAGATTATTAGCTTTTGATGGCACATAATATCGATTTTCTTTTCCTCAACCTCTTCAAAGCTTTATTAATACTGGCAGCAGATAACGAAGACAAAAAAAAAAGAAGCCAAGAATAAATATTTCAGAAAATGTTTTCATTTCCCTCTGCTTTTGAATATTTTGGTGAGAGCTGCCAAAAAAGAAGGAAAAAAGGCCACCCCGACGCCATTAAAATGGAAATCGCATTCATTCACCTCACACTTGAGCTTGAAACATTAAATGCCTGCGATGTTGAGCTGTTTTATGTTGTTTTGTGTGTACATCATGTGGTATTTGTAAAGTGAGAAATTTCTGTACAAAATAATTATCGTTCAGGTGCGTGAATATCAATTTGTCCCTTTCCAACATTCTTATTAAAGTTTTCCAATAATTTTCTGTTCAAGTAAAAATCTCATGAAAGGAAAGATGAAAATCCTCGAGTAAATGTTTGTAAACAAAATATTTAATACTGAACAAGAATCCCAGACACACCGACACTTGAACAGCCATAAACAGATGAGAGAAAATCGTCCAAAATCCGTATTTAATCTTTGAGTGATTAAAATATTACGATTATTATTCGCAATGATTATAATTGTCGGTCGTCTCCTCGTCTCCTAATAAAAAAGATCAAATTAGGATAAACATGGATTTCAGAACAGAAATTTCTTCTTTCTTTTTTTCATCTCGTCTCTCGTTCATATTTGTGTGGTTGCGGTATTTAAAATACAACTTTTCGCTCATCCTTGCGGATCTTTTTGGATCATTGTCACAGATTGGAGCCAAATTGATTTGTTCGACTTTGTTTTCTGGGGAGAGCAGCTTAAATCTGACTTTATGGTCTGTCGAGAGAGGCTTTTAAGTGGCTTAGAATACTTATTCATGTCACTTCAAGGAGAAGGTTAAGCCTTGCTTTAGCCCGATGCTTGTTGGTCTTCTTTTGAATCATCGTTTGTTGCAAACATTCTTAAATATTTTTTATTTCTCTAAAACTCGACTCTTGTATGATCTTTTAAAAATTACGAAAACATCATTTCAAGTGGAATTTCTTTCTTTTCAAATTGAATGATGAAACAACATCATCAGTGCTCGTTTCTTAGTTTGTTTTAATATAAAAAAAATTCTTAGATATTTGTTTTTCCGCTCATTTATCCGAGGATTATCATCTGACAGTTTCTGTTTGCTACTTAAACATCTCATGATCATCTTGAATGTGCATCAGATTTCACTTTAGATTTTCATTATTATTTCCGTCTCACGCTTTGAATAATTTCTTTCAATCTGAGTGAATGAATTTGTTGTTTATTTGTAATTATGAGTCAATTTAATATTTCATTCTTTTTTTATTGTTACAGAAAGTGGCGACGACAACAGAACTAGGCGGCAAAAGTGTTAAAAACGCTTTTAAAGCAATTAACATTGGATCATATCAAGAGATTTTTCCATCATTTTATCCGCTGCAAATGATGGATCGGAGTGGTCTTGACCAAATGACGGACACGTCAGGTTTGTGCCTACAAGACTTGGTAGGCACGACAAATAATGCAACATCCAATGGAAATATACCAACAAGTCAATCTAACTCTAATGATCACCTGCATAATCATCACCATCATCACAATCTTCATGATGGAACTGCAGTCAGTGTGTCATCAGCAATTTCCAATTTGATGTCACCAACGAGTGTTGGTTCAATCGGCAGTGGATTGACAACAGGATTGAGTCATTTGCATCATAGCTCGCATCCCGATTTGACAGGTCATCATCATCACCATCACATCACTTCACCTCATACGCCAAGCGTTCTACACGAGCCGCTAGAGAAATTAAAATGTAAGTTAATTTAAATTTCTTCTCTCTCATCGCAATCAATCATAGACCAAACAAAAGCGATTGGACACGCTTTGTGTCACTAATTAAGAGCTTAATTCACAAATCGGATGAAATTTGTTTCGAACAAACAAATCATTTTGCAACGCTTAATATTCAATTTCACTTTGAATGAACTTAATAACCCTCAACGAAATGAAATGCATGTAACGACAGCAGATCATCCGTTTGGGAGCGTGATGTGGAAATGATTTTCTATGAATATTTGTCAGTATCAAGAGGGGTGATCAATTAGCCTGAACGACGATATTTACTTCGTTTTTTAAGAATTATTCAGCGATTACAACAACAAATTATTTTCCAAGTAAAAGAGAAAAAGGAAAAGAAATTCGAAGCAATATTTCATCCTGTTTCCCTTATTTCAAGAATTTGTTTTTTAACTTCGAGAAAGAGGCGTTCGAGATGAAGTGAGTTGCGTTCATCCATGAAATTTATTTATTCCTATGAAGATCTGAAAGTAGGGAAATTGGCCGAAAAATATTCAGAATTTTATTTAATTTTTTGCTGCCAAAAAAACTGGCACAAAGTGAAAACTTGCTTCACAATGATGTTTGCATTTCCATTAGTTACAATCACTAATTACTTTCACAACATTGCACAACTCGACACTTTTTTTCCTTTCACTTCTTTTTATTGTCAGACACAGAGTTGAATAAAGGGTCCTAGCTAGAATTTTATGGGAAAATTCTGCACTTGTTGCCGTTCAAAAGCAGCTGATTGGAATTTTATTCATGCAATTGAAGTGCAAGCATAACTAAGACTTCATCAAAATGATAAAAAAGAGTCAGTGAAGTGAATACTCGTCAAGATTCTGTTGATGAAGTGATCAATTTGTTATGGGTGAAATGTCAGGTGTCAGAATATTGTCGAGTTCCATGTAAAGCATGTGTAAACATCTTGAAATTGAATCCACGACGCACAAGGCAAACATGAAATATTTATGAAGTTTTCTACTTCGTTTCGTTTGTTCAAAACCGAAATTTCTTATCAATGTGGTGAGAAAATGTGTAAAATTTTAAAACCACGCTCCACTTAAAATCCTTTCCAAGAATCAATTATGGTAAATTAAGTCCAACTTAAGTAAGTGTTAAACTTTCACGGAAGTTTCTTAATGATTACATGGAAAAGTTAACCAGAAAAAAGGAGTTTCCTACTTTCTAATTTACGATTCCTTAAACCCAACAACACAATTCCATGAATCAATTGTGACCATCTGCAACATATAAAGGGAATACCAGTTAAACAATTTGCTCTTCATCCTCAAAATGAGATGTGAAATTTATGGTACAAATACAAATAACACCGAAAGAAGACAAAAAAAAAGCAAAACATTCATTTTTCATACCACAAATCGACAAATTATTTATACACAAAATGAAATGCAGTTTCTGTTTGATTTTATCTCTTTGACCGATTCAAGACAAGAAGGAAAAAAAGTCATTTAAATTAACTTTTATGTTGGCAGTAAACAAATTCTATGAATGAATATAAAAGTGAAGGGAAACAACGTCTGGGGTAGAAAACTCATCAATTTGTTATTTTCACACTAATCTCATTGTATTAAAATTATTATTGCACTCACTCTCTGTTCTTTTTTCTGTTGCTGATGCATAAACGTATCAAAAGGTTTTCATTGTTATAACAATGTTCAATGTGGTACATACCGAGGGCCGTTTAAATGTTCAGTGATTTTGACTTTGCGCCCTTCTGTTCATGTTGTTCTTCATTCAATACCGCATTGTCTTTATTGAGTGTGTGTATATGTGTGCATCTATATTTGTGTGTAAACCCTGAACAGAGGAAAAAATAACAATTCTTTGCTGTAATCGCTTTATAAAGATAAACATGTGATTTTCCTTCAGCTTTCCTTAGTCGCTTTCAATGTAATGAAGCTTCTTATTTTCATCAGATAGTAACCCACTCGCTATGATTGCATAATCATTACGAACAAATTGTCATCATGATAAAGAAGGGAGAAGAGAGTGAAGCAAGTTTTGAATTATCTTTTTTTTTTTTCGAGGCGACAACACAAGAGTGAAAAATGTATCATTGAACATAAATAAATAAGCCATATGGGACCAATTTTCCTCCTCATCACCATCCAACCCAAATTGACTTTAAATTTATTCAAAATACCATACACACCATCACATTAATGTCTTCTTCCTTCTGTCTTATTTTCCTTAGCGGTTGTTGGGTGAATAAATAATTGTCTATTAATTTATATTGCATGCACATTAAGGGGCAAATAATTCTTCTTTTATTCAAATTCTAACAATTATTGATTGGCTAATGGCTTGGATAAGATAAATATTTCAAATTGTCTGATTGAATTATATAATCAGAAGATTTTCTCTTGATCCATAAAGCTTTCTAGAATCTTAAGTATTTCCTGATAATGTAAGCAAATAATAATCGTAAACTTTCCCATAATTGTCACAGTCACAAAGACAATTTAATATTAAGTTGCAGTTTTAAGTGATTATTCATTCATCCATTAAATATTTAAAATTAATTTGTCTTCTGTTTTAAACTCTGCACATGGAAATAAATTATTTGAAAGCAAGTGAATTGAAATTTAAATGGAAACAGCTTTTTTGTCATTTGTGAAAATGTTTTATCAACTCCGCCTTTTAATGTTCGAATAGAACAAAAAAATAATAATTTCTAGAAAATATGCTCGAATAAAAACGTTGGAAGAGTGTCGCAACCATCTTCTGTGAACTTCGCATAATGAATGTCTTTAACAGATGTTGTATTAATTTTTTAAACATTAACATTAAATAAATCAAATTCTCCACGAAGAACATTTTATTGCACTTTGCGTCATTTAAGATCTGTTGGAAAAAAGAGCAGAAAGGGTTACTTGATATCTGTGAGGGTGACAATTGTTTCCGAAACAAAAATTATTTGCGGTTTTGTTGTCTATGAATAGAGCGAAGAATCAAAACAAATAAATTAGACAATGAAATTGCAATAATTTTCCATTTGGCTGACTCTATGCTATGATGATGGCAATAGCATAAATGGAAATAAAAAGCAAAACTATCACAATAAATTATCCACTTCGAAACACATTTGTTCGCTGTTTCATCTGATATTTTACCCTTTTTTTCTACAACCAATTTTTATTACCTTACTATAGAGTTCGACAGCAAACTTAGTAATACTTTGTGGTATCGCAGACAAAAAAAAGGTTATCGAATGATGACTCTATCTACAAACAGTAAATGGCTCTTTTGGGTGCCGTTAAAAAAGCCAATCGAAGTTTTTGTTTCGTTCTCTGCTTTTTATTTCATATGACATGGGCAGCACGCAAAAAAAGTATTAGCAAAATATTTTGACAAGATGATCTTAACGACAGATTTTAGAAAACATTTGAACGAGGTTAACAGAAAGAACCATAGCGGTTATAATAAAAATTGTAAACATTATGATGACACAGATCATTGAAAAATAATCCGGCTTAATGACAGCAAAATCTGTCGATATTGTGGTTTAGTTTTGTTCATTTCGTGTTGATGGTCGAACTGTTGAACATTGTTGCAGTAATTGATTAGAATAGTTTTTTGTTTGTCGGTATTTTTGCCATGACGTTCATGGGAAGTCCAAACGTTCTTTACTATTCAAATGAGGAAAGAGAAATCTTATCGCGATTTTAATCACAACCTACACGATCTGTTTTTATATCAAGATTTATTGCAATTTGAATGCTTTATAGTCATTGTGATAATCGTTTTAAAAACAACTTTCAAGGCTCTTCAACTCGGCATTTCCTTTAGAATACATTTTTGCAATAAATAACGATGACAAATGGAAATGAATAAATTTTAAGTGAAACTGCCAATGAAACGTTTGAAATAAATTTTTGTGGCAAGAAAATATTTGCGAGTATTAATACTCGACTACGATATGCCGAGGGTTTCAACATTTTAATCTCTTTAAGCAACTTATTTGACTTCATTCAAAGAAAGTCAGTGTCTGAAAGAATTCTTTTTGAACTTTTCACTCATTGACGTGGAAGAAATTGAATAAAAATGTTTTGTTTAAAAATAACGTTCCGTTTAAGCTTTGTGTATCAAAATATTATCGTTGATTATTCTGCAGAAAATCTTAAGCCCCGTCAATGATTTAATTATCTATTAATTTTTTTTTCTTGATGTTATTTTTATAGAAATCTCAGACAGTAGTCCGACAAACAATCTTTAGACGATTTTTCAGAATGTCGGTTTGGAATTTATCCTCAGAAATGAAACCTAAAAAATATGTTTGGTTGAATACTTCATGAGATTTTCTTTAAAGCTAACAAATTTGTGGAACTTTAATGTCTAATTAATTAGAGTGATTGACACTTAAACATTTCAAACATTCACATTTACGATCACATTAATGACTCTCACTGTAAATTCTCTCATGAAACTGTCAAGAAAAATGTTTTTGTTTGATGCATTTTCTTTATTTGCTGCTTTTCCTCTTCCTTAATTGCAGTTTATAACTACACAACTTTGTTCTTCGTTAATTTCCACTGAAATTGACAATTGAGACAATAAAAAAGTCGAGTAAATAACTCTCAATGAGACTTTTTCATTAGTATTCAAATAACTACTTAATTACATGACGACATTGTCATTCGCAAGTCTGTTCGCGTACGACGGAAAAGTGACAAAGAAAATTGTTTTTCAGAAAAAAAATTGTTAGCGGTTGAAAGCAAAGAAAGTAAACAAACTGTTAAATTAGACATTAAATTTAATTAATTGAATTATTTTCTCTACCACGCTATGATATGCATCGCTATAATTTATTGATTCAACTGTCGCTCGATTTATAAAAAACACGATTTTTAACAAATTAACGTGCATGTTTCGAGGATGTTTGGGTCGTCGGGAAAGATTCGAAAACAATTTTCTCTGATATTTTTTTAAACGCTCATAATATTTCATCAATGGTTGGTTGAGGGAGGGGAAAACTTTGTCAAGCATTCCAAAGTGTCTTTATTACTTAAACATTTTGTTACATTTGTTTCATATGCTTCCCACCAATTTCTCGCATGACAAATCATCTAAAGAATGGGGAAGGCGTTCAGAGACACAAATTTAACACTTGTCAAGAATGTGTGACGACAAGAGCAAACACACATGAAGGAAAAAAGAAAAAATAGCAAAAAATAACAACAAATAGAAGATTTATGAAGATGTTTCATGTTCATTTTATGTTTATTCTCAGTTAAAATGCGATGATCTTCTTCTTCTTTTTTATGTTGTGCTCTATGAAAACGAAAAATGTTTTTTTATCTTCCTTCTGTTCTAGAAAATTAATAATTCATTGCTTTTTTTCTGTTCTTTGAAAGATAATCTCCAGTCAGTTGTTAACGAGCTCTTCCAGCTATCTGCCACATTTGCGTTTCCACTTCGCGCTTTCTTTCTCTCGACTGTTTCTTCTTTGCTGTTGTTTTTGTTAGTGCTTTGTTCGAGTGTAACTTAGTAAAGATAAATCCTTTTATATTATCCTTCGCTCTTGTGTTTAAAGCAATTGCATTTTTAATCGCCAAACAAAAAACAGCTACAACAGTGCAGCAACATTTTCATTATCTTTCGAGCGTATTTTTATGAAATATTCAAGTGTTTCAATGCTTTAGTTAAGTGTAAACAAGGTAAAAGAAGATTAACCGTGTACGATCGTCTTAGAAATGGTGCATTAAATTCTGCTCGAAGTGGACTCATAAACCACAATCTAGATCTTCATAAAAATTAATTTATTGCATCATTACTCATCACCATTACCTTCTATTACGTTGAGAGAAATCTCTGGTGAAGTTTTCTTTAACAGTTTTTATTTGTTCTCCTTTACAGTATGGGCAGAGACTGGAGAGTTTCGCGAAAGTAACCACAACACAATGGCATCTGTGACAAATATGGACCATTCACAAATGAACTTTCAAGCACCAGCCGGTCGTAATCGTAATCGAGATCGTAAATCCGATGGTAAGTTCAAATCTAGTAAGTGACCGTTCTTTAATATTAAGCATGCAAGAAAATAATCGATAAGAGGGAAAAGGCAAAGAACTGTATGAGAATCTAATTTCCAATGAACCCAAATGGTTGAGAACATTAAGCAGATGAATCAAGTAAATGTCTACATTCAATGCTCCAGACAGACATAATAGAAATAAACACCAAAACGAGATAATCCCTGAAAATCTCAGTCAGAAAGTTACACAAATCTTCATCAACCTCCATTCGAATTCAAGTATTTTAAATCGTTTTGCTATAAATTTTCATTTCTTCAAACGCTAATCAATCAAGACTTTCAATCTCATCATTCGATCTGAAAATAAATAAAGTTCAGTGGTCGATTTCGTGGGTAATTAAGAAATAAATTTCTTAGATGTCATTGATCTCCTTCTTAAAGATAGATGAATGAACTATAATTAATGAAAGTTTTTTCAACGACATCTTTTATTGTTTTCCTTAAAATTTGATGAGAGTGGATTAAAATCTTTCTAAATAATGGTGAACATGAAACTTTGTTCATTTTGATCAAAATAGAATCAAACATCGAAACAAGAGTCATCTGAAAATAACAAAGTACGGAAGTTCAATGCTCAGTCGTGATGTGTTGCAGAAGTGACATGAAATCCCAATAATTGTCTATAATTTGTCATCGAATAGCAGTTAAAATGAACGAATAACTTAAAATCCAACATTCAAGCAAATTGTCACGTTTTCCGCATTCAATTGGAGAAATAAAAAGTGTTCGCTTTCTATGCAGTGAACAGTAATAATGACGCCAAGTCGAGGTGAATGGAGAAGCATGATGGATTACTTCATGACGACTCTATCGAAAAGCAACAAAAGTAAGGCAAACGGAAATTTTCGAAAGCATTTATGAGCGCAATATGATTGATAATAGAGCGTGAAACAATCGCTCAACAACAAATCAACAATATCAAACATAATTAAACTTGATTCATATTTTTCCTTCTTCTTCTAAATTCTATCAAACTCGAAGTTTGTCCGCAATGATTAGATTGCGAAACTCGTGTTTCACTCAAAAATCAATCAATAATTGCAATTACTGATTTAACAAACATGTGAGCTCAATTAATCAGAAAATCGGTAGTAATCAATTGCGAAAACGATGATATTTATAAATCAGTAGTTGAACTTTGATCACTCTCAAATTTTGATAACAAAATATTTCTTTTTTTAATTTTTGATATCACAATTTTACCTTACATTGCAATTAAATATAATAACACAAGTTAAGTTTATTTTTTGCTTTTCTAATCAGCCTGCTGGTTAATCAAGACTAAAGCAATGAAGTAAAGTTTAGTCACCAACTGATAACGCAACACATGCACTGCAACATGTGATAAGAGATCAACTTACAGCCTTCACATTGTCACACTTATCATGATTCTTGTAATTACGATTAAACAAATATTTTATTACGATGATATAAAAATAAAATAAACAAATTTCTGCTACGTTTCTCTTGATGTACCCGCAATGTTCACATCAAAAGGGTTCTTCAAAGTCAAAAAGTGTATCAAGTTTCAAGTGCACTCTTTGTTGTTGCTTTCTCTTGTCTCTTTGTCTCGTTTGTATGTATCTAAGTGGCCACAGTAGCACATAATGACATTTGATCTCTCAACAGACAATTTTTGCTAATTTTCCTTGTTTTCTTTCTTTTTTATCTCTTCTAATTCAACAAACAGCATCACGTTTGAACGACACACAAGTTAAGCAAGAAAACGCCGATGAGTCAATCACAACTGATGATCCGAAAAATGATAAGAAGAATAAACGTCAACGACGTCAAAGAACTCACTTTACATCGCAACAATTGCATGAGTTAGAACAGACGTTTAGTCGTAATCGATATCCGGACATGAGTACGCGAGAAGAGATTGCCATGTGGACAAATTTGACAGAAGCTCGTGTTAGGGTGAGTTCAACTTATCAATCTTTTCTATTATCTGTAAACAATCTAAAATAAGAAATAAACGAGCAACGCCCACTTGAAACAAATGATGCAATTTGCTATGAAAAGCTTTCAAGTTAATTGACGATTTCTTTCTGTTGTGAATTGTGATCATCTTTGGATGACGATAAAATTGTTGAGATTAAATATTTAAATTAGTGTAATATAATTTCTTTAAAACAAAAAGGAATAAATAAAAAAGCGCATCAGAATAACATTTAAAAATAATTCACGAGGGTGTCGAGTCAACAAAATCGTCCAATAATCAAAATTTAAACTCAAAGTGATTGCCACATTTTATTTAGCCATTTACGGGATTGCTTTTGCTATCAATGAAATTCATTCATTTTAAGTTCAGGGTGTGAAGACTGGCAAGGAAATATCTTTAAATTGAGAAATTGAAAGTGGCACAGAGATGAGGGGTCGAAAAACAATAAAATTAGGATTAAGGCTTAAACATGTTTCTTCTGGCAAAATTTATTTGTTTTTCAAACTGTTTAATGATTTCATTAAAAGCAGTTGGAAGCTGGGATCAATGAGAATGATTTCCAGATTTTTACGACACATTTTGTGTATGAAGATAATTCAATTAGTTTCTTTCGGTTGTCGTATAAAATTTAAAACTCTGTGAAATTGATCAATTCATTGGGGTTGCTTCTTAATGACATTTCATAATTTTTATTGAAACTTTGATTCTTATTTTTGTTGTTATCTGAACATGCAAAACGAATTTTTTATTCTCACACAACTCAAAATAAATATTAAAGGTAACACCAAGTGTCATGATGACAACAAACACAGACTGATATCTATAGATATCTAATTATCTATCCATCTTTCTCTCCATCGACTGATAATAAACACAGTTTTAATGTAAACATGTAATTAAATAATTTATGACGAATAATTTTTCCCTGATAGATAATTTGAGTAAATAGTGAAATATGAAAAATATCGAAAATCGATGAAGTTGAATTTGGTGTTTAGGCGCCAACGTATACGTTAATTTGATTCTGATTGATGAGCTTGTGACGTCGATGCTTGTCAATGGTGTTTCTGTCTATTACATATATCACGGTGTAAGAAAACTTCTTCCAATTCATCGTCAACCGGCGGCGCTATTAATGCAAATATTGATTTTTCTTTCTAAATAACACGGGATGGCGGCCAGATGTGACACTCATTGTCTGGCGTCTCTAAACTCTGTTGTTTAGATCCTTCCAGTAATTCTCATAATCACGATGGATTAACTTGACTCAGACAGCGTCTCTTCAAAAAAAAAGAAAGTTTCTATTCTTCACCCTGTGCGACTTCCTCAATCGCGAGACGCAATTTTTGTTGATTTGTCATTTCGACGACTAATTATTTTATAATCATTTTTCCGTTACCGTTGGGTCTGAGCGATATCCTTCTTTTTTTCTTTTTCTAGCCATAATTGTTTAATGTTTAATTGAAAGAAGAAAAAAACAACAAGAGATTAAGAAATTGGCTTTGGTTTAATTGCTTTGGGCTCAACGGTGATTGCGTATGGATAAATATTTTGACGAGTTCAAACTCTTTCAATCAACTGCGTGCTGACAAGAAAAAAGTGTCAAATAATTGGTTTTAATTGCGATAAGCTGATGGAGCCTCTTCATTTGCTACCAGACATTGTCAGTGAATAATTGTGCTTTGGGAAACAATGAATGATTAGTGACGCAAAATGAATGATTGAGAATCATCGATTAAAATTTGTGACAGTTTTAAGTCGAATATATCATATCTGGACAAAAAATTAGTTAATTTACTAAAGACAGTGATTGCTTCTTATCAGTTCACTAACTTCATGTCGTGATATTCATGTGCGCATGACTTATTTTCAAGAAACCATAACAAAAACCAAAATACCTTCCGACGGCATTTTCTGGTCTAATTTTTCTTCTGCGACAATACGAAGGAAACACTTTAAGCTTTTCATCTTATTCTGAGTGCATTTTCATGATAATTTATCGTCTCGACAACACAAAATATTTATTTTGCTCGTGTCTCCATCGTACAACACAATAGAAAGGAAATTTAACATTTTTCAATTCACAGTTCAGGATAACGAAGAAGAATTGAACTTAAAGCAATGGAAGCTAAATTATATCGTCTGATTATCACTTGTGCTTTATGGAATATTGGAAAATGCACTTCCACAGTTTATATGGCAATCAGAAAGAAATAACTTTATGATAATAAAACAGAATAAAAAAAATATCTACAATCTATACATAAAAGTGGCTTCGCAAATTCAAAAATGTATCATGAATTTCCTCCTCAATATCTGAATATTGGAAAAACTACTGGAAATAAAAAAAGGACTCACAGTCACATAAATACGTCAAGAAAGGATTAGATGAGCCAATAAAGAGTTATGGCGCATAGTTTTTTGCCTTCCCTTCATTGCTGTTTGGGAAAATCTCTCTTTTATGTGATAAAGACACTGTCGGAGATTGAAAATAAAAAAGAGACTTGTAGAGTCTATAAAAAGGAATTTAAGACTGAAAAATGATTGATAAAGCAATTAAAATTAATTTTATGTTAATTTAAAAGAAACGAGAACGTAAATTTCTTCCTCAACGCGTATCATAAATTATTCATTAATTGTCACTGATTTCTTTTTTCATAATCGAAAGTAACCCTCGTCCTACTAAACTTCACGCCAACCAGTAAATGCATCACGAACAAAAATAAAACAATGATTTGTCGGATATTTTTCCCTTGCTGACAAAAGAGAAAATTATTCCGAAATTGTTTTGCTATTTTGTGGCAGTATTCGAGACTATAATTGCTTTTTTTCTCATATGTATGTGCTGGAAATTCTTAATTACCCTTCAATGAAAAATAAGGAAGAAGAATTTGACACAATAAAGATGAACAATGTGAGTTGAATATTATCAGCTTCAACCATTTGATTCACACTTTAATAATAATTTTCGCAAGAGCGTGAAATTTGTGACGTTTGCTGCTAGTTTTCCACATAATTTCGAATTATGCTAACTTTTTATTGACACTTGACACATGTACATAATAAATTACATTAATTTAACTTTCTCTACATTATCTGAAACTATGCTGCCCGTTTATGTATTTATGTTGAACATGAAAATGTTTCATGAGACAAAAACAGAAAACATAAAAAATTAAAAGCATGTAAATCAGCGGCACATAATTCCATTTCCAAACTCGGTAATCCTCGTTGTTACAAGCTCGCCTCGTGTCTTTAAATCAGCATATCGAGCGACGACACAAAAACAATTATATGGAAAGAGGAAACAGGAAAAAAAATATTCAGCCCTCGATGCCTTGTGAAAAAGCCCGAAAATGTCAGGAAATTTATTGGTTTTTAGATTTACGTGGAAGCATTCTCTCGATGCACAATGACACTTTGTGCGCGTTATAAGCCTATTTATGGTTTTCCTCGACATTCCTTACTTGCGCTGATCGCATGAGAAATTTATTGCATTTTCGCTAATTTGCTTTGGGAGTTTTTCAGTGAAAAGTTCTCGTTAACGGATTCAAGAATTCGATTTATTGTTCACTCTCTAAACAAAGGTGACTGAGAAATCCCCGCACGATACATAAATTAAAAAGAACAAAACAATTTTGTAAAAACATTGAATAATTCACGATGTCTGGGAAAATCTTCTTTATGGGGGAAAAATAGTGAAAAGTTGAAGAGTTTTCAAATCGAAATTTCGTATATTTAATGTATGTGAATCCCGAGATAATCCATGACTGAGATTTATTGTTCATAATCATATGGTTACGGGATTAACCTTCTTCTCATCTATGTGAATGAAACCCACGCATGTAAATTACCCAAAAGGCTTTCCAACTTTCCTCCTCCATCTCTTTACAACTCTCACATGTTGTCTAGCAATGTTTCAAGAATTTTATGTATTTTAAAAATATTTTTAATGATGAAAATTTCCAGTTTCAATTATTTTTCAAACTTGAATCGCTCTCGTATTACAACATAGTTTCATTTTCTTCTCTTCTTAAGGTTTGGTTTAAGAATCGACGAGCAAAGTGGCGTAAGCGTGAAAGAAACCAGATGAATGCTTTGGCAACTGCTGCTGACTTTAAGAATGGCTTTGGAACTCAATTCGTTCAGCCATTCCCCGATACTGATGCTTTGTATTCTTCTTATTCGCATTACAATAACTGGGCAGCAAAAGTTCCATCTCCGTTAGGTAAGAATTGATAATTTTTTTATTATATTTCATTATGAAAAACTTTATTCTTCCAAGCAGGTACAAAAACATTTCCCTGGCCCGTTAACCCGCTGGGCTCTGTAGTCTCAACAAATCATCACCAAAACTCAATAAATTGCTTCAACACGGCTTCATCGTCGGTGGCAAGTATGAGTACAACAATGTTACCCGGTACAATGGGCTCGAGCTTATCAGGATCAGGGACGACAGGGGGAGTTGGAGCGCCATGTCCTTACACAACTCCAACAAATCCGTACATGTATCATCATCGTACAACAGCTGAACCTGGCACTGCAATGAGTTCAAGTATCGCTACATTGAGATTAAAAGCTAAACAACATTCATCAGGCTTTTCAAGTCCTTACTCAACTCAATCGTCATCGATATCTCCAGTTTCACGTTCAAACTCTGGTGGACTTTCCGCATGTCAATACGCGGGCGTGACTGACACTGTTTGAGAAAACGCTCTCGTGGGCACGTTGTTAACTCAAACGTCCTCACTCAACAATCTCTTAAGCAGTGATCACGATATGAACTTTGACCAACGCGGTGTTCATTCACAACAACAACATGATGGATCCAATGGAGCTCATACAGCTATCACCGATGATGAAGATTGCACGTCAGCTCATAATGGCAATGCATCGATAAACGATGACATTGCCGATTAATTAAAATTTCTTTGGATGAAATATTCCAAAAACACAATTTAAAAGCATTGTGCATCGTGCAATTTGTTCATTCACAAACACCACACCCACGCACACTTTCGCGAATGTTTTCCATTGGTTAATTATTTCTTTTGTTTATCATCTCACAAAAATATTTTTCGAACCAAAAGCTTTGTTTGATGTTCGAATGTTGATCTCAAAACAGTGTTTGAGTGGGCGTTTATGAAATTCAAGCTGATAAAGACTTTTCGATATCTACAAGAGAGTCGCAAGAAAATATCAATTAACTTGTGACGACACAAATTATTGCTCCGAATGTGTCAACCTTTACCATGATTGATTTTGATAAGCAACAGTGGGCTTCTTGGTGAGCTATATGAGTGTGTGCACCGCCATAGGATTTATTTCGGCACCGATAATCAGATAAGAAATTTATTTCAAAAAGTTTTTTTTTCTCTCTTTTATTAATCAAGTTTCAATCACTTTCTGATCTTTTGCCGACAATGATTCAAATTTTTTTTTATTTTCTCGGTGATAAGATTTTACATTGACGCTTTTGAGGCATTTTAATCAAATTTGATTTTGATTTATTTTTGTACTCTTTTTTTTCTCGATCAATGCGCCCGACAATTGGGGTACCGTGTGCGCGATACTCGAAATTTATGACAAAAATATATAAAAAAAAGAAGAAATGTAGTTTAAGTTTCAATATTTCCCTTGTAAATAATGCATAATATGGTGAATCGTAAGAGAAATTATTTCATAATGTGGCAAATGAAAATTAAGGATCATGAATCAATAAAGACAAATAATAAAATTTAAGGCATCTTCTTTCTTTCTTTGGTGGAAATTAAGCTAAATTATTCGACAGCCATCACAAATTATATCATCAAGTCAAGTTTTATATAAGAATTTGATTGTTAATTGATAATCAATGCAACATTTGTAATTGTAGTAATCTTGCATGTGCAATTTCTTTGCGTTAATGTTTAGTTAATCAAAATTCTTCATTAAATTGATCGAAGGTAAACTTAAAAGTTATCGATAAACACAAACATGAAGACGATCAGTGAATTATTTGATGACATAAACACAAACCTAATTAATATTTAAGTTTCCATCTTAAACCTCTTTAATTTACTTTTCTTCAAATCTTAGCACAAGAAATTGTACAAAAAGAAAAACTTTTTTAATGAGAAAAATTATTGTAAAAATATAAAACGAAGAAAACTTTCACCAATAAATGCTACTCAATTTTAGCAAAGAGAAATCTTAAGTGAATGAATAAAATATTTGTGAAATTGAACGCATACCTATTTAAAAATAAAAAGAAACAAAATATTTGAAAACTATTAATTTAAATAAAAAGCATTTTCTTATAAAATTAAGTTGTCAACTTTCTTTCAAACCAGAAGAAAAGAAAAGAACAATTTTGTCTAGTCAAAGTGAAACTGAGAAAAGAAGAAAATTAATAAAAATAGCAACAAAAATATTAAAAAAAAAGAAAAATCGATTTTTCATTCTGTGTTTGTTCATGGTTTGATCACAAATCACAGCACCAACAACCCTAGTGCGTGTGCAAAAAATAAGAGAAAAAGTTAATTAAATCATTTTATTAAACCACACGCAAACTTACATTAAATTTTCGTCTAATATGTTTATTAGAACTTTCCATTCATCTCCGATGCTCATTCATCACTCGCCCGTTTTTCTCTCCTTTTTCGTGAATCGATTCCTGCTGCGCTTCAACTGTCCCCTCCATCTTTCGCTGCTGTCTTCCTGTACTGTTTATTATTGCAAGCATGCCGAGATCTTTTTGCCTTCACACTTTTTGTTTCTTCAGCCTTTGCTTTGAAACGAAAAATTCTCATAAATATTAAATTCATTCATTCATATCGTTATTGAAGATTGACATAAACATTACACATGTTTCAATTGTTGGTAGTGCAACGCAGAAAGGGGATTATGGAATTACAAAATGTTCATTTAATTTATTCATAATTTTGGGTTTTTATGTTCAATTACAATGCTAGAGTTAACCAGGAGGCGATATGAAATATGTTTGCCATTAAATTTCGATTGTGTCGTTACTGACATATGTCATCAGTGATTCTCCGAATAGAAGATGCGCTTTCAAACTCATGAAACAATGAAATGAAAGTCCGATGAATATAAAATCCATTAATGTCGGCACATGAAAGCTGCGGTAGAAATTCATTAGTTTACATTTCAATCGCCAGTCATGCCAGAATGACCAAACACTTGTACGAGAAAAGCGAGGAAATTTATCGCGTATTTACTGAACAAACAAAAAAAATTGCGGCATTTGAAATGCGTCAGATCAGCGTCTGTTTAACGACCATTCGTGGCGAGAACTCATTCTATTGTTGATGCGCTATTGTGTGCAGTACATTGAAGGAATTTATGTGATAAATAAAATAAACGTTCGTTTCATGCAAATCAACTGAATTTTATCCCTAATGAAATGAAATATTTTCTAAAATGGAAAATGAAAAGAAAAATGAATTTCCCTCCATGACTTATTTGATTAGTTTTTATTCTGATTTCAAACATTCAAATCATGAGGAAAACTCTTGAAAAAATTATTGTTTCAGTAAGAAATAAATTATAAGCGAATTAAAAACTTCTCAACAATATTTGCCTGAAATTTATGGAGTGAAGTTCGCAAAATTGGAAAGGATTAACTTGTCTTGTGAAATTCTGTATTCAAGACGCATGAAAGATTCTGATGAAATTCCATCTAATTAAACTCATTTCTTGTTTGCATTAGAAGTCAAAATAAATTTCTGAAAGAAACCTGAAATGGAAATCAAAAAGCTTTATGTATGAGAATGGAAAATTTTCCGTGAAAAATTAAACAATAATAATTTATGAGAGGCGGAAACCTTTTTTTAATGCCTCGAGGATTTACTTTGTAATTTTTTTATGCTTTAACTTTTCGACTCTTCTGTTCTTTGCTTATGTTTTTCGCTCATTCCAAGTGGTTTTCGAACCCTTTTTCAGTTTTACTAAACTCGGCCAATTCATGCACAATAATTTAAGAAAAAAGGATAAATTTGATTCATTACTGAAATGCGTAAGAAAGTGAAATGAAAAGCAATTAAAACAATAAATTTTCCCCCGGAAAACAACACCCATGAAAATTTATTCCTTTTCTTAGAAAAGTATGAAAACAAGAAAAGTCAAATAAATTATCTAGCTTCACCTTTTTCCCGATTCCACCCACGCACCCGCCATGAGAAGGAGAGAGCACACCGTAAATTCATAATGAGTTTTCCATTTTTCGTTTTCAAAGCATTCAAGTTTCCAAAATTAACAAGCGAAATGGCAAAATATGGAGTCGCGTAATGAAGAAGAGAAAAATCCTCCACCAACCAGCTTCACAATCTTGAAAAGGGTTCACGATACTACATGTACACATAAAGTTGTTCATACTTACCCACTCAAAAATGCTTTTCTCCCAGAGAATATACAATTTTTATCTAATTTATGCACGAAAAAAGGTTTAATTTGTGTTCGCTGTTAGAAGAAACTTTAATTTAAATTTATGTTCGAATGCGTGAAGAGCTTTCCAATTTATATTTAAAATGGTAAAAGAGAAACATGGGGAGAAATATGAAGAAGAACTTTTGTTGCTTCGAGAGGATTCGCTAAGAAACTTTTCTTTTATTATTTATATGCTGAAGGAAGGAAGATACGCAAGGAGTGTATCGCTTTTCTTCATTTCTTTGTTCAAGGATGTTAGCATAACTTTGTAAATATCAATTGTAAAATGAAATTTAGTTCACATGAAAGACTTGAACAAACACCACTGATGCATGCGTATCGCGAAAAAAATAACAAACTTCAACATTCTCTCATCGTGCTATGTTTCCAACGACATTTTATATTATGATTTACGATTTCAATAGAGGATTAAATCAAATGGACAATGAAAGCGGAAAGAAAAACAATGTGGAACTTTACATAGAAGAAAAACTTGCCACATTTTAAAGAGAATTTTCCATGTTTTCAAGCGTTTTTTTCCTTCTTTTGCAACAATCATTTATTCAAAACATGAAAAATGAAAATCGTTTTTTTTTTCTTGTGGGGTAAGAGAAACAATGGCATCAGCAAAGCAAAACGAGGTTTGTTAGTTTGAAACATGGCGGGAGAGAAGCACAGTTGAATATTTTATATATGAAAAATCAGCTTCATTATCATATTTGCTTAAAATTTTACCCATTCGTGCTACGACAATTTTGTAGTGAAACGTACAAGATGAAGTAGGAGAATTTGTATTCATAGAAACTAAGAGAAACGCTTTGATTGTAAGGGGAATTCTTAGGTTTAATTTAATATAGTTTCTACTTATGATAGTTGAGGTTGACGTGTCTGTATTGTTCTGACTTTATCTGAGATTCCTTTAATTATGAAGATTTCCATGCCAAGATATTTCTTCAAATAAAATTTCCAAACCATAAAATCTCAAGCAACTAAAATCAAATTCTTATCATTGTACGAAAATCTTTAAAAAATTTTTACATTTTACAAGTTTGTAAGAGATCTTGACAAAGAAGCTCCATTCAAATATATTTTTGCCAGTAAATTACTTGAAGAGATTTCTTTTGTTTAAGATGGCAAATATCTGCTTTACTTTTAACTTGGAATATAAATTGGAAATAACAAAAAAAATTATTCAGAAAGAAAAAATGCAAAGAAAATGTGAACGACTAAGAAAAGCTGGCCAAGTTGCGATAGGATGAAGCAAATATTATATAACAGTCCAATAGAGAGAATTTCATTTTATTTCAAGAAGATAAGCGAAGGCGAAGAAATATTTAAATTCAAGACGAAAAAAAAGTATCAACAAGAAGGAGGATTTTAATTTAAATTCAAATTTCTTTTATTATCCCTTTTTTCATCCCCTAAATAAACTTCTTGAATTCATATTCGGAACCATGTTAGGCATTTCTAAAATGAACGAAAGTTAGACTTTGGTATAATGACTAGATTGAAGATTAAAATTTGAAAGTCATGACTAAGGAAAATTTGATATTCTTCCTCGGAATCTTTAATGTCCGTTGAAAGTATCCAAAATTTGTTTAAGAAAATTTCCTCGAGAAAAATCTTCCATATATGCTTAAAATAATATTCATCCATTAACATTAATTCCTACCATTTCTTACACATTTTTATTCTTTCTTTCTTTCTCTGTTGTGTTTCCTTATCCTCCCACTCATTCCCCCTGAACCTCGAATGAATTACGTTTCTTTTCGTTTTCATTCCTTTTATTTCCATCAGTTGCTTTCCATGTCATACACATTTTTCGTTCAGTAAATTTCTTCTCATTTATTCACATTTCAATTTCTAGAGAATGATGAAGAAAAAGCGATGGAGAAAGCGATTCAGATCATCATCGTTTCTTTTTCTTTTCGTGGGTATATTTAGGAGGAGGGTTGTTCTGCTGTCTCTCCCAGATGTATGTTTAGTCTTTAGCTTGCTAATGAATATTCTTTTGCTACATTGGTCTGATGCGTATGTGAAGGAAAAAGCGTTGTTCTTAACATTCATTTGCGAAGAGTGATTTGTAAGTTTTGTATGAAGTGAATGAATTCTCATATCATTGAATTCTTTTCTAATGTTACTTAACTGACACATGAATCTAACGAATGAACACATTTTCACAAAAACATTATTTAACCCAGAATAATATTTTCCATCTTTTGCCATTTTCTTGCTTTTTTTCCTTGGCTGCGCTATTATCCGAAATGAAATGAGAGAAAATATCTCTTGCTACTAATTGAAAGTGCTATTTTATTTTCAGAGATTTCGGGATAATGTTGTCGAAAAGATGATTTTAAAACATTTTGTGTGTTTCATGTTTGCTTCTGCTTTCGCTCAATTCAAGAATAAATCCACTGCCAAGTGGCTGCTATTTTCCTTCTATCTCTCAATGGTGTTATCTGCCAGTTTCATTTCATTTATTTTTATTCATTTTATTTATTATTATCAGAGAGAATGTTTTCTTTTGTTTCCCTTTTTTTCTTTTCTATTCCCCATTGCGGGATATCTCCAAAAGATATGAGCGGAGCAATAGAAGCGAGAAGCTTCTTAATGATGATGACTCGACTCTCGTCGCTTTTCCCTTAAACAGAAAAGCAATCAGCAATCTCATGAAGCGGCACACAAAAGTTTTAATAAATATTTTCTTACACTTCGTTTGTTTCGAATTAAAATGTAAATTTTTATCAGCCATGATGGGAAATTTCCCGTCTTTAATTCGAGACTTCTTCAAGCGTTGCTCGCGAAATGGGAAGAAAATTGATTAAAATTGGATGCTACGACAGCAGTGAACAAAGAGACGAGTAATTATCTTCGTGATTTATGATTTTCTGAATTTTTATGAAAATTTTATAAGAAAATCGACTATAAAATTTTTTCGTTGGAAATTCTTCTGAATTTTCCGAATTTTTAATCTGATCCTTCAACACACAAATCATTTTTAATACGTCATGAAATTTCTTCTATCAAATGTTGATTGATATTTCATAAACTTCCAACTCTGTAGATTTTGCAATTCCTGAGTAAATCTTGTACAAAAGAGTTGACTTTTTCGTGATCTTGTTCGTTTTCGTTCTCATAAAATTGGTCCATAAATTTTCCTTCCTAAGACACATGCACAAACGAACGAACGAACAACAAGCGAGTGTTTAACAAGCCAAAAGCCAGCAACATAAAGAAATTTCTTATTTATGCTTTCGTCTGTGCATTTCAATATTTTATTATTCATTGCTTTTGCCAAAAGCTCTTCCACAATGGCAAGCAATTTTCTTCTCTTTCGTTTCATGAATAACCGATTTCTTCTCATATGCGATGCTTTTCGTTTTGAACAAGTTGGAAAATCCACCCCGAAAAAGCGAATTGATTGACTCCATTTTGGATAACGCACATGAATCATTTTTCGGACAGTTTTTTTCTTCAATCAGTGATTTCTTTTCTCCTCTGCTCAAATACGAGTCAGAGTAAGAAAATAAAATAAAAATATCTGTCAAATTGATAAGATTAACAGAACGGCTCGATTATGAATGTCAACCGATTAAAAATGGCGAAAATTAAATTAAATTTTTGAGCAAATGCGGGGAAAAGAAGCGAAAAACATTAATTTGAAATTATTTTTTGGCTACTCTTTTATTTGTGCCGCCCCAACTTCGAAAATGAAATTTTCATTAGATACATTAAGCGCGTTTATGATGATAATGAATAAATGGTGTGGATTAATTCAATATTAATTTAATTACTGAAAATAACTTTTTTTTAATTCTTCTTCGTTTTGTGACGATGATGATGGTTAGATATCAGTTATCGACGACAAAACTTCTGCGAGTCAAATTCATTCGCGTTTTCAAATTGTTTATTCGGTCGTACAACACAATTTCAAATATTGAGGAGAAACGAAATACGAAAAAAGGATAATCCCGCATTTTCTCGTGAGTTTATTGAAAAAGGATTTTTCTTGTTCGTTTTTCCATTCCTTTTTCCTTATTGCTAAATCTCAATTTTTCTCGCAAAATAACTTTCACCCCACGCTTATACAACAAGCACTCACGCACGCATTGTTGAATATATTTTATTTTCCCTACTGTGCTACCTTTTTTTCATCCATTTCGTGAATGGATTTTTCAAGTAAAGAAACATTTCAAAATGAGAATCTGAACTTTTTTTTCCTCCTCTGTTAATGTTTTTTCTTCTGTTTGCCAACTACCGATGAACGTCTCGATGATGCATGGATCCATATTGACATGATGAAAAAAGCCATAAAACAAGCAACATCAATTTTCATCACAACCCCATTTTTCATACATAAACATTTTATTTCACTTTTATTGTGTGCTTTCGCAATTTTCTTCTGATTATAAAAGCGAACTTCTTGAAGTCGCTATGGGGAGAAAATTGAAAATATCTGCTTTCGTTTTTTTTTCTTTTTTATGCTTTTATGCGCAATATGTTGCCTGCTACATTTTCATCTCCATCATCTTGTTTTCTCTTGTTTTATTACTCAAAGCGTTAAAGTGGGAGATGGAAGTAAAAGAGAAGTTTCATTTGATATCGATTTGATATAACAACATGATATTAAACTTTTATTATTAATTAATTTTGCTTTCTATTAAATTTTATGGGAAAAAATATTTTTCAGTTTTTGCAAATTATGTTGTCAAAAACGAATAAAAATAAAAAAAAATTCAAATATTTACTCCAAATCAAATAAAAATATTTATTTTCGATACAAGATAGAAGAAGAAAATGAACATTTATGACTTTTTTGTCGGTTTTATTGTTGCGAAAAAATTGCTCCACCTCTGAGATGTTTTTAAGAGTGAAGGGTGAAATGACAATCAAATAAAAAATGTTTTCTATCGAAATTTTCTTTTTTATGTTCTTCATCTTCAAATCATTATAAATATTTATATGTGCGGAACATTCAAAAATATGAAGGATTTATCATTGCAAGGAAATCATAAAAAATGAACTAGTCACTCATGTCGGATCTCAAAATTTTCTTAAATTCTCATTAACTACAATGACATGGTGAACGTTTCCTTTTTCAAAAATAAAATAGTTTTATGAACATCATGGAATGACGCGTGATAAAAATGAGAAACTTGAAGATATCCTCAACATCCGCTTTTGAACGTGAGTTTTCTGACTTCTTTTATAACTTGGATAATGACGTAACAAGATTCTCAAGAAGAGAGGGAAAATTTCAAGTAGATTTTAATTAAAATCTTGCTGCTTCAATGAATTGGCTTTTGCAATGAAGCATCTCTTGTTGCATTGAAACGGCGTGTAGTAAAAGCAAAAAAAAAACAATTTGTCATAAAAAACTACATGAAACTAAAACCCATAAAGCTTCTTACAACTGCAATATTCTCAAGCTCAAAGGAGATCGTAAAACGTGGAAATTAATTTACGTCTCAGCTCTTCTGTTTCATGATGAATTTTTTATTACAATTTTTTCTTTTAGATACTTCCATTCACTTCAAGAAAAACTATAAAAAATGTCATTCCTCACTCACATAATTAAATTCTTGGCTAGTGTGTCAATACTAGCTGATCCACCTTCCAAAAATTACGAAAAATCAGTCCAGTAAGAAGACGACGAAAGGTGAGTCAAATAAAGCCATACAGTTTGTGTCTGGAAACTTAAAGCTCCAAATAATCTCTGGTTGGTTACAGGTTGGTGTTGCGAGGATTACCAAACAGCACAAAGAAATAAAACGAAAGAACGAAGGCGAGAGATGGAAAAGGTCAAAACATTAATCGTCAAAACACGACCTGAAAGCGCAGAAAAAAAAAGTAAAAAATTTATAAACTTGAGAAGAAAAGTTGTTTGGCTTTGATAACACACATTTGAACCTTCTCGATAGAAAACCTCTCGACGGAGATGAAAGAAAATGGTGAAAAAATTATCTTGTCGACTAATTCGCTTGAATCCTAAGAAAATCCTTCAAATAAATCCTTGCAATACTGGGATACCTTTTTTTCACAAATAGAAAAACATTTCCATTGGGAGTCATGCGTTGATCTTGTAACATCGAGTAAGCAATATATCGCATAACTAACATCGACCTTACAACTAAATAAAAAGTGTCAAAACCAACACCATAAACATAAAATTCAACGACCTTCTTAAGACAAGTTAAATATTTGTTTGCATCAAAGAAGAAAGTTGAAATGGCGAATTAAAATTTATTAAAATGGAAACTTTTTCTTTTTGTTACCTTAACAATTGAAATAATCATGAAAGATTCAAACCTCAGGACCCATTTACGACGTGTGTTGTCTCGATGAAAGTGAAAATTGAATTGAAGCTCCTCCATTATCGAGAAAAGATTGAAATTGACATTATGACATTGACAATCATGAATGACATTTAAAGGCTACAGGAAATGAAAGTAAGCAAGAAGGAAGCTATAAATTTTTAGTGGAAAAAAAGAAAACAGCTTTATTTGCAAGCAAATAAACAAACCAATTTTAGGAATGAAACTTCGACCCACAAAGCAAAAGACATGCCATGCACACACCGGATCCCCATAATCTTTGATCCAATAAAGTGAGATTAGATTTTATGCAACAGCAAACCATATGAAAATCCCATTTCGAAGGAAGAGGCAACACGAGAAATAAAATCAGAAGAAACAAGCTAAGAAAGTAATTTTATTGTTGCCATCTTAAGAGGGCGCGGGTGGGGAGCAAATGAAGTCATAAAATGTGTCGATCGTAAAAATAAAAGTAAAAATTAATTAATATGGAACATTACACCAATGAATGTTCCACCCATTGGATTTTACGAGCGTTTCATTATTTTTAAGTATTTGCGTTTTGTGTGTCGCACATCAAAGATCGTTTGGATCTGAAATCATGAAAAATATTTCATCTCGAATTTCATTTCTTCTAATCTGATAGACAATTTCAATACGTAAATCTGTTTGGTATGCTTTTAAATTGTGTTTCAGATTATCTTTAAACTTTCACTTTATTCCTTACCAGACAGTAACAGGTGATAGCATTTTTAATGAAACATTTTTCAGGCTTGGTTCCGCTAAATTATGATCAAAAGTTTTAATTTATGAGTCCCATGGTGCGGGTATAAATTCACATAGAAAAGAAGCTTCCCTTTTGTTATATTTCAAACTTTCATTTTTTGTTTTAAACTCAAACTTTTTGTGTTATTCTTTCTTTGAAACATTGACTGTGGGGAAAAGGAAAACTTTTCTTTCCAATTAATAATTTTTCATTTTCTTTGAACCGTCAAAATTGTATCTATTCGGTGATGGGAAAAATTTATGAGATGATGGCAGTAAAAATTCTTTCACACATTTTTCATTCAACATTGACGGAAAAGTTCGGTGGTTTTGTTAGAGTTTTAGGAAGATACGCAAGAAACTCGTGTTACAGTTCATTAAACTTAAAACATCAACTCAGATAGCTAAAGTAAGCACAATGGTGGAAATATTTATATTAAACCAAACTCAAATAACAAACTTTTCCTTTACAACTCCGAAGGAATAAAGGAATAAAACCGGGCAAGTTCCCTTCTCTCTCCCCTATGAATTGCCCATCAACTCAAATTCATACAACCGACATCATCAATCTTTTTCGATTTAGATGCAAATTTTCCATTCGGTCGCCATAAAATCTGACCATAAAATTCATGAAATTACTTTTTTTTCTGTTTGCAGTAGATTTTCAAATTTTATTATTATTTTATTTTCAAAATAAGAAAAACTTCGATGAAAGTTTATTTAAAGAAAAGTTGTTTTGATTGAAATTGATTTGAATTTTAAAACAAAACAGTTGAAGGAGGGGAAGATTCTTTTCTTTTATGCTTTAACTAATATACTTACATCAGATGTTAATGATGGTGAATGTAATCCAATGAAAAACTATTTTCCATTGATTCGAGCAACATTCGTTCAATCGTAAATTTGAGAATCAGAGAGACAAGGGACATAACGGAACAGAAATAAATTACTTATTTTACTATCATTGTCAATGATTAAATTGCGTTCACTATAATATAAATGGCTTTTATGTAGAAGCACATAAATTATCTCCATGCGAGTCTCTGCATCTCCCCTTCCATCGTGATGAAAATTTTGAAGTTTGAAGTCATAGCAGAATGAAAATCACGCAAGTTTTGAATGAGATTTTAAAATATCCTTTAATAAAGATTATGGAAGTGACTTTCATGCTTAAATTCATTCATTTTCTTAAGAAAAATCCAAATCAGAATATGCATTGCTATCATATAAATTATTGCAAAAGTCCTTCAATACTAAGACTTTTTAAGACGCATGCTCAATTTTAATTGCTTCGAGAGCATCACTCGAGGAAGAATAGAATAGAATAAAAATAAAAATAAAAAACAACCAACACATGCATGAGGATGAAAATGGAATGCACTTGCTTATCATAAAATAAACGAAGTGAAGTGGATTGCACAATTTTATTGTTTATGAACCTCCACGGTTGGAGCACTTCACAGACCAAATCTTATTGTTACTCTACTTCATTTATCCATAAAGAAAATCTCGGGAAAGAGTGGTTTAACTTCTTCTATACAAAAGATAGCGAACGCTCCAAACTAATTTTCTGAGAACATATAAATTATGATCATTTTATGCTTTTTATGCTCTTCGTTAAATGGAGAATTCCTTTCTTTCCTTTGTTATGTAACACATAAAGTATTGATTTTTATGTGATTAGACTTTTTGTTCTAATGTTTGAAAACCTTTCTCTGGTTCTTCAAGAATTCCTGTCATGAACAATTAAGGTGAGTTGAGTAACATTCAATTTCCGAAATATAAAAAAATCTCTCCCTCTTCCTTCCACCATTTTCATTTTCCATGTTTTCCTCATTTTCCTCTAATCCCTCTCATTCACGTATGCAACAGAATGAAATTTATAATTGCCATAAAAAAACGTACAAACTCTTGTGCTTCCCTTCATTCCTCGTCGTCTACAGTTGCTATCATTCACCTAAAATAATTTTACTTCTTCCGAAAATGTATAAACATCGGGAACCCATCATTTTAAAGCACAAGAAAATGGGAAAAAGTTACATCAAGGAAAAAAAGAAATCCACCCTCGCATGTTTACGATACATGAGAAAAGAAGAAAAAGAAGCGAGTGGAAAACTGAAGTTGTTTTTTGTCGTTATTCTGTTTATTTACCCTTGATTGGTTCTTGTTCGTTGTGTAATCCGTTTTTATATATTTTCTTTGTTTGAGTATTTAATGGTTGGAAATATTGTTCGGTCGGCAAACATATTTCGATTATTCTGAATTTAGTTTTTGGTAAAAATGTCCATGAAACTATTCCAGATTTAATATTCAATAATCTACCGAGTATTCTTGCTAACCACTTATTGAATTTATTTAAATTCTTTTTCAGTATTGAACTGAAATAAATGGCAAATGATGTCTCTATATCCAACATTCTACCTAGTTTTGTTTTAATTTAAAATAAAATCTATAAATTTCTTTTTTGAATGCGCTCCAAAAATAGATGAAAAAAAAGTTTAAACACATAAAAACTCGAGGCTTAACGTGAAAGATAGAATGTTTGTTGCTGTTCAGTTTCAGTAGGATTAAGAAAACTGCATCTTCCAAGGATTAAAATTGAATTATTAAAGATTTTCTTTTCACGTGCTTCTTTTTAACATTTTTTTCTTTTTCTATGTTTGTCGTTAGCATGTCTAACTTCAACGCAGTGTTTATTTATAAATTCATATGTAAATTTCATATGTCGTTGTAGCATCTTTTGATAATGAAAACTATGTTAGATATAAGATTTGAAGGTTTTCTGAGATGCCTTAAGGATCTAAATAAATACACTCAGTTTTATTTCCATCATGACGTCACTTTTGACAGAATAATGAATTGCGCTGAGCGATGAAAAAACTGCTCCATTTCTGCAATAAATCTTCACTTGAGTTCTTTCTTCTCGCATTCCTAACAGTGCTGTATCTAAAAGAATCATTCAGCAAATCATGAAGATGATAATTTATTGTGATTCACGTCTGGACTCCAACTCATTATGAGGAAACAGCAAAAACAAAATTATCTTTTACTTCTCCTCCATTTTACGCGCAAAGATTGATAATGAAAAATAAATAAAATAAGAATCTTACCATTCATTTTGCCATTCTGTTATTTTGCTTTCTTATTTAATTAAAGTCAAATTTTACGAAGAAACTTTTACGCAATGTTTTGTTTCTTTTCTGAGAAGCATAAAAGAATGAAAAAGAAATGGCAGAAATCCAATTTCACTTGGAAAATCCCATTTTCCTTCTCGACGAATTTTTATGAACGAAATAAAATTGTACGACGCGTGATGTGTATGATTGGATTTTAGTGAAGACGAGAGAAACGAAGAAAGGAATTGAATCCAATTTTTATGAACTCAATTGGATGAACTTCGCTCTTTATCAGTTACCTTATTCGCAGATAAATCCTGACGACGCATTCACGTAAAAATTGTAAAATGCGAAAATAAAAAGCGAGAAAAGATAATCTTCGAATACATTAGCAAGTAGCTTTCCTCTTTCTTTTTTTTTTTATTTTCGCAGGCTGAGGCTTTTCAATTCAATCTTTCTCTCCCTTTGCCTTTAAACAGGTTGCGATGAAGGATTTCGTATGGAAGTGAAAAGAAAATATGAACATCGAATTGAGATTTGGATTTAACTACCCACCTTGTTGACTTAACTTCATTTTAGACAAGGAGAAAAAATAACCTGAACAGAAAAGTGAAATTTTCTCAAGCAAAAAACCTTGAACCACACAAATGTGATCGTCGTAAGACTTTCCAACATATTGAAATTGGATCAACAATTTATTTATTTTAATGCACAAGAGATTTTCTCTGCTTTCAATGCTGAGTGAGAAAGAAAAGTGGATTGAAAAGCGAAAGGAAAACAGGAAAAACAAATAAAAGAGTCAACAAATTGGAAAGCGAATAAATTTATGAGATAAAAAAAGAAACAGGATCAAGGAAAGCTTCGGGTGTCAATTCTCATTTTTCTTTTCAAAATATGAATGCTGAGTTATTTGTATTTATGTTTTGTTTAGATAAATGAAAAGTTTAAATTTTTCTCTTTCTTGAAATTCAATTTTATTCAAAATTTGTTTCTAAGTTTCAATTTGATTCTGTAACGGTTTTGATTTGAATTTCAATCTACTGAGCTTTCCAAAGCTTTGAAAATTCGCTTCTAGTCTAGTACTACTTCAAATTTAAAAAAAAATTAACGGTTAATGTTTAAAACTGTTTCTCTCACGTTGAAAATACAAAAATAGCTTAGAACGCGTTACATGACTAATTTTTCTCTCAGTTTTTTCTCAAACTCTACGCTGAAAACTTAAGAAAATCGATTTCGAATTTATCAACTAAGAAAAAATAATTAGAAAGTGATAAATTGAATGGTAAACCTGTGATGTTTGCATGGAAAAGACCATTAACAGTGAAATCCCAAATTTGGCATAGTTTTGAAATAGAAAATAAATCCAAAAACAACATTGATGAATTTATTGTGCAAGATCTCCCGAGAGAAAAATTCTGCAATGCTGTTGATCATATGGTGGAACATTTTCTCACAGACGAACCAATATGTAAAACAAAACAAATACGAAATGACAAAGTTGCACTGAATGAAGTTTGCAACTTATGGAAAAATGTGTTAGAACAAAATTTAGTTCTTGTATGCTACAAGAAAGGATCTGATGAAATCATTGGATTGAATATGTTATGTGTAATAACGAGAGACGAATATATGAACTTTAAATTTGAAATAAGTAAACATAATACATGGAAAGCCATTCATGATGTCGCATTAGCTCGTTTCAATCTATTTGAACGTTATAAAGATGCTGATAAGATTTTAATAGCATATGGCTTGAGTGTTTCAAAATTCTATCGTCGTAGAGGAATTGGAACAGAAATTTTAAGAGCAAGAATTCCTTTATGCAGAGCTTTGAAAATCCCTTTAACTTCAACAGTTTTCACAGCTTTAGGTTCACAAAGACCAGCCGAAAAAATTGGATTCAAAGTTGATTTTGAAATATCCTATGATGAACTTAGACAATACAGTGATGAATTTAAACTTGATAATCTTGAAACTAGCAGCCTAAAAGTAATGAGTCTTGTGATAGAAGAAAATGGAAAATAAAATTTTAACTTTTTTAAGTAAAATGTGTTTTTTATTTAATCTTTTTCTTGATAAACTAAACTTTTTTGTTTTAGGTTTCCATTGAAAAATTATTATTTTATAATAAAATTAACATACGAAACATTAAGCGTTGTATATGATAGTAAAACATGATTAAAATTAGACTATTGCGCAAATAACTAAATGATTGTTTGATTGAAATGAAATTATTCATATTTTCACCACAAATGTTGATGATTCTTAAAGCTTTGCTGAATTATTTGGCTTCAAATGAAAATTCCTAATTTAATTTAACATTTGTGGTGAAAATCTCGAACATTTCTTATTGCACAAAGATTACGAATGATTTTCTTTCTATGTTTAAAGCAATTAATATCGTAAAATTTCATGTTTCTAACTATTTATCTCGATTCTTATATTATAAAATCCTTACAAACTAATCAAGGCTTTTCTTTCTTCTGAAATTTCATTAATTTCACTAAGTTATACTAAAAGTTATAGCGTCCATCTCATGATGTGGCAGAACATCCATACGTCATTCGATATTCGAGATATTTCATACCTGAAAAAAATAATTTAGATTGATCAGTATCATTAACATTTAAAATTAATTAAATTATCTGACGAAAAGCGGAATGATGTCAAAAACGAAAGAGTTGCAAAAACGCGAAGTCAACGTGATTCAGCGAGAAAATGTAACGTTATTCTTTTCAGCAGTTTCTGTTTGTATATTTTAACTAACGTACGTCATTTCATTAAGAAAACATCTGTTAACTTATCAAAAACTGGTTCCGGTTACCAAAAATTCTTTCATGTTTTTCTTGCGATTATTAAAGTAAATTTTGTCGACCGTCCAACATATCTTAAGAGTAATTGCTAAATTAAACAACGTTAAAACATTTCAGTTGCCATTGCAATGGTAACTTAAAGTAAAAACAATTTAAGTTGTTTTTCAAATCTTACTTCAAGGTTATTTGACTATTTCGCATCGAAAAAACTGCAAAAATAATTTAATTTGTCTTAAAAACTTTTCTTCCGTATCAGTGAGCAGCATCGCTAAATATTTAACTTTTCTTATAATTCACATTTAGACAGTTCTTTAAATGAAATAATATCTTATTACGTTGATATTAAAGTCAAAATTGATGAATTTATAAGGAAGTCATGGAAGGTTGTTAAACTTGATTGAACAAACGTTTAATCGATTTGCAATTATTGAATGACTAGTCATCTTCGTTGCGCAATTGTGCATTGTTAATCACACCTTATACTTAATATAATGTAATTGAAAAGTGACAACTTACCACTATTATGCCAGTAGTAGAGAGCAGCAAGCACGAAGAGATGCCACCAATTGTGCGAATGACCAGCAAAATCTACTTTACCGACAAGCCATCGTTCAGGTATTTTGGTGATATAAATTACAAATGCGATAATAACAAGCGCATACATTCCAATAACTCGTGGAATGAAAATCTATGAAAGAAAGTAAGAATGTTGAAAATTGTTAAGAAGTTTAATATTTGTTAATCTTACATTAATCATGGAGTTTTCACTTCCGCCCATTTCGAAGTACCAATGAATTGTTGGTATCACTCCAAATGCAGCCCATGACACAAATACTGCAATCTTAATGTGATCTTTTACTTTTAAACGTGGAATTTGCATTATCATTGATATTATGAATATCACGACAATTGTAGCGATATAAAAATTCCGAAGGACCTGAAATTGCAATTAGAAATTAATTTCATTCCTTCTTGATTCAATTGAATGCAAACTCACGCTATGACACCAGAAAGCGTAATATATTCCACTTATATAAATCGCTAATAATGACAGAGCGATTCCGAAAAGATCGTAAGTTAAAAAGCAATCATAATCGTGCTCCGACCGGCAACAGAAAATATGATAAAATGACGACAAACACATGCAGATCTGGAAGCACACTAGAAGCGCACCAACGATGAGCTTATCAACGAAATGTGCGTGAATTTTCAGGAAAGCAATGTCGTTGATGGAAAGTGCGATGAACAAAAACAGCCCGAAAATGTGAGACCAGATGTTGATCTATTGTTGAATTTGAAAGTTCAATTGCGTAAGTATACAAAAAATATTAAAAGTTGCGCAATTTTAAAACTCACAGTTTCATTTGTCCACCAAAAGATCGATTCCCAACAAAGCTTCGATGGCAACATTGTGCGATATCCTTTGCGGATAAATGGATTGAATTGAAGATATGATGGAGCCTGTAAGCAATGTAGACAAAGAATATTAATTAGCAACTTATTAATAAGTTGATGAAAGAAAGTTCAATAAACTTACATCATCATAGTCCAAGAGTTGTCTGAACTTTCGATAATTTTCATCTTCTTCCTTCATCAACATCTCATTCTCTTTCTCTTTTTCTTGCACTAATGCAATCTGATTATCACATATTTTTATGCAATTATTATTATTATTGTTGTTGCAGCAACTATGTTTGTTTGAAATAGCCTGGAAAAGAAGATGAAAAAAAGTTTTCTCTTATTCACATGTTTCAAGGACATTGAACGAAAAAGATTTCGCAAAAGTCGCTCTGTCGCCCGTCAAGGTAAACAAACTCCCCACGAAATATATGGAATTTCCATCGTATTATTTTAGTGCTTCATGCTCTTGTGACCTTGTGTCGATTGCTGTGAATTAACTCTTACAGCTCATATTAACCATCTAGAAAATTATTAAACACGAGGGGAAACATGAAACTTGATTTTTTTGTATGTTTATGGAACGAACGAACGAACGTTATCATAAAGTCTGTCGATCTTTCGAGATGTACTATGCAAATTTTAGTTCTCAAACTCACTTCATTTCAAAAATTGATCAATATTGAGTTGTGTTTGTTGATATGGAAATTTGTTTAAAAATAGAAATCATAAACAGGTTGAAATTTTCCAGTTTGATTAAAATATTTTATCAAAATTCAAAAGTTGTTCAGAACTTTAAGGAAGTATTTCACTTCCATATATTTGTCGTGTATGCAACGATCATTGATCATCTGATGTGCAAAGTACTAAATATCAAGCATTCGTTATTATTGCATAGATAACACGAGGCTAAGGAACTGCACTTGCTTAAATATTCGAAATTCACTTTTCGTAGTGCGATCAAGGACGAAGAGAAACGTGATAATGTTAACTAAATGAAATGCAAAAGATATTTACTTCACAAAAAAGTGGTGTGGCGAACATTGCATCAACGATTTTTCTCCTTCTTTATATTTATGTTCAATGGCAGTCTTCAGTGTTAAATTGCTCTTGCTTCAAAGCTTTTTTCTTTTCCACTTTAAGCTGTCAGATGTCTTTATTTAATTTCACTTCAAGTTTTTATTTTCCAAAAGAAAAACTTTTAAGTTTCTTAAATCTTATTAATTAATGTTTGAATTTTTAACACACGAAAATGTTTTTCACAATCCTAAGTAGCGATCGTGAAATGTTGCACTGCAATGTTCAGAGACTCTCACTCAACTTTTCGATTGCATGAAAAACTTAAATGTTTTGTAAACAAAATTTTGTTGCACATAAAAGTAAACTTTTTTCCTTCAATGTCTTTCCTTATTTATATTGCGATGTTTGATATTTTGTTTGAGCACAATTTTTGTTAATGCACTTTCGGACTTGACTTTTTTTTCAATTTTAACAACTGGAAAATCCACAAGTAAGACGAAAATCCAAGTTATTCAATTTAATTCACTTGCTTTGGAATGTATTTTGTGACTTTAATCAAACACTTTGATCCAAGATAAACATAAGAATAGTTTTCTTCTGAAGCAAATTTCAGTCCGAAGCTGACCGCGCTCAAGTCACAACTGATGAAACAATGCGAATGTTAAAGCACGAAAAGCTATCGAATAGCGTTAACATCGAATTAATGCTCTCACTCTCGCGCACATGGTAGAAAAGACGTCATGAATGTTTCTTTTTTTTCATAAGTATTGTTAAGTTGTCCATTAACTGGCGTAAGAAGATTTCGGTTCAACACATCGATTGCTAGTTTTTTGTTGATTTCTTTTTTCGAGACACGAGTTAAGCAAGTTTTTTTAATTCTATAACGATTGCGCATGTACATATATTGTTTATCGTTTTTACGTATTTTAAGTTTTTTAAAAATAGGAATGATGACCTTTTGGAAAGCAAACAAGTAGCAAACAAGAAAACCAGAACTTAGTTTGAAAATAGTGGAAATTATTGAAATAATTCAAGAGTTGGTGTTGTCTTTGCAATTTATGTTAAACTAAAGCGACAAAAATTGTTATTATTATTACGATTTAGTGAAATTGTAAAATATTTGATCACATAATATCTAGAGAGATATTTTATTTAAAATTGACTCGCTTATTACTTTTACATATTTAAAAACTGTAAAACAAATTAACTTCATAATTTTTGCAAATAGCAAATAAACGTTGATGCCATATTAGATTACTAAATACACGAAAAAATTAAAAGTTTGATGAATACGTATTGTGTTTTATTACATGACTGTTGAAATTTAACTTTTGGTGGCATTAAGCAAGCCGATGATCATCAATCTCTCGCTCTCAAGAAAAGCTTTCTCACCAACCTCTCGCGTGGACTACTTTTTGCCGAGTGATCATGTATCTTGTAACACAGTGACTTAGTTACGCTGCAGGCCGACCCGCGAAAAAAAAGTAGATAAACTCTTTCTTTCTTTTTTCTTCGACTGGAAAAATGCTTTTCAATATTTCATGCTTTGAATGAAGCTCATTAGTGGTGGTAAGAAATTTACAAAAAAAAATTCGTTACCCGATTATGTAATCTCATCTCAATATTCAAGCACTCATTTCTCTGTGTCGGCTTCAAGTAGTGCGTTTAAGTTTCTTTATAGGTGAACGATGTTGTGAAAGGTAAATGAACGCATAAAATGACAGCTAAAGTAAAGATGGAGAAAGGTGCGAGTTTCCTTCTTTTTAAAACAAAAGTACGCTTGAGACTTTCAAATTCAAATAAATTAATCAAAAATTAACAAATTTTATTTTGATGAGTTGAATAATAATCGTATTTGTCCTTCGATAGGTTGAACGTGTAATCAATTTTATTCTATGATAATAGATAATCATAATTTGCAAGCACATGAAGGTAATCTTGAGATTATTAAGTTGCACATGCAGTAGAATTATTTGCGATCGTTAATAGTTTTCTGCTAAATTGATTGCTTATACATTTGTTACGACATTGTTTGATGATCACTTAAGAGACTGTTAAGGATCTAACAATAAGTAAGAAGTCTTTACTGATGCGAATTCTCCTACGTCAATCAATATTTATAGTAAATAAGAAGTTAAGTGACATTAACAACTTCTTTTTTCAATGTCTTCATTACACGCGCAATGAATAGAACAAAAACAAAATCTTCTTAATAATTGAAGTTGTTTCTTGACGTCATCCAAAGTTACAGTACAAAAACATTCTCATGAAAGAAACGACTGACCACAACTTTACGTGTTTAAATCATTTTCAAGCTGTGATTTAGCAGCATGTGAGAAGGCTTTCTTGGTTCATTGCACTCCTGATTTCAAAGCAAACCATTCAAAGTAAATATTTTCTTTTTCTTAAAACCCAAAATGAAAGAGTTTTGGATTCCAAATATAAGTTGACCAGGAAATAAAAAATATTTCTGCGATTCAATTTAAACAAGTAGGTAAATTGTTACTAAAATACTAACGGCGGCGTATTAAATTGTTTGTTTGTCTCATTTTAAATTACGTAAACTATTTCAAATGATTTTGTTTTCATCCCTTAATCAGCTTAAATATTTCTAAATGATTCAACATGAATAAATCAAATCAAAGATGTATGCAACGAATTTTATTTTATTAACTTTTACAGAAATTTCACTGACGATCATAAATAATTCATGTGATTTACAACCATAAAACATGTTCAAGAACAAGAGAAAATTTTATTCCTCTTAATACCAATTATTACTTGCGTAATAATTACTTCGTGCTTGAACTATTTTCATGTCAGAAAATTAAGATTTTCGATTGTGAAGTCAAGACCTGCTCAAAAATTTCAGGTTTGACTAGGACTAAGACAAAAGAAAGTTGAATAACAGTTTCTTGGATGAAAATCCGAATAAAATTGATTTCAGTTTTCGTTTCTGGGTCATCTGTCTGTCTAGTGAAGAGTAAAGATATCGTTTAGATTGTTGACATAGATTTCAAAATAAACATTGATTTGATAAATGAAATGATAAGAATTTTACGGGTTGAAATAATCGCAAAAAGTGATAAGAATTGTTTTATTGAAATGTAACTGACCATCTTAAAAGCAAATTGATTAAACTTTTTCTATGTAAACAAAGAAACTGCCAGTATGTCATGAACGAACACATGGCTTAAACTTTATTGTTTCATTAACGGTTTGATGTCAATAGCCAGTGACGTTATTTCGTAAATGCTTTGTCATTGATGGAATAGTAATTGATAGAGTATTTAGTTGTGTGTTGATGCTCTGCAATTAAAGTATTGTCTTACGAATCACTGAATTTTTGTTAGCGATCATCTGAGATTTATTCATTCAATAGTGCGTCGATTGTTTTTTGCTTTGAATACACATTTATATTTATGTACACACCTCAAAACTACGAGAAGAGAAGAAAATCTCGCAGCTGATTACATAAACACTGTTTGAATGAAACCGAAAGCCGACCTACTAGTTGATGAGAGGGAAACGCGATCGTTCGCCTCAATTTAACGTCTCGTCGATAAAACTCTTCTCCTTCTTCTTCAATTTGCATTCATATTAAACTTGACCTGAAAATGAATAGCGCGTACGACGCACCGACAATCTCTTTCATTTTCATTGCTTGTATTGATAATTTAGGTGAACAAAACCCAGTTGGTTCATCAATATTCGTCTTTAAATATTTATATCAATGTTTGTTTTTGTCAACACGTTAACTGACTTGTGACGAGGTCATTGGAAGGGGACGAAGTCATGTTGAATTCAATTGTATTTGAGATATTATCAGAATGATTCTGAATTCAAAAGACATGACATAATCAATTAAATAACCCAAAAATTACTTACAGGTTTAATCCACGATGAATTTAGAGACACCCTCCGATGAAATAATTGACTTCCTTCTTTGTCAATCGGCTGTGTTAGAAATTCCGTCCTCAATAGTTCAAATTCAAACTCTTCCATCTCGAGAAAGTCGATTAATTGATCTCCGACAAAGGAAAATAATTTCTTCAGGTTTATCACAGAAGTGCTCAACTTTCGTGCACGTTCTATAAAAGTGTTACTCAGATCTTTTAGAAATCTGGAAATGATATAAAAATTAATTTTATACTTATTGTTTATGTAGATAAATAATTTTAGTTTGTGACGACATTAAAAATTGAAAAGTTCTTTTGAATAAGACGGATTTGCGACGAACAGGTTTGTGAATAATTATTGTTGTTCTGATGACGATAGTAAACAAGCACCAAAAATTAAAGTACGCTGACGCAAAGTGGTCAACAAGGAATTCCGTAGATATTGGTTTTATTAAAAAATGTTATTGAACCGGTACACAACACGTTTTGTTTTGGGGTGATTTAGGTACTTCTTTTTCTACGAGTTAATAGTTTTACCAGAACAAATATTTTCTATTTATATTGACAAATTCCACCTCAAAACAAATCAAGTCACTTTTCAAATCAACATGTTTTATTAATTGAACTTGATTAAATGACAATGGAGACAGAAAATTATTCTTTCTGTTGTCATTAATGCAGTGTTAGTGATAATAACAAGAAAAGGAATATTTTTTATAAAATCACTCGAAGGCTTCAATAATCAATAAGATAATCCAGTCTTTAATATTTTACGACTAATATCTTTTCCTAAAACTTAAATAGTTATTTCAAATCTCCACACTTTCTCACTTGTAATATTTTGGCAAAATTCCCAACAAAAATTTTAACGAGAAGGAGAAAATGATTTTCATTAACATTAAGAATGGCCAAAAATAAACTTTTTTTTAATCATTAGTAAGACATGTAGATAGTTTAAGATGAAACAAATGTTTGAGTAGGAAATATTTTCTGATTCAGAACATTAATATTTTAAATTTTACTGAGAAAGCTAAACAACATGTTGATGTAGAATTATTTATTTCAAAAATTAATTCATCAATTCAAGGGCAAGAATGATGCAGAAGATTCATGAAGTCACCGAGCGTATTTAATCCTCAACATGTAATTAAAGCGGCTTTAACTATATGAAATAGTTCGTTGAACATAACTTGAAGGCATTGCAGATTTCAATTTCAAGTTCGAGGCGAGCACGCTAACGAGAAATAAAATTTTTCTGTTCTCTTGCGTCACAGAAATTATAAACACATTCCGCTTTCAATCTTGATAATCACTCTTCTATTGAAATCACTTCAGAACTTATTACAAAATGTACTTCTTGAATTAATTCTGACCTCTGACGTTTACATTTGTCTTCTTCGGTTCGTTTAATTGATGGATTCACAAAATATTCCCAACTTATTCAATCAAACGTCAGTCTGACTTCAGGGATTTTAAATAACTGAGCGAAAAATTCTCGCCAAAATGAAAACTGATTGAAGAAATGATAAATTTAGATTTTTTGTTATAAGAGTGAATAACAACATGTAAATATCATATGGTTCAGGGTTGTCGAAAGTGTTTTAAATTTCAATATTTATAATGAAATAAGTTCTCAGCCGCAAAAAAGTGAAATTATTGAATGTTTATTATTCAAATGCAATTTAAACCTAAAATCAGTTTTAATTTGTACACAACTTAAAGTGTTTGAACCACTGAATGGCCTACATTCAGAATATATAAATATAGAATTGATAACAATAAGCAAGAGAAATATAAAAATGTATTCAACTTAGACTTTTATGATTTAAAAAAGAAACTAATGATTCTTTAACTGCATTGCAGATATTTTTATAAGAAGAGAAAATAATAAATCTCTTAAATTTTTCATGAGGAATTCGTGTTTTTCATAGCGATTTGATTACAATTCGTAAGAGAAACATGACATGAGATTCTCAAAGTTCATGCCAAGAAATATTTCATAATTAAAGTATTTATAGACTAATTGGAAAACAAAATTCTCAAAATTTCTACTGATATGATGATAACAAAGAGCCTAAAATAAATGACAAAGAGTATATTTAAATGATAAGAGAAATAAACAGACGTGGGTAATTATAGTCTAATTGAGAAATATTTTGAATACTTTTTAAGTGGAGTATTTATTATAGCTGAGTTTATCAAGCCACATAGCGATAAATACATAAACAAACTTCTCACTTCTTCGTAAATGAGCGTCATTGAAGAATGGAAGCATGCCACAGTGACTAAATCGATAATATTATGAAACAGTCGATTAAATGCACAATCATAAATAAACGATCATCAACTAATCTAACGACGAGATATCCTTTGAAAAGATTTCAAATTTTGATTAGTTCAAGTCACTTAATTGGACTTATACAAGTTGAATGATGAATCAGAAAATATTTCACATTTTCAATTGATACAAAATGGCATTAAAATATCAATAATATATACAAAATGTATGAGTATAATTTGATATATAGAAAAAAGTGTTAAAAGTTTTAAGCCCACATCAAATTTATGTATGTCGTGAACTTTACCTCATAAAGTTGAATATAATTGAATAAATTTGTGAGGTGGCAATAATACTGCCAAAATTACTATTAGCAATTGTTTTCAGGAAATGTGTTTGTTAATCATATGTGACAAAATAAAACGTGAACAAACACATAGCTTGCAAAACACCCACAAATTTGAAGAGTCAGAACTTTTCCCCGAAATTTTTAAATAACGAAACTTATTTTTAAATAAATTTTAATTACTTAGAGACTATTTACTTCTTGTATAGCGAAGTAAACGACACTAACTGAATTGCAAAACTCAATTTTACATCTGATTTTAAGTCTTGTTCATGCGCTTGAAAAGAAAAATGTGTTGCCTGATTTTTTATAATTTTAGAAAAAACTCTCGAGAAGAACTTTGAAATCTTTCAAGACTATGAATTTAAAATATCTTAAATAACTCAATTTTTCCCAAAATTCAAATAAAGTTAACTCATTATTATTTTAAATTGATTGGATTTGCATACTTTCACAAATATCTTATTGGAAGATTCGACACAATTAATTAACATTCGTTTGAATTTTTGAAATTAGAATTCCTATTGCCCAATTTCTTATCAGGTAACTTTTTTTTGTTACTTAATTTAATTGTAGATGTATGCAATGTGCCGGTTGTTTATGTATTATTTCTGTTGGGCAATTCCAAGAACTAAGTTCGGTACTTAAAATTAAAAGCTTGTTATTGAAGCTTTTACTGAAGTTTTGTAAATTTACAAGCTTCAGCATATTTAGAGACCAAATATGTGATCATTACAAATAAAACAATCCAAAGCAGACCTTAAAGTACAAATAAAATATTTTTGAGTGTGCCGATAAAGGTTGTCCGTGACTTTGAAATGGAAAATAAATAACAAAAAATGTTAAGCTAAAAAAAGACTGAAAAGCTTTAATAAGTTTTCAAACGAAGCTTTGAAGGTTTTTATATAAATTTAGCCCTTTTCATGGCCATCTGTGGACGAATGTTTTGTGGTCGCCAAAAATCCTTTGCGTTGTTGTGCTTTATGTTGTCAACATCAAGAACAGATAGCTAAATGTAACATTTATGGAAAAAAGATGTTTTCTAAATACTTTTAATTTGCCATGTTTGTATATCAATATAGTAGATAAACTAAATTACCTACAAATTCTAAAAGTTGTTAATACTCCAACACTGCAAAATCTAATGAAATGTGGAGGAAATAAATATCTTGATCATGAATTTATTTACAAACATTAATTCGTCTACATTTCGTTAAATTTTTCAATCAAAACATAGAAGTTATCTATATAAAATATCTCTATAAAATTTAACGGCTTTTGCAGTTTAAAATCATGACGGGAAAACCTCTCTCATCTGACAGTCGATATTTTCAGCCGTAAGAAATTCACCCAGCCTAGCCGAAATCAGTTTCAACTTCGCCATTGGGAGATAGCTTAAAGTTAAAATAATCCGTCGTGAAAGTTCCGGAAAAACACAAAAATCGTAAAAAAACAAAGTTAAATGGCTTTAAAACGAATCAATAAGGTATTTGTCGAGATAAATGTGTTTTTTAATGCTCAAAAGTGAACCAAAAAATTGCGAAAAAAGTTTCTTCCGAGTATTCGTAGATTTTCAGTGTTGCTACATTCATTTATTGAGTGTGTGTGAGTGAATGCGTAACTGAAAAAATCGAATTTCTGGATGTTTCTTGTGTCTTTTTCATGAAATTTTAAGGAATTTGATAAATAATAAGCATTGAAGAACGATTTTCAGTTGGTGAAATATCAATAAAAACCTTGAAATGTCTTCCGCAAGGCCCCATTGTGACTTACGAATAGGAAAAAAAAGAAACCAACGAGTTCCATTCTGTTCAATAACGGGAAAAGTTTCCGAAAATTTCATCTGCTCAATAGCGAAAGCATTTAAGAGCCATGCGTTATTTTCCATAATTTAATGCTTTTCATTCATATCAATCAAAATATTTCCTTTGTCTCGTTGTAATTCTAAATCATTTAGCTTCGATGAAAAATTTCCCAATTTCCGTCACCCATTTTTTTTCATAAAATGTCGCTTCAATAGAATGTGTATGAGTGAGAAAGAGCAAATGAAAATGTTCTTTTCCCATCCCCGAAAAAAGAAACGAAAATATTTTCCCCAATTTTCCTTCTCCTCTCCCGTCTTCAATTTGTATACAGAATTTGGATGAATTTAAGATAGGAAAATTTTATTGATTTCCTTGAGCTGAAAAGGATTTCTTTTCTATAATTTTGCTTCATAATTAACATTATTTTTTCATTTGAAAACCTTGAGAACAAGCCATAGTAAAGAAACGTGAAGGAATCAATTAAATAAACCTCCAGGTCACATGCATCACCATGAACCTTAAAAATAATTTTTTCCGTGCTTCTTAATTCAGTGAAGTTAATATTTGCTTTTTTTTTCTTTCTTCTTTGATCTATTTTTAGGAATTACAAGATTTAGGCAGAGATCCGCCAGCACAATGCTCTGCAGGTCCTGTTGGAGATGACCGTAAGTATAATAAAAATATTTAAATGTGTTATTTTTTATGAGCAACATGATGACGAGAACGATGAGTCACACGCGAACGAACAACTCATGATGGTTTACAAGAGAACTTCCAGTGATTGTGATGGCTTTCGCTTTTAACGGATCCACTTTCTACCTTCATAATCGCATTTCTCAAGCACTAGATAAATATCTCATCTCAAACTACTAAAATTCGTGCAAAACTTTATTCAATTTTCTTCGCTTTATCGAAACGTGAAAATTTTTTCTTTAATTTCATGTTCTGATCTTTCCTACTCAGTTTTTATAACTCGTAGGCACGTTTCAAATATGACGTCATTGCATTAAATGAGCTCAATAAACTTGTTAAAAGTTATTTCGTCATAGATTGAAACATGTGATTCATGTGCAATTAATGCTAACTGGGAAGGAAACTTTCTCGTAAGAAAAACCTATGACGACACCAATTTACGAATGAAACCCTCTAAAAATGTACATACAAAAATAAAAGAAGAGAAAATCGCGAATAAAAAAAACACGGCTGTTGGCTCTTATTTTAGTTCTTGTGTGCACACACATCAACCGACTGAAGCCAATCATTTTCAACATAATTATAAATTTTCATCCCGCCGACGTAATCAGATAAAATATGTGACGGTCAATGAAAGACGCGAGGCGCGTTTTTTGATTTGTTTCGTATGAAAATACAAAAGGAAAACTTAGACGATAAACAATTACGTCAAATATTCCTTCTTTTTTATCAAATGACTTTTCAAATATTTATGAAGCTTTTCAAAAGATTCAAGGAAATTTACTTGCGATTTTTTATTTGCCTAACATTTCAAATGTTCCACATAGTCACTAAACTAAAATCAGCGTCGTTACTTATTTGGAAGTTGCTTCATTGTCCTTGAGCTACTTAGACAAAGAAACATGAAATACATGAAATTTCCTGAAGCTTAACAAAACAGTTTCAACACTTAAGAACATGAGATTATGATTCGTGATTTCATTTAACAAGACATGAATGAATAAATTCTGACAATTTTCAGCAATGAAAGCATCTTAAAATGTTGCTAATTCTCAATTTGATAAGCAACAATCGCAAGCAAAAATTTACTCTCAACGAAAATTGAATAAATTTAATCTGTGGAAGTGTTTACAAGTAATTTTGATTTTTAACATAAATAATTCAAATAATCTTTACTGTCATTGACCTTTAAAGTAAATGTTTATCAAAAGAAACATAGAATAGAAAGAGTTATGTAAAAAAGAAACTAAAATATGCTTTAGAAGTTCTAAATTATCAACGATGATTGCGGTGTTCGTTTTACAGTGAATTCTCCCGCTTTCATTGGAATTTCCTGATTTCTATTATCAGCCGTTGACTGTAACTTGTCGTCATGTTTGAATTAAACACTCAATTTTGATTTCTAATTTTTCCTCCATTTAATCAATTTTTTCTTCTTTTTATTACAGTATTTCACTGGCAAGCAACAATTATGGGACCTGTAAGTATATTAATATGAATATATTTTATAAGTTACAACGTTGACGTTGTTTACGAGCTCTCATGATGGAAAACATTTCTTTATTTGACTTATAAGAATGTTTGTTTCTCTGATTACAATTGATTCGCTTTTACTTGAGGTTTCTCAACCTTATCCAACAGAAGATTAGAAAAAGAACTCTAGACGGCAATTCTGTTACCTCTTTCAATTGATTTTTATTTTGGTTTATACTGGACGACAATGTGGGTGGAAATGGGCGGTTGTTTTAGTATATATAGAACAAAATAGAACTGTCGTTAGAGTCGTGAGTGTAATTACATTGAACTGACAGGGTTTAGTAGTTGGTCAAAATGTTTAACAATCTGACACGATTCAAAATGTTTCCAAGTTTGATCTCAATGCCAAGTCCTGGACGAAGCTCCTAGAAGTTATTTATTGTACTCTCATGAGTTAAAGTCGATTAGTTTTCATCGATAAAAGCAATTGATGTTTGCCTTTGAATTATTTAGTTGAGTGTTAAATGCAAAGACACGAAATTGTAATGTGAATTGATTTTTAGTGGCATAAGTTGAAAAGCACATTAACCTTGAACTGCAGGAATTTTATAACGGAAATTTTCACTCGTCAAGGACAAAAACCCCCACGCCAACGTAAGTTTCGGGTGTAAAGTAAAGAATGGAAGCGATTGTCATGATGAAAATCTTTTTTTGTGACAAAAATTGCGAAAAACGATTTCTTTCTTCTCGTTTTAACTTTTTTTTCCTTCTATTATTAAAATGTCAATGAAATGAACGGAAAATGTTCTTTCTTGTTGCTTGTCTATGTTTCCGAAAGACTTTTGAGTGAATCGAAATCTTTTCATTATTGAACTTGAACTTAAAATGTAGAATAATTTAATGAAGTTTAACTTTGTAAGCTTTGATCATTCTTTTCATAAAAATTAAAATTATCAGAGAAGAACTTCCTTGAAATTTCAACACGAATAGAAACTGATGATGTCGAATTCCCAGAAGAAATGTTTTGCTCCGTGAAGACCTTGAAAGTCTGATAACAAAATTTTCTTCTTTATTTTTGCTGTTACAAATGTATTAGTAAATTTACTTAACTTTATTTGTGTAATAACATCGCTTAAAGCGCTTAATTAATTAAGAGCAAGATCATTCTAAATAGGAAAACATAATTTGTTCATTTGTTAACCGGTTTTGTGCTGCTTTCAAGGCAATTTCGCGCCTCTCTTTCAAGATATTTATTCATTTGACGAGACAACGCAACGAGTTTTGTTATCAACGTATCAAAAATTAAGTTTCTTCTTTTTCTTTTCTATTTACAGCCAGACAGTCCGTATCAGGGTGGCGTTTTCTTCTTAACCATACACTTTCCAACAGATTACCCATTCAAACCACCCAAAGTGGCTTTCACTACGCGCATATATCACCCAAATATTAACAGTAATGGGTCGATTTGTCTCGACATATTAAGATCTCAATGGTCACCCGCACTAACAATTTCAAAAGGTGAGTTTAAATAAACAACATTCATTCATTAAATTTCTTATTTAATTATTTCTTCTTCTTTAGTTTTGTTATCGATTTGCTCTCTTCTCTGTGATCCTAATCCGGATGATCCGCTTGTGCCGGAAATCGCTAGAATATACAAAACGGATCGCGAAAAATACAATGAGCTGGCACGCGAGTGGACACGAAAGTATGCTATGTGATGCGTTCCAGATGAGAAGATGTACCGTCAAAATTTAATTCTTGCTGTATTATAAATTCAAAAAAAAGAGAAAAGAAAAAGAAAAAAAAAACAACCTCAAACAACATCAACATAAACAGATAAAAAAGGCTCCACCCGCGCGCGCGTCTTCTTCCTTTTTTTTGTTATTTTTCGACAAAGAGTCAAACATGGAATTCGGAAGTTAATAAGATTTGTAAAAGTTCGGGGGAAAATTGACCTTAAACAGGGATGTTTTAAGGTCAATCGTTCCGAAGTCAATCAATCGATTTTTATTCTACCGAATTTGATGTTTAACTCTTCATAGCTAATTTCTGCTCATCATGATGTCAGTTTATATTTTTATTTTCAACTCCTTCACATAATTAAATGAATCTTCTTTTTTTTTCAATAAGAGACAACAAGAACAATTCGCGGATAAGTTTTTAATTCTTTTTTTTTCTACATTTCCTTAATCCTTTGTTGTAATGATGAAAATTTCTTTGAATAGAAAAGCTCATAGGAAAATTTGTTTTTTGCTTTTCTTTTTGGGATCAAGATGAAATATCCGAAATATTTTCAAGTTTTCCCATAGTTTTAAAAATTCTTTTTTTATAAATAACTTTCGGTTAATGATTTGAGGAAGTTGCAACCGCGTTAGTTTTTCTTTTATTTTTCTTAAGCAAAAGTAATGAAAAGAAAAGATTTTAAGCAGAAGAAATGAAAAATGGCAAAGAAAACTACAAAATTCTCAATCACAAAGCGTGTTGTTTGCATCAGTTAAATTAAAGCTTTTTTAATCGTGTCCGTACCGGCTGCAGGGATTAAAGGACGACGACACGAAGTTGTCAACCGAGCAGCGTCATCATCATCTGATCTGAGCAACACAACGTTTTAAGTCTTAATTAAATTTGAAAACTCTTTTTAAATTGTTTTAATATTTTTTTCAAACTCGATAGAAATCATAATTAAATTCATTTCAATAGATTAAAAGAAAACTTACGCAACTAAACTTATATTGAAATTGAAAGAGAAAGAAAGAAGCATAATTGAAATTTTTGAGAAATTTAGTAAAAGAAGAAAAAAAAATAAAAAAAATTAAAATCTGCTTTTATTATTTTTTTAAATTTAATGTTTTCCCCATTTGCAAAGGAAAATTAAGTGGAAAAGTCTGCGATGTTAATATTTTTCTTGTTTAATATTTTTTGAAGTTCACAACAAGAAATGTTAAGCTTGATCTAATGATGTGTTTAAATGATCAGTTTAACTTTCACCACCCACGTCTTATTAATAATTGTCACTGAACTGCCCAGAACTTTTTTTATGAACAAAAAAGAGTTAATTTTGATTGAGAAAATTGTAATGGAAAGTGTTTAAAAACGTTTGTAGGAAATTTTTGTAATTTTAATTAATGTTTTTTTGTAAATTTTGCGGATGCAATCCGTCATGATTTTTTTATAGTTTGCGCAAGAAGAGAAAGAAAGAGATAAAAGAAAATCCTTAAAATAATCATTAATTATTTTTCATTAACAACAATTATAAAACAACAAGAATTATTCGATGAGCAAAAGAAAAAAAAAATAAATTATCATAAAAATGACTGATTGTGGTTTGATTTTTGTGATTTCAGAAAATTTTGGTTTTAACTTCCACGTTATTTATTTACAGAAAATATCAAGGCAAATGTCAGCTTCCAGAAAGATTTTTCATGAATTTCCAGCAACTCACTTTCAGTCAAAAAAATTCTTTTCAATCTCATGACAAGTTGAAAACATTTCCACATCATATGAAATAACAAATTTTTGAAATGCCTAATCAGGTCTAGTAAGACGAAGATGTTACATTTCAAACGCATATCCATCGAGCAGTGTGAGTTAACCGGCAAACTCGTTTTTCTTTCTTTTTCGTATCGCACACTTCGCTTCTCTTCAACATTTCGATTTCATCGTTTGGTTCGTCCAATATATTTATTTTTTTTTTGTCTTTTTGAGACACAAAAGGCTTTTTCGACTGAAAACATTGAAATTATTTAAATTTTATTGGGTTATTTTATTTCATGATGACGTGAAGCTAATTCAGACAGTTGCGTTCAAGTTTTTATCGCAAGAAGTTCACAGAAAATTTTCCGATTTTGAAGACAGAAAAAGTGTTAATCAAGGAAATTCTATTGAGAAAGGAAACAAAATGCTTACAATGTTGGAGAGTAAATCATCAAGGAATTGGCTTCGGTTGATTGATGAGTAAGTAAAAAGTTCAAAGTGCGCGTAAACCACAAACAAAATTGAAGATTTCAAGTGCGATGGTAGGTCGTCAGTCCAAAAGTGAAAACAAAGTTTAGTTGATTGGTGTTAAGCAGCACTTAACAATGCTTTCTAAAGTTAAACTAAAGTGCCATAAATTTTAAGCTTAACTTAATTATTGTATTAAGAAAAGATGTCATTATAATGATTTGAGAAATTTTTGTAGAAAAAATGTAAAAAAATCTCAAAGGTGAGACAACGAAACATTTTCTCACATTTAAAGTGATCAAATAAAGATTTATCGTCAATTAATAAGGATTACATTAGTTGAATAAATATTGTCATGTAAATCTTTAAACAGTTTATTTCCGCTTTATTTTAATGATTGATGCTTTTAGTGATTTCATTTGTTAAATTAATTAACGAGAATCATGAAGAATGAAAAATTTTTAAAGTCAATTCAAGTCTTTATTGAATATCAATCAGAAATTAGAAGGTCGCATCTTAAGCATATCATTTTAAGCAAAATGAATTTTTTTATCTAAATTATCAAACTCGTTTTATGTTTCACCCTAAGCCAAAGTCTTCTTTTTTTTGATGATGAAAATATTCGCCTTCATGGCACCGAAATCAATCGTGCTGATGCACGTTTCATGTATTTGTGTGAAACAGCGAACGGAAAAATTTTAGCCATGATCTTGGTCAACAAATTTAAGGTCACTCACGATAGTTGGGAATAGAAAAAAAAATAATCGACACACATCGGTTTAATATGTAAAAATACATAAAAAACGAAATAAATTTTAATGAGAAGTTGAATGAACTTTAAAAAGAGATTTGAATACTCAAATATTTTTGGGATGTATGATTTATATGCTCAATTAGTTAAACTAAATATCTAATAACATGGATAGGAAGTAATAAGTAGTGATTGTGATGATTTTTTAACAATATCTGACTAGTTGGTTAACCACTCAACGAATGTATTTAAAAGCAAATTTCATGATAAAAAACAATTAAATTTGTAAATAAATCAAAGCTAATTAAAGAAAATCGTTACAAGATTCAATAACAGGTTTTTGTGCGTTTAATTACATTCAATACTTAATTTCTTCACGTTTAAGAAACATCGCCGTGCATTATTATGTAAGAACAGCGAAGCATATCACTTTTTCTTGTGCTTGCTCGTTCAGTTCTATTTTAACCGTTGTGGTGGAAACTTCGACAGTTATTTTAACAAATTAAGCAATCGCCGCCATATTAAATATTTAAAGAGACTTTAAGCAAACATTTACTTCCTTTTCAAATTTCTAATGCTTGTGCTAACAAATTAAAAATGATTTAAGATTATTGACAATTGTTGACAAGATAATAAAAAGTTTAAATAAATACAAAGCGATAATTCTCATTCAAAGTTCAAACTTCTAAATTAATTTATAAATCTTCTCATTAATTAATGCAATTTAAAACATCAAGTAAAAAGTTTTCAGTATTTTCATGAATAAAAACTCATGAAATTTACCTCAAAGCTGAAGTAAAACGGCTGACATATTGACCTAGATAAGAAAAAACAAGTAAACTGAATAAGTAAGAAGAAAAAATTGCGAAAATTATTTTAATTCACATTTTCTTAGTAAAAGTATTAACATTGAGTAATATTTTCCTTTATATCTTTCTTTATAGCATCATGTCGTTCATCATCCGAAAAATAATGAGATACTCGATGTACGTCTTTTATATCGTCGTCAAGCCATACTCGATGTACTTTTGCAATAAAATTCCCAATAAAAAGCTTCCGCCAATTAAAAACGAACTGTTGAGAATCCCCGGCGTAAAACTTGCTGAAATGATAAGAAATCAGAATGTGAAATGTGAAGACGTTATCAAGGCATACATAAATAGATGTCTCGAAGTAAATCCAGTATTAAATGCCATTGTCGAAGGTGATACAAAATTTTACAGGAAATGAATTTTTATCTAACAAATATGAGTTTTTGTACAGATCGCTTCGATGATGCTTTGGAGGAAGCACGTGAAATTGATAGACAAATACAAAGTGCCTTCAAAACCATCGATGATATGAAGAAAGAAACTCCACTTCTTGGCCTTCCACTGACTGTCAAAGAATCAATTCAAGTTCAAGGTTTAAGCAACACAGCTGGAAGGTGTTACAAAAAAAAACAAATTGCAAAAGAAGATGCGCCAATTGTAAAGAATGCAAGGAAGCATGGAGCTGTGATATTATGCGTTACAAACACTCCCGAACTGTGCTTGTGTTGGGAAACTTATAATAAAAATTCAGGAACGACAAAGAATCCTTATGACGTCAGGAGGTGATTATGATATAATTTAATTAAACTCTCAAGATTTTTTTTTTTCGTAAATAAGCAGAACACCCGGTGGTTCTTCCGGTGGAGAAGCAGCTTTAATTGGAGCTGGTGCTTCACTTTTTGGCTTAGGATCTGATGTAGCTGGAAGCATAAGATTGCCAGCGATGTTTGTTGGAATTTATGGTCATAAACCGTCGCCATATGTTTGTTGTCCTTACGGTCATAACCCACAATCAGATGACAAGAGATGGCCAGATTACTTCACAACGGGTCCATTAGCACGATATGCTGAAGATCTTCCACTTCTTCTGAATGCAGTCAGAGAACAAAATGGACCGAGCTTGCAATTATTTAAAGAAATTGATGTGAAGAAAATTCGATTTCATTTCATGACTGACGATCACTCAGGAATGACACGAAATATCTCGCCATGCATCAGAGAATCGTTGTTCAAAGTTGCGAATCATTTTAACGCAAGAGAAGCTAACATTCCGTTAATGATTTGGGGTTTTGACATTTGCATGAGTACCATGATGCCAATGCCTTTCGATACAATTTATACGAAGACGGAAGAGGGACAAAAGCCAAAAACTGAAGCAATGGAAATTCTTAGATACGTGACCGGACGTTCTCAGTCGACATTGACCTCGGTCTTAATCAGCACGTTCCAGTTCGTGACGAAAAACATTCCAAAAGCAAGAAAACGAAAACTTGAGAAAATCAAGGAAAAGTTGAGTGAAGAAATGTTGAAATTGCTTGGCGACGATGGAGTTTTACTTTATCCAACATTTCCAACTTCTGCTAACAATCATTTCGAGATATTTCACAAACTTATGGATCCATCATTTTTAATGGTTTTTAACGCTCTCGGTCTGCCAGTCACTCAAGTTCATACTGGATTTGACAAACACAAACTCCCAATTGGACTTCAAGTCGTTGCATCACCTGGAAATGATCACATCACACTTGCAATCGCTAATGAAATTCAAAAAATATTCGGTGGTTGGATTCCAGCTGATGAAGTTGAAGCAAAATTATCTAATAATTAAAATATTTTTTCATGCAATTATAAATAATTTAAAGTTGCAGCCATAGCATTGAAATTCCATAGGAAAATCATTTTTACATTTTTAATCCAAGACTGTAGTTGTTGTGCTACATAAATTCAAGTCATTAATGGAAATCCAGTTTCAGTTAACGTTGTAACCTTATAATTAGTTCTCTGTTGCACTCCATTAGATCAGTTTAACTCAACATTTAAATCTGTAATAACCAAAAAGTAACAAAACATGTTTTTACACTGAAAAACTCAGAAATTATTTTTCTTTTTATTTTATTTGCAAAGATGTGATTTAATTCACAATTAAATTTTGATCACACCGATATATGAAACAATGAGATGAAAACATTGATTCTTGATTTCATTATCAATTTGACTTGACTTGAGCAAAAAATTGAAAACATTAAAACATTCTTGAGTTGATTATTTAAAATTCCATCAAGATATGATTTAAATCAAGATAAGAGCGTGTCATCAATTTCTTCATCCTTTCCGGCTGGAGTTAAAGCGCGATACAAAACTTTACTAACAACTTCATTGAGAGAATCTCTTGCACCTGGTTCGAGGAGTTGTTGAACTTTCTGATGAACTTCTTCACTGTTTTTAAGTCGTAAAATGCGTATGAGTGCAATTTCACTGTTAGATTTTACATATCCATTCTTTTCTTTTGTTCCATTCACCAACATTGGCAGAAGAACTTTCAAAAATTCCGCCGACGTTTTCTCATGATCGACAGCTTTTGATAAGTGAATGATGGTTTTTGCTAGCAATTGCTTAACTTCATTACTTATATGGTTCATTGATTTAACAAAAGGAGTGAGAACCATGGTTGGAATGGGTAAGCTTTCATTCTGACAATGTTCAATCAAATAACAAGCTCCACGAACTCCATTGGAAGCAATCGTCAATTTATCGCTTTGCATGCATGTCACAAGTGTTTTGCAGATTTTCGTTTCATACTTTGAATTGTAGATCGTTGATGGTGACTCCTTTAAAGCAACAAACAAAGCTGCTGTTCGACCATGTCGCAATGACCAATCTTCTCCAAAATCTTCATTGAAAATTTGTTGATTTAATGCTTCATCACGCATTTCAGGTGAAAGCCATCTTAACAAAGCTCCAAAACATCCAGCAACACACGATCTTGTGATGTCTTCCGAATAATTTAACATCGATAGAAGTGTTGAATAAATTTGTTTCTTTAATAGTTCTGACATCTTATCACCATTCTGTGTCGTAACATTTCTTAACGCTTGCAACATCGTCTCACGAATTGTTGAATCGTCTGCGTTCTTAATTCCATTATGCATTTCAACAAACAACGGATCAGGACGTGTATGAATTTTAATCAATTCAGCTAGAGCAACGCCCGCTTTCATTCGAACTGCACGATTTGTATCGCTGAGTGCTTTAAGAAAAGTTGTCTGAAGTTGGGGTAAAAATTGTTTAAGCATAATTCCAACTTTTTGTAGAAGAATTGCGAGAGTCTCAAGAACAGCTGCTTTAACTCCAGCATTGAAACGATCACCAAGGATTCGAATTAATGGACCGGTGATGTGAACAACAGAAGGTTGAAGAGCCGATGGGGATGCTGTGGAATATTAAAATAAAAACCGTTAAATAAAGTTTTTATTTAAATCTATAAAGGGGCATGGAACTTCGAAATCAAAGAAATTATGTCATCTCAGAATTATGATTAAAAAATAAATAAACTTACCCAAAGCAATGACTTCGCCCAAACCTTGAGCAGCATTTTCCTTCTCTTCTGGCATTCCATTTAAAATAGCTTCACGAAAAACTGGCAATAAAGGAGCGATACCCTTAGGCAGACAGAAGCCAGGAAGATCACTTCCAGGTGGTAAATCCATAACTGCGAACTTTACAGCATGTCTGACATCACTAACATGAGCGATTTGTTGTGTTGAATCCAATGTTTTTGTTAGTGCATTCAAAGCTTCCCATGAGTTTATCAAAATTTCTTTGTCTGTACCATCTTGTTCTGCTAAAAGTCGCATCAGTCCATTCAATAATTGTGCAACATATGACGAGTAGTCGCCAGGGCAATGACTACAAAATGCATTAAGAAGTTTCGCTGCTGCTTTTCTCATCTCAATTTGATTTGAACGACTTGTCTCGAGAAGTGAATCAATAACTGTACGAATACCAACATCATCACTTACAGCAAGAATGACAAGTTGACAATATTCAGTTTCTTGTTGTTCATCTGCAGTTCCAATCGATGCCGATAATGACTTTAAAATTGATGGAAGTATTTTTGGTAAGAACTTTGTCAAAGCTTCACCAGCAACAGAAGCAAGAATTGAAAGTGCTTTCGTGTTGACTGGCGGTGTTGTCAATTGTGGAATTAAAATTGGCAAAACAACACGAGATTTGATAGCCATGACTTGACGAAGTCCATCAAGTGTACACTCAGCAATAAATGGATCTGGATCGCTGAGACCTTCCAACATCGATGGCAGAATATCGTCCAAAGCTTTCGAACCGACAGTTGTATGAAGTGAATCGAAAGTTTTCGCTGCTGCTTGTCGAACTTCTGGTAATGGATCGCTAAGCGCTTTTCTCACAGTCGGAACGAGACTGTTGACAAATGACAATACCATTTCTCTTGATGTTGACGCCATGATTTCTGAGAGTCCAATGCAGACACCTTGACGTTGATCTGACTGATCAGAATCCAAACCTTTCTCAAGAATTGGAATGATTTCAGGTAAAACACGTTCACCAAGCTTCCTAACAAGATCACCAAGTGTTCTGGCTGCAACTTGTCGTTTGTCATAACTTTTACTAGCCAAACATCCCAAAAGCAACCCAAATAATGTTGGAAGAATTTCTCGAAGTGTTCTTGGCGTGTTTGTAACAACAATTTTCCAAACATGAAGTGCAGCTTGTCTCACCATCAATGAGACGTCACTTCGACCCATGTAAAGACCAGCAAGGACACGATTCCTACGTTCAATTCCAAGATGTCGAATGATGGCTTTGTGTGATTGTTCCGTTCCAAAATTGTCATCTTCCGATGCTGTTTGTGTTGACATTTTTCCACTCACACCCGAAACACGAAACAATAAATCACCGAGAAGTTGAACTGAACTGTAACGAATCCTCCAATTGTCATCAAAAAGTCCTTTCTCAAGTTCAGGCAATAACAAAGTTATTGCAGATTCAGCATACAAATTAACAATTCTTTGACCAGCTCGAAGTGCGGTGTCACGAACGTATTCATTCTCATCAGCAAGTGCTTTCAAAATTGGATTAATAATTTGACCAATGTATTGAGTGAATTCTTCAGGAAACGCACTTGGCATGTAAATGAACATGAGAATGTAACCGTCCTTAACATGTGGCGCAATGTCAGCACGTTCAGCTGTCTTTACAATTTCTGGCATTGTTTTGTGAAGCTTTTCAACACCCAAAGCTGCTACAACTTCAGCTAACCCTTGAGCAGCACCAGAACGATCGACACTGCTTGTTTCCGATGTTAATGTTTGCATCAACCATGGGAGAAGATTCTCACCAACAGCAACTTCTCCCATTCCACGAACCATTGCGCCAAGTGCTCGTGAACTAACAGCACGAACCTAAATGTCAATGGAAAGATGAATAAAAATTTGAAAATAAAGAAAATTGTTGAAATTTACCTCTGGCACTGGATCAAGTAAAGATGCTTTCAATCCTGGCATGATGTTATCCAAATATGGAGTCAAATCCTTCTGATCAGTCAACGAATACATGTTGCCAATAATTTGTGCTGCCATTTTTCTCGTCTCTGTTGAACGATCCATAAAAGCGCGTTGAACGACTGGCATGATGAGTGCAAGTGATGGTGGATCGATGAAATGAACAAATTTCGTTTCAAGTAAACTTTGCAGACACGAGCTGGTCTTATTCGATGGATCTTCCAATGCCTTCAAAAGAACTGGAACAATTGCTTGAATTTCTGGATTTTTAATTACAGCGCCGATCATTTTCAAAGCGTTTGCGCCAGCTTCTTGCACTTTGATGTGAGAATCCCCAAGAACTTCCATCAACTTAGGAACGATGCTTGGGAGACATGATGAAAGTTGTTTTGGTGCACAATGACTCATCGCCCCAAGAAGTTCCACTGAAGCAATTTTTGTTCTCCACGACTCTTCATCCAAAGCAGCTAACAACGATGGAAGAATCAATTTAACTCCATGAGCTGAAAGTTTTCCCATAACAACTTTTGCTGTCTCATCAGCTGCTTGTCTCACATACTGCGATGTGTCACCAAAACATTGCAACAAATGTGGAAGAACATGAACAATGTACGGCTCAAATAATCGTCCCAATGTCGAACATAACATTTCAAAAGCAAACAAAGCTCCTTCACGACATTTGTAATTCTTCTTATCTTGAATGTGATTTGTTAATTTTGACATAATATCAAGTTGTTTGAGTGATAAAATTCCTAAGCCTTTGACAAGACCAGCAATTCCATAAGCAGCACCACGACGTTCGCCATATTTGTCCGACTTCACAAGTTGATTCATCAGCTTCTTAACAATTTGTGGCGCTTGATCTTTAAGTGATGGAATTAAATGCGGAATGCAATTAGCGACAGCTTCCTGCACTTGTTGTGACGGCGTTGATAAAGCAGCGAGAAGTCTTTGCACAATTGGTTGAATTCTTTTATCTTCTTTATCTAAATGACGAGCTAAAGATCCCATCAAAATGACGACAGCTTGTCGAATTAAATCAAATTCACTGTTGTTCGGTGCTTTATCTAAGAATTCTTCGAAAACTGGCAACAATGTTGCAACACATTCATTTCCATGAAGATCAACGATCGCCAATGAAGCCGCGAGCATTTCTTTATGAACAATTTCTTCACGATCTCTCAATCCAACCGACACCATAAATTGCATCACACTTTCAACTGTTTCAATGTCGAAGAATTGTGCAATTTGACTGATTGTGATGGCAACACCACGACGAGGCTCCCATGGATCGATTGCAGGCACAACTTCACGATTGAATTGATCCAAAACTGGTGGAATCAAAGTAAGTTTGGCTTTGTAAAGTTCAAGAAGTTGATCGAGAATGCTTCGAACAAGTGTTGAGTCATCTTTTAAGATTGTGACGAGAGCACATGCAGTCGCTTTCTGAATGCAATTCTCGTGATGAATCACATCTTTCATGAGTTCATCGCTTAATACTTTAGGGACTTCAAATCCACCCTCGCTCCACAATGTGTCGCAAATCTCTTGAATGTCATTCGACACATCATGTTTAGCTATGAAAATTCTTCGGACAATCAACAAACCCAACTCGAAGTCATCGTTTATTGTTGGCAATGCGTCAATGATCTTAATTAAAGCACGAACAGCTGCATCACGAATGATTTCCAAGTCGTTTTGAAGCATAAACATAAGAAATTCAATTTCATCTTTTGTCGCAATCGAACGATAACTTTGACCGGAAATGGCATCAGCGACATCAAGAAAAGCGGAAATTGCTTGATTTTGAATTCGTCCACGATAAGATGTGATCAAATCAAACAACGATCGCATCATTTCTAATGTTGGTAAATATTTTGGATGATTAAAATCATTCAAATCTTCACCGTCGATTGAATTTCCTTTAACTCGCGCATGCTTTGCAATCAAATCAATTGAAATTAAAAGTTCATCTTGTGTAATGAAGCTTAAGTTGAAGGTTTGTTTAAGAAATTCAAAAAGATAACAAAATGTTGGAGCACCAAATGTTTCATCGTCATCACTTGTAAAGATGCTTTGAAGTGTCACAAAAATTTCCGCAACATTTTCCTTCAATTCACCACTCGACCAATCTTCAGGTAAATCGCATCGCGGTTTATGCATTCGAATTGTTGCCAATGCAATTTTCTTTCCTATTTCACTTAGTTCATTATTGAAGACAGCAACTCTCAACGAATGATACAATTTAATGAGACATGATGCAGCAAGTGGTGACTTAAACACTCTCAAAATTGCTGGCAGCAATGACGAAAAGAATAAAGCAAAATGACGTGAATTTCCTTTAACTGATCCTTCAATTTGTGAAATGATTTTCTTTAAACTTTCATTCAATTCTTTACATTTAATTCGAATTGTATTTTCTTTATCTGTTTGATTCTTAATCGCTTCCTTTTGTTTTGGTGTTAATTGCGGTGCTTTTAATTTTCCTTCCTTTCGTTTCTTTTCTTCAATTTCACGTCGTAATTGTAACTCTTCCAATTGTTCTTTGTAACTGTAAGCTTTGTTTTCACGTCGAATTGGACCATTTTGTTGTTCATCTTGATTTGGAATGACACTTTTATCGTAAAGTTCACCATCGGGTGTAAGGAAAGTGAAATATTCATCATCAGTCACTTGACTCATAGCTGGTTGATTTAAGACTGTTGTGACATTTTCAATGATAGCTGGAAGGATGATTTCAGGGCTGATTCTTGATAATGTTGCGACAGTGTTCTCATACATTGAATTACATTTAAATTCATCAAGAATCATTTGTTTGATTGTTGACCATGATGAAGCGATGAAAGATTTCTTGTCGATGTTGTGCAATGTTAAAATGTCTTCCCATAAATCAAGATTTGCTGATAAAATCGCTTGATGATGACAAACAAGAAGTGAATGTTGTGCAAGAAGTTGACCACTAGAAAGATTCTTATTTGGCATTGAACAAATTGCTCTGATCGTGTTGACAATTCCTTGTGTTGAAATCGATTCGTCGCAAGATTCTTCAGTTGATGATAAATTTGCATTTTCAATGAATTCCTTCAAGACGTCAAGAAGATTTGTTGCAAGTTTTGTTCCATTTTCTGTCGTCACCAGTCGTTTGATGGTTTCGATAGTTGTTGACTGAACTTTCTCAATATTTGACGTTGCTGCAAACACCAGAGATTTGTATAGACGAAAAGGTTCACCTTTAAGATCGTCCAAGAAGTTTGTTAAAATCTTTTCACTCATCAACACAACGTTACACAAACTTTCACTTCCAATGCTACTTACAAACTTCTCATTAATGAAAATTTCCTTCTTCATGTCAAGCACAATATTCCAGAACGATTGAAGATTTTCTTTCTTGACACTTGTTGTTGAAAGAATGATGCAAACAGATGCAAGACCTTCACACACAATTGGCGTTTGTAAGACATTTTGAGCTGCTTTATCAATGATCTTCAATAATTGATCAGTGAAGTCAACTGACGACGGTAAAGACGCTCCTTGTAAACAATTCAGAAACCATTGAAGGTAACTAATCTTCACCGCTTGTGCTTTCGAATCTAAACCTTTCTTAAACCATTGAACAATTTTCGAGTCAAGTTCACCATGAAACTGCACTGACCACAATCCAAACATTTCCAGTCCATGACACAAAACTTTCTCTTGAATTTCACCTTCTAATGCTTTAATAAATTTCTCCGATATTGATGGCATGATTGACGACATAGCTTGGCTATTTGTGTTGTTGAACGATAAATTTCCAGCTCCTTGTAACAAATTTATTCGATACTCTGCAACTGTTATCTTTCCATCAGATCCACCAAGAACTGAGAATATTTGAGTTAATAACATTTCAATTGATTTTTCATTGGAACATTTCTTGGCGATTTCTTTCAGTGAATTTACTGACTCGTTGCGACTTAAATCGTTCTTTGAGTATAAATTTTGTATCAAAACTTTTCCTAAATCAACACAAGTATCGCCAATGTCGACCGTAAGCTCATGAACAATATAACCGACGCCTTGTAGGACGATTTCGGGATTTCTTAACATGGATCTTTGTAATGCTGGCAGGAGAGTTGATTTGACATCTTCGATATCGAGTGAAGCGAGAATAATTTTACAAGCTGTGATGTGATGACAATTAGGCTTGGTCTTGGCTGTCACTAAAGCTTTAACAAAATGATCCAATAAACGTGTCTTGTTGGTCTTTAAAATTTCATTTTCAGACTTCTCATCCCTGTAGAATCGTAAAAGTGCTGACAAGAATGTGACGACATTTGCAGCTGGTTCCATTGAAATGAATTTGTCGAAATAAAATTTAACGACGTCATCATCTTGTTTATTCCAAAAGGATTTTAAGAAACTATAAGCTTTTTCTGTCACTTTCTCATTGCTTGATTGAATTGCAAGAGAATAAAGTTGTGATTGATATTCCATCAGCTTTTGAAACTCAACTTTTCCAATATCCGAATCACGTTTGGCATGTAAAGCAATAGAATTGGTCCATACAAGAGCAATTGCAGCAGCTGTCGATGCTTTAGCAGGTGGTGCATTTGCAAGCTCTTTAGTGCAAAGTGATTTGAAGACGGCATTGAAATGTTCGATAGTCAAGTCGGGATGATTTCGTGTCAAATCGATTATTAAGTTATTTACCAATTGTTGGGATTGTGGATCTTTGTATTTAACTAATGTTGTTCCAAGTACTTTACATATCCCTCTAACAACTTGCGTGTTCATACCTAAAAGAAGATAAATTTATTCTTATTACATTTTTTTTGATGATGTTGACACCCAATTTGGTGCAATCTGATCCAACCTGAATTTGTGAGAATATTTGTGACATCTTGAAATAGTTGTGGTCTTTCATCAACGCTCACATTGAGAACACGATTTGGCAGATCTTTAAGCGCCTTTGATAACTGTAATTATTTTTAGATTAGATAATTTCTGTGAGAAAACACATTGGAAATGAAATTTTTTACCTCTTCATTCATGATTAGCCGTTTTCTCAATCAAAACTCTTCACAATGCTTTTAAATTCGCTTTCTAGACACTGATGAAAACTTCGCTTCCTGTTATACTTTGGTTTTTGTTCGACGAACGTTCAATAAATCGCTTTATTTAATGAAAGATTACACCGGGAGAGTTTTTTGCTTGATAAATCCTTTATCAATACTTCACCCCCCTGAATGTTGATCGTATGAATGCACAGGGTTTTTGTTTATGATGTCTCGAGATAATTGACGACGGTTCGCGCGGATTTGACCTTCCATACAAAATGTACATGGTCTTTGTTTATGATGTCTCGAGATAATTGCCTCGTGCCCCGACGGTTCGCGCGGAATTGACCTTCCATACAAAATGCACATAATTTATTTGTCCGTGCACGAGATTTTGTCCGTGCACGAGATTTGCGATGGCAGCGCCGCCAACGATTAAAACTCTGAGAACTCAGAAAATGTCATTGAAGTCAATTACAAAAATTATTTTCTCACAGGAAAAGTTTTCTAAATTATAAAGAATGGCAGAAAAAAGTTTTGCTGAGGATAGAATGGGGCAAAAAATTGACCGCTGCTTTTCTGATACATTTATCAAAGCAGGTGAGACATTTTAATTTGAAGGCTCAAATTGGTTACATCAGAGATATCATAATTTAATATGGAAAAAAATATTCCAGGCGTTGGATTTGCACTCGGCGGTGTGTTTAGCTTATTATTCTTTAAGCGAAGAGCTTGGCCACTTTATGCAGGCACATTCTTTGGCGTCGGTGTTGCTTACAATAACTGTGAGAAATCACTGAATAGTAATTAAATTCCATCGACAAATCCATTCGAAGAAAAAATAAAATAATTATGCCGAGTAAAAATTAATCAAATTTAATAAAATACAGAAATTGTTGATTGACAAGTGAAAGTAATTTTTTTTATTCTTCAAAGTTATCAAAATATTATTAGAAAACTCAATGCTTACGTTTTTTAATTATTTTTATTAATTCCTTGTTGATATTTCGATGTCTCAGAGAGAACTGAAGTTTACTCAAGCTTCAATTACCAAGAAAACTTCCTTTTCACTCTTGACAAGGATCATAATCAACAATTTTTAAAAAGGATACTTTACAGATTTTAACAAATATCAATTACATGAAACTACTTATTTAATTATTTAGCGGGTGTCAGATGATTTGGCTTGAGATGTGATGAAATTTTATCCTGAATTTTATAGTTTGGTCATTGGCGGCAACATAAATTAATTTTTAAATTATTGACTAGTTTGTGACATAAATTTCATGAAAGAGATCTTTAAAATCAGCATTCCTTTATAATGAATATTAAAGGTAGAAAGATTAATAATAATTCATTTTAATAATTTAAACAAGTTTATTTTGTTGGAAAATCTGGCCAGTAGTTAATGAAATAACGATGTGTTGATCCTTCGAAGAGACGATCTAACCAGTTACTCAACCCATCTAAAAGATTCTCTTCCAAAAGAATTTTTGAGTCATCGATTGCTTCAGTTGCTTGATCGGATGAGTCGTCACTTTCCAAACCCAAGAAAGCTCCAGCTTCTGGGTCTCCGTATTCAAAGCTCAATCGTTTTGCCATTTGAAGCATACGCTAAAATAGATTAATTATTATAGATTTTTGCAATAAACTGATTTTTTTCCATTCATACTTTTGTTCCACGACTTGTTTCAGGATGCTTTGCATGGTACACGCAGAAATATTTACGATGACCATTCAATGCTAGAACAGTTCCAATACAGTTTCTAGGATTTATTATAAGATCTCTTGACTCGGTCATGGACAATCTTAAAAGTTCCGAATACCAACTCACGCCTCTTTCAATTGCCAAAATTCCAAACAGCAATGTTTTATTCCTACAAGTCAAATCATTATTAATTAACTTTATTTTGTTAATTTAAATTTTTTTTCTTACTTTCGATATGGCCAAATGGCTTTGTGATAACCAGGTAAAAGCTTTGGTCTTGATTTTGTGTCGGTAATGAGAATAATTGTTCTACATCCAGGTTTCAGCAATCGAACCAATCCATTATATTTTTCAGCTCTCATTTCATGAATTCGAAGTTCAGGCATGGCAGTTTTCTTGTCAGCTTCCATTTGATGTTTCTTCGTAGAAATATATCCCAGTTTTCGTATATTTTCTTCTTCCATTTTAACGAGATAAGTCATCAGATAACCGACTCCTAATATGAACAGAACAGTTCCGATAGCAGATATTGCAGGGAAGATGTGCTCATTTCCTAAGCTATCATACATATAATCGATGCCGATAATAATCCTTTTGATGACACGAGTGGCAAGATTTTGTGAATGTTCATCAAATAAATCCTACAAATAAAATAAAGAAAGTTTTATATGGATTGGAGATGAAAATGAAAGTCAAATGAGTCTTCTTTAATATAACTTTTTTGTCGCGAAGCGCATCATCAAAGTCGCGGCTCAGTGGTCTAGGGGTATGATTTTCGCTTAGGGTGCGAGAGGTCCCGGGTTCAAATCCCGGCTGAGCCCCATTTTTTTAATTCTAATCCTATTATTTTTTATATTTTAATTAATTAAACATGTTTTTTATGAAGGGAAATCATTTCAGCACTTGAAATTGTTTCAGATACTTAACAACTTACATGAATGGTAAGTGTACAAAGGAAAGATGACACTGCTAAGAAGTTAGAATAAAATCGAAACTTAATTTTAATTACACATGCGTGCAACTTTTAAAAATATACTAAAATTAAATTAAAAAAAATTAAAAAAGAAAGCGGGCTCAACCGGGATTTGAACCCGGGACCTCTCGCACCCAAAGCGAGAATCATACCCCTAGACCATTGAGCCGATGAAGCTTTCTTGGCTAAAATGCATTCATAATTTACAATGAGTGCTTTCATAGACGGAAACTACAGAAAGTATCTTATCGATATTTAAAATCATGTCTTCAGATTTTTGACATGACAACGCAACTAGTATTTTTACTTGTTGAAATTATTGTAGAAGACGCAAGTGACAAGTTAACAAGTTTTATTTACTTTCGTAGTGTCAATAAAAGTTTCTTTTGTGTAAAACTTGTGAACTAAGTTTGTCATTTAATGTTTATTTAGTGAATTTAGATGATAATTAACTAAGATTTTGTCATTTCGTTTTCTTATAAAAGTTTAAAACATTACTCATGGAAAGTCTATTAAATTTAAAACAAGTTATATTCGCATAATTTTGGTGATTGTCTCTATCTTTAAATATGTGCATATAATTAATTCTTGCAAATCTATTGCAAACTAATTTTATATTCAGAACAAATATTAAAAATGATGCTTTAAAAGAAATGAAATATTATTCATCTTATGTTCTTATTTCAATCATTCATTAAGAAAAAATAAAAATAACATTTCTATGTGGAACATAATGAAAAATGAAATCATTGTTCATTAAAATATGCTTGGCTAATTAACATTTCAGTGTTAAATGCATTTTTTTAAATAAAAATAATAAAAAAACGGGCTCAGCCGGGAATTGAACCCGGGACCTCTCGCACCCGAAGCGAAAATCATACCCCTAGACCACTGAGCCTACGAAAGCCAGATGGCGTTTGGCACATTTTTGCAAAAACGCATTATGATTCTTAAGTGCAGTATCTAATATCTGAAGTAAATTATTTAATTAAAACTATTTTGAAAATGATCTTTCAAAATCATTATTAGAAATATGAAGAAGTAAAAAATTAATACAATGAAACTAAATAAACGAGGAAAATTTAGAAAGAATATCTTCTTCTTATTCTAGAATCAACTTTCTTCTTCAACGTTTTGATGTTGGTTTCGAATATGAGAAGAATACTTTTAATTAAGATGCAAAAAGAAGCGCGGGCTCAACCGGGATTTGAACCCGGGACCTCTCGCACCCAAAGCGAGAATCATACCCCTAGACCATTGAGCCAAAGTCTTTAAAACTCTGTTGAATTTGTTTCGCACATTGTCATACAGATAACATAAAAACATGAACTTACCTTTACTTCAACTTCATGCGACAATGATTCAAATGACTTTATCAGTTTTTCAATTGTTTCATCAATTTTCTGCTTCGTCTTATTGAAATTATCTTCATCCTCACCAATATCATTTGATTCGTCTAATTTTAGATCTTCTATCCAGACATATTTAAGATGCTTTCTGTCTCGACGCCAAATTATAACGACTTTCAAAAGCGCATCATCTGGTTTGTTATTTGTACTTATAGCTCTTACAAAATCTTTCTGTTTGTCCTTATAAATGTAAGCAAATTTAACTTGTTCTGCGGTATGATTCGATTCAATCGCAACACGACGTAAAACTTGTCGAGCATAATCATGTTGAACAGAATTTTCAGTGACTAAAATCACGCAGAGTCTCTTGTGAGGAAGATGCCACTCAGCTGGGCAAATTCCATCCATCATTCCTTGTGAAGATAATCGTGGCAAAGCTAAGTATTGATTTGATGAAATTATGTTAGCTAAAGTTGCTGATTTTATTTCACTCATTGAAATACTAGCAACTGGTCTCAAGGAATCTTCTTTAAAAAGCAAAACCGTGTCAAGTTTTGGATTAACTTTGTAACGTTCAATTATTTTGCTTGATTCCTTATTCAATGTTTGCACAAATCCAAAGTGAACACGACTGTTAAAAAAATATGCCGTCAGAAGATAACGAAGACGAGGCTGTTGACGAGGTTCAAATATTAAAGCTCTAACTTTGTTATCGTGCCATCCTTTCAAAAATTCGTCACATTTCTCATCATCAACAGGAGTAACAAGTTTGTATGGTAACTTATTCCTTACGAAATCAACAACCATTTGCACATTTGTGATGGTTCCTTTATAAACATAAGGATGTTCATCAACAACTAAGACAAGATTCGGTACACCGCTGACTCCTGCCTTTCTTGCTAATTGATTTTCATGAGCAAGATTGACAGATGCCATTACAACTCCTAAACTCTCAAGTGCTTCGATTACCTTCTTAAAAGCAGGGGAAATTTTCAAGCAACTAAAGCACCAATCTGTGTAGAATATTAAGAGGTGCGGTGAGTGTTTGCTTTTAGGTAAAACATTTGTTTCATAATATCTTGTGGTAATGGACAGTTTATGGTACATGGTGTTATCTGGCACTTCCTCATAATTCCTTTTAGGTGGAAAATAGTCATTTATAGGACTATCAGGATTATATCGAGCGAAATTATTGTACATTTGTTTGTTTTTTTGTTCACGATATCGAGCGTACATATTTTCAAGATAATCTTCATTTGTTATTCCATGACCGTCATAAGCTTTTCTTCTTTCCACATCCGATAAAAGCTCGTATGCTTGCTTGATCTCGATGAATTTTTTTTCAGCATCCGGATGATCAGATTTATCAGGATGCCTTAAAACGAAGATGAGAAAATTTTCAATAATCGATTTTTCATTTGCATTGTTAGAATTTTTCTTATTTCCCTTTTTAACTTACCATTCTTTTGCCAACTGCTTATATGCCCTCTTTAATTCAGGAAGGGTAGCTCTCTTGTCAACTCCCAATATTTGGTATGGATTAGAAAAACTAGAGCAAGATATTTCTAGAATCACAGAAATGAACAACCCGCAAATAAAAAGAAAATGCCGTAAATCCATATTTTCTTTCAAATATTTATAATCCTAAAACACTTAGCACATCATTGCACTATTTCAATCTTTATTCAACTTTTTTGAAGCCTTTTCACTTATGATTTCTACAATTTTTTGAAAAATTTTCTCACGAATTTATATTTCACGAAAATATATTCAGGGGTGGTTAAGATTCTTTTTATCATTGCAGGGTTCTGTCTAGAAGAGAATTTGAAATGTGTGCGCTAAAATCCGTTAAGAACGAAGAAAACTCTTATGTTGTAAGCAATTCGCAATTTGATAAATCACCTGAAAAATTAAAACTGGATGGAATAAAAAACAAAATATTTTCTTAGCTTTAGTTTATTTCAGAAATGGTGTTAAATTCCGATATCTTTTTAGTGAATACAAATCATTCCATGAAGTGTTTTGAGGAATTTGTTTATAGATAAGATTGGTTGGCTTGAATCTTTTCCCATCGTTCCAATGTTCCGTGATCAGGAAGATATTGAACTCCGACACCGTCAGGTAAGAAACGTTTCTCTTCTTTCAAAGTTTCGAAGTCTTCACGATCGTATTTTGTGAAACCCCACTTCTTTGAGATGAAGATCTTTAATATCAAAAAGAATTGATTTAAATAACAATTTTTACAAGTAAGTTTAACTTCTCACCTTTTGACGACCAGGGAACTTAAACTTAGCACGACGTAAGGCTTCAATAACTTGTGCCTTGTAACGATCGCTTGATCGGACAGACATGATTGGTTGACCAATACGAACACGAGCAACAGTTCCTTGAGGCTTGCCGAAAGCACCACGCATTCCAGTTTGGAGCCTACAAGAATAAAAATTTGTTATTAAAATGTTCATCAATCGTAACTGCATTTGGAGTTTCATTCAATATTGTAATCAGTCAAAAGTCAACGTGATAAATGGGAAGTTTTAATCATAGTTGATATCATAGCCCAATGCTCTAGCAATTCATCATAAAAGTAAAATGTAAAAGATAATTTAAGAAACGAAATGCTTACCTATCAGCTCCGGCACAGGACAACATTTTATTGATGCGAATGACATGGAATGGATGCAATCTCATTCGGATGTGGAACTGATCTTTACCGCAGAACTTCACCATGTATTTGTTACAGCAAATACGACCTGCTTCCAGTGCTTCTGAACTCAATTGTTCATATTCATCGGACACAAGATGAACGCACAGCGGAAAATCTTCTACATAAGCCTTCTTTCTACCCAAATCGAAAATACGGATCTTGGGATCTGGAACACCGCGACAGAAACGCGATTTTGGGTATGGTTTGTTTTTACAGTAACGATAGCTGGAAATGTAAAGAAATGTTTTTAATTTTCTAATTTAAAATTATTTTTGTTTGTTAATATGAGACGATTTCTTGAGAAAACCAGACATTGACGTCCCAGTTCCTCACCCTAAAACCATTTCTTTATTCACTGTGCCTTCCTTTATACCTAAATTTTATTTAGGAAAACCTCATTCAATTTAATTTTGAACAAAGCTTTTGTCGGAGAAGGCCTCGGGTTAGTTAATTTCAATTTCGAAACTTACCATCTTGCTGGGCGGCGACCCATGTTTGATCTAAAAGAGAATAAAAGAAAGGAATTACTGTTTAAATCTCAATGATCCAGCTAGCTTTAACCTAGAAAAGTGAATAAAATTGAACACGAGGATATTTCAACTTTTAAGGCTTTATGAATTTCGCAATCACTATGAATCATCAAATGACCAAGCATATTTTGATAATTTATCAAATTAAACTTAGCAATTAATGATAAATTTCAATTTTTTTCAAGGTAATCAACTTTTTTTTGTCTTATAAATTGCAATGTAATTTTAGGGGTTTTTACTTTTATCTTTGTATATTTCATATTTCGTGCTCAACTTTAACACTTTTAGTTTAAGTACTTTGATGTAGTGTGCAGGAAAACTAGAAAATTTAATAAATTTATAGAGACACGCACCTTCTATCTTTACAATGTAGATCAAAAAGAAATATCGGAGGGCAAGTCCTGACTGACATTAGTTTACGAGGGGATAAAGCTACGACTTTAGTAGATCAAACAAAAAACGTAAACAAAACAAACACGTTTGTTTGAAAATATGCTTCAAGCAAGGAAAATCAGTTTAAATCTCATAAGATCTTATAAACAAGCTACATTAAAAGAATTGGCTGTTAAAATCAATTCCAACAACATCAGCCAGAAATATCAAAGTGCTTTAGAGAAATTCACTGGAAGAATTTTATTCAATTCGGTTTTGGAAGTGCAAAGTATAAGACTTGAAAAATATGAACAATTATTGGGCAAAAAAAGAAGAAAAGAAAGAGAACTTCTTGAACGTTCTGTCAAACCATTACCTGTTGTGTTAAATCAACTATGCGAGGGTTCTGTAGAGAAATTAGAACAGAATGAAGAGGATCCTAAAGAAGATGTTCAGGATCTTCCGCATGCAAGATATTTAAAAGTAGAAAATCTCACAGAAAAAGAGGAAGACACAGATGAAGTAGCAGAGAAAACAACAGTCCCTAAAAATTGGCTTCAAGATTATGAATATTACGATGAAAGTGAAGAAGAATTGACGTCATTTTATGGAACACCAGACTTAAATATTCCTGTTTCAAATGTCCCATGTAAAGGATGTGGTGCATTATTACATTGCAAAGACGGTAGCATTCCAGGATATGTACCGAGTGAACTTTTCATCCCACTTAATGCAGCACAACTGACACAAATTCATTGTCAACGATGCCATTTTCTAATAAACTACAATACCGCCATAAATGTCTCAGTAAAAGAAGAAGATTATATCAACATAATATCATCAATCAAGGATAAATTTGCTTTAGCCATCATAATGGTTGATCTACTAGATTTTCCTTGCTCAATTTTCGAAGGTTTGAGCGAAATTCTTGGCGCAGATCGTCCAATATTCATAGTTGGAAACAAAATTGATTTGATGCCAAGAGATCATCCGAACTATCTGAATCACATCATGGACTGCTTGAAAAAAGAAGCTGTGAAAATGGGATTCAGTGAGAAGTCGATTAAGAACGTGTCGTTAATATCAGCAAAGACTGGTTACGGTGTTGAAGAACTCATAACACAACTTCATAACAAATGGGCTTATAATGGCGACGTTTACCTCATCGGCTGTACAAATGTTGGCAAATCTTCCTTATTCAATGCACTTCTCCGTTCTGATTATTGCAAAGTAGACGCCAGTAATATTGTGCAGAAAGCAACAACTTGTCCTTGGCCTGGAACGACATTAAGAATGCTGAAATTTCCGATTCTTAAGCCATCAGGTTTTCGACTTTTTCTTCGTACAAATCGCTTAAAAATGGAAAAGAAGAAACGTTTCCGAGATGAACAATTACGTCGTGAACAAGCAATGAAAACTAAAGATGTTAAGTATGCGACTTTGATTGGACATATTGGAAGAAGTTATTCAAATACAAGAGATAAAGATCCTGAACCATTTGGTGGCTTTAGTCATGACAGCGGTTTTGGTGGAAACATTTTAACATTGAATGAGAAAAGCGTTAAATATATAAACAGCAAATGGTGTTTCGACACTCCTGGTGTCATTCAAAAAGATCAAGTGAGTTCAAATAAGAATTAATTATTATTAAATTTAATTCTTTAACTTCACAGATTCTTCATTTATTGACAACTGATGAAATAATTAAAGTTTTACCCAAGGAAATGCTTCGTTGTCGAGGTTTCTTAATGAAACCAAATTTCTCTCTGTTTGTTGGTGGACTTGGACGACTTGATTACATCGATGGACCGGAAAGCACACGAGTGCTTGTCTATGCTTCAATGGATCTTCCCATAACCATCATTGAAACACATGAAGCTGAAGAATTTTATGAGACTTTCTTGGGATCAGAAGTGTTGGGTGTGCCGATGGATTCTGGCGAAGAGAGACTTGCAAAATGGCCAAAACTTGAAGCAACGCATGATAAAATTGTGATTGAAGGTGAAATGAAGCACATAACGGTTTGTGACATTGTCTTATCATCTGCTGGTTGGATTGGTGTTTGTTTACCTCAAGGCATCACCGGAACTTTTAAAGCTTGGACACCTGAAAAACGCGGAATTTATGTTAGAAATCCATCACTTTTACCACATGGAAATGCCTTGAGAGGGAAACGTATTCGAGGTAAATTCGCATATCTTATTGGCAAGGGATTTACATTTGCAAGACCAAAATAAAAATTGAATTAGAATTTAAAAAAAATAGAAAATATTCGAATAAAAGTTCAATTAAAAATTATAATTTCTGCTTTTTATTCGCAACTTTCTTTCTTTCGTCTTGTGAATGTTCTATGAGAGTGAATAGAAGTGATAAGGGATGAAGCGCGAGAGATGTCATGCTATAAGAGATAGTGACTTGAGAGATTTCGATTTCATTTCCCATTTGGGAGCTTGCGATAGTAGACGAACTTTTTTCTTGTCGTGTTTTTAATTTCTCGGGATTAATTTGTGAGTGATGAAAAAATTGATTAAACATTTTTAGTGAGAATTTAATGAGAAATTCACTTTCTAAAACTTGAATGAAAATTCATAAATTTTCTTTAATATTGACATCAATTACAAATTTTTCCTTAATTGATAACATTTGGCTTTCAATTGATGTAATGAAATGTTTCTAAAATTGGAACAAATGAAAATTTATGAAAAGTGAAGGGAAAGTTTCTTTTAAAATAACTTTCGGTGATTAATTTTTGTGGAATGGAAATTTTCCATTAAAAACAATTTTTTTTTAATATTCAAGTGTAAACAATAAAGTTTTGGACTTTGACTAATTTGTCACGAAATTTCATGCAACATTTAATTTCAGATTAAGTGATCGTACATAATTTCTTTATTATTGCGTTATCAAGCGACAAAACGGTGGCGCTTAAATAACAATTTGTTTCTGATACGAACAGTTACTGACCGCACATTAAAATGTCCGTTAAATTAATTTTAATGTTGTTACTGATAACGAATGTTATGGAAACTCTCGCGTCGTCTGATTACTCATACGATGACTCCGAGGAGATTCCTGACGTTTCAACTAACGCGACTGTGAAGTCAACTACATCTGTTATCAACAATAATTTGTATGATGATGACAACGAGAAGCAAGCAAATGAAGTTGTGAAATCTCGATTGGATGCCATGAGTGACACGTTCCGGAAAATCATCAACAAGATTAAACTAAAGCACAAGAAAATTGACATGGTTTTTCTCGTTGATTCAAGTTCTTCTGTTGGCAAAGAAAACTTCATGAATGAGATAAGTTTCGTGAAAAGACTTTTGAGTGACTTTAATGTTAGTTTCAATTACACAAGAGTTGCGTTGATAACTTTCAGTTCAAAATCAAAGATCGTAAGTTGTAAAATTTATATAAAAATAACTTCAAGAGTGATGGAAATATATTTCTTTATTCAGCATGTGCACATCAATCAAATATCTGAACCCTCAAAAGAAAACGACAAATGCATTCTGCTGAATTATCAAATACCAAACATCACTTACTCTGGTGGTGGAACAAACACTTACAGTGCACTGTTCAAAGCGAAAGTAGACAAATTTTAATTTTTAAACAACTTCAATTAAACTTTTAATTTTTCAGGAGATTTTTCAGAAATCAAAAAGAAAAACAAGCAAGAAGGTTTTAATTTTAATCACTGATGGCTTCTCGAATGGAAAAAATCCAATTCCGATAGCTCAAGAATTGAAAATGTCAGGCGTCATGATATTCACAGTTGGAATAAGTTCAGGAAATTATGATGAGTTGAGATCGCTGAGTAGCAAGCCAATCAATAATTACAATTACATGCTTTCGAGTTTTTCATTGTTTGAAAGTTTAGCTCGAAAAGCTTTGCACACTGATTACAAAATTGGCGTCATTCTTCCAGTCAGCAACAGTTCATTTTGTGATTCATTGTGTGATAAAAACGAGGCGCAAACATCATGTTGCGATGTCAATTCCCAATGTGCTTGTGGCTTCCACTCAGGTCATTATTCTTGCATTTGCAATCCTGGTTATTATGGAACTGGAATCTCTCCGAATGGATGCGATCTGTGCCCGAACGGGTCTTACTGGAACTTCTGGAATTCATGCTTCAACTGTCCTGACATTAATCACGAAACGAGGAAATCTCCAGCTTTAAGCATCAACGATTGTGTGTGCAAAAGTGGATTTAAGGAAACTCAAAAGAATCGTTGCGAAGTCATCAAATGTCCACTTTTACCAGTACCCGACAATGGATATTTCGTTCATTCATCTTCATGTTTGAATACTGTAAACACTGCTTGTGGTGCACGTTGCAATTCCGGTTATCAACTTGTTGGATCATCGATAAGACTTTGTCAAGAAGATGGCACATGGTCGGGTGATGAAACTGAATGTGTTTGTAAGAATTTCAATTAATTTCTGCGTATCTGAAACCAAATTTATTTTTATTTAACAGTAAAAACATGTCCTGCCCTTGTCATTCCACCTTTTGGAATGGCGATGTGCACAAACGCTGATCTTAACATGACAATCGATTACTCGCCTCGTAATGAAACTTTCATCAAAGATTATAGCGTTGATGTCCAAAAGTTGACTGAAAACTTTTCAATTGACACTGAATGTGAATTTTCGTGTGCATTTGGATTCTTTCTTGTCGGAAGTTCCAAGAGACATTGCCTGCCTTTATCGAAATGGGATGGCCTTCAGACATCTTGCAAGCAAATTTTATGTCAACCACTGCCCAAAATTCCATTCGGATCGTACAACTCACAAGATTGCAGTGATCATAAATCTTCATTCTCAACAAATTGTACAATCACATGTGAAAATGGATTTGAAATCAAAGGGCCGTCGTTCAAAGTTTGTGGTGGTACAAGAAACGGTGTTTGGACGCAGAAACATAAAATTCCAAGATGCATCGATGTCACTCCACCAACTCTTATTTGTCCTCAAAATTATTCAATCGAACTGAGTCAAAATAAAAGTTACGTGCTGTTAGCAAAGTTTGAGCCGCTACAGAAAGTTGAAGGTGAAAATTTATAAAAGAAATGTTTAAGAAATTTATTAAATGAAATTCTTTTCAGATAATTCTGGAACAAATGTAACATTTTGGGTAAAGCCAGCGTTAAAAGAAGGTGGAACAAAGATGTACATTGGAAACTACACATTCACTTATGTCGCTGTTGATGATTTCAAAAACAAAGCAAAGTGCAACTTCTCTTTGGCGATTGTCGATAAAACGCCACCGAAATTTGAAAATTGCATCACAAATCAAACTTTTTATGTGACATCGAAGAACAACACAAATCAAAAGATTGAATGGGAAGAACCATTTGCATATGACAATGTTGATGATAAGAATGTGACAGTCATGAAGTCACTTGAACATGGTTTTCTTAATCCCGGTGAATATTTAGTTAATTATACAGCTTTGGATAATTCAGGAAACTTCAATTCTTGCTTGATCACTGTTGAAGTGAAGGAGAAGAAATGCGACGAACCCGAAATACCTGAAAACGCTCAAAGAGTTTGTGCAAAGAATCTCACAACAACTTGGTGTGACTTTCGTTGTAACTTTGGATATGAAATTTTCGAGAATGACACAGTGATTGAAAATGTTGTGCTTCATTGTGACAATGATGAAAAGATTTGGTCGAAAAGTGCTGGTCCAGAATGTGTTGTCGTTGAACAACCAAATTCAGTTGAAGAAATTTTGACAATTTCTTTGAACACCGAAGACATGCTTTGCGAAGATTTAGCCAAGAACGTGAGTTTGTTTTTATCATTCATTCTTCTTAACTTAATTACTTAAACTCTATTCAGGAAGAACAACTCATAAAATATTTAAAAGCTGAATTATGTGGCGATCAAGAATGTGATTTAACAACAGAAGCTCCAAAATGCGTTGACGAAAGTTTATCGAATGAAGTTTCCAACTCAACTTTCTATTCAATCGTCAAACGTGACGTCGTTTCGCAGCCTCAAAAGAAAGTTCCAAACAAACAGAAAAATCCAGGAAAATTCGAAATTTATGTGAAAATATCAAAGAATCTCGGAATGTGGAAACCAAATTCAACAAAGTCAGAAAACATCAAAAATGTAAAAGAAGAATTGAAAAAAGTTAATGCAAGTGAAAAGTTAAAGAAACGATTACGAAACATGAAAGTTGATTTGACGGTTTTAAAGTTAGACGAGACGATTAAATGTAATTCAGGAAGTGTTTCAAAGAAACTTGTTTGTGGTGAGTTAAATTTAAATTTAATTAATTAAAATGTAATTAACAATTTTCCTATCAACAGTTCAATGTAATCGCGGACTCTTTCATGATGAAAAGTTGAATGAATGTTTGCCTTGTCCTTTGGCAACTTACAGCAGTTTAATGGGACAAACTTCATGCATTCAATGTCCTTCATATCACTCAACAAGGAAAGTTGGAAGTCGCCAGTCAACAGATTGTCGACAGTTCTGTCCACCTGGAACACATGCAAGAATTAAGCACATGAAGAAACCGTCAGGAATTGTTGCAGTAAAAACTTTAATGCCATTTTGTAGAACTTGTTTGGCTGGTCAATATCAACCTGATTATGATCAGACGACATGCATTAAATGTCCGAACAATTTAACATCTGATCAAGGATCGAAAACAATTGAAAGTTGTTATGAAAAGTACGACAATTCGTGCACAAATAAGACTTGTGGTGATCATGGAACTTGCGTTACAAGTCGTTCGTTTTATTCGTGTGAATGTCGAGATGGTTTTTATGGTCAAAACTGTGAACTGAAACAAGATCAATGTTCAAGCTCGCCATGTTTCAACGATGGTAAATGTCGGTCATTTAATGAAACTGACGTGACTTGTGATTGCCCTCCTGGTTATCACGGTGACTTCTGCGAATCTGTTGATGATCCATGCACTCAAAAAAATTGTCAAAACGGAGCAGTTTGCAATGAAGTCAACAAAACAGCAACTTGCGAGTGTCTTCCAGGCTTTGAAGGCGATTCATGTGAACGAAAAATTCTTATCGACTTTTGTGCAAGTTCTCCATGTTTAAATAATGGAACTTGCATCAACAAAGAAGATAGTTTTGAATGCATTTGTGGTGTTGGATCGATTGGTAAACGTTGCCATTTGATGGCATGTGATTACAAGCCTTGTCCAGGAAATGCCGTTTGCATAAATTTAAACTTTAAACGAGCAACAAAGGAAAGTTATTTGTGAGTTAAACTTTAATTTACTTAAATTTATTAAATATTTTTTTATCAACTTCTTAGCTGTAAATGTCCGAAAGGTTTGAAAGGAGAAACATGCAATGACATTGACAATCCTTGTGAAAAGTTGCCTTGTAAAAACAGAGCTGAATGTTCACCATTTCTCCTTCGCGATCCTAAGAATGTCACAACAGTTGAAGATGAAACAATTTATGAAAAGTTCTCTTGTAAATGTCCACCATTTTTCTATGGTGAACGATGTGAACTCTTCACAACTCCTGACTTTGTTTTGGACTTTGAAAAATCGAGTGTTAATAATTATGTGAAACTTTCGGGACCTGATCACAATTTAACTGAACTTTCATTTTGTTCATGGATTCAAACAAACGATCAATTTAATTATGGTTCGTTGATTTCTTACGCATCAAAGGACATCGACAACGCATTCACATTCACTGATTACAATGGTTTTGTTCTTTACATTAATGGCGAGAATATCATCACTGACATTAAAATTATTGACGATGTTTGGCACTTTTTATGTGGTAAGAATTAATGAATTTAATTAAGTCATTAACTAATTTAAATTTCAAACTTTAAGTATCGTGGACAATGAATGAAGGACATTACGAAATTTATGTTGATGGAACTCTCAACATTCAAGGCTACAATTTAAGTCGATCAACTCCGATAGCTGGTGAAGGAATCTTCATCATTGGACAAGAACAAGATAGTTTGGGAGGTAAATAAAACTTTAAAGTATGAAATGAAATTTTAAGTTGACAATTTGATTGTCTTTCAGGCAGCTTCAGTGAATCAGAATCTTTCGTTGGAAAAATTTCTTACATGGACTTTTGGGATCGTCAATTAAATGCGATTGAGATCAACGATTACTATCGAACTTGCGACCCTTATCAGGGAAATCTTTTCTCATGGACTGATTTGAAGTTTAAAACTGTTGGCGAAATCAAAATTTCCCAATCTGAATTTTGTAAGCCATGCGAACAAAACTTGACTGTTGATAATGGAAATGTGATTTATGGCGATCAAACAGCATTCGTAATATGTTCAGAAGGATTCAGAATTCAAGGAAGTCCTGTTGTCTTCTGTTTGAGAACTTCGAAGTGGGAACAATCAAAAATGCCAACATGTAAGATTGTTAAATGCAATCCTCTGAAAACACCAACAAATGGAAAACTTTCTTTAACGAAGACGAGCTTTAAAGGTCAAGCAAAGTTCACGTGTGATGATGGATTCGATTTAATAGGAAGTGAAACGATAACCTGCAATGCAAAAGGCAATTGGAGTGACGACATTCCTGAATGTAAAAGCATTTATGAATGTCCGGCTTTAAAAGCGCCTTCAAATGGTGTCTTAATTTACGCTTCTGATGCTGGTGTCATCAAAGCCAACTTATCTGCTTATCCTGTTGGAACTTTCGTTGAAATAAATTGCAATGAAGGTTTTCAACTAACCAACGAGAATATAGTGTCATGTACAGATCAAGGCGTTTGGGATTTTGAAGTGGAAAATTGTCAACCAATCACTACCAAAACCACAACAAAACGTGTGAAAATTCCAAATGAATTTTGGGGAAATTTCAGAACTTTTCTGTTTTACTCTTGCATTGATGGAACTGAAGAGAGATCAAAACTTTGTGACTTTTATCAACCAGATTTTGATACTGATTTGTCATCTTTTAATATTCCTGATACGCCAGAATATAAAGATATTAATTCAAATCTTTACAAATTACTTCAACACATTCAAGAGTCGCCTGACAAAAAATCTTTGACGGCTGGAAATTTTCTATCAACATTATTGAAGGGAAACGACGTTAGCAAGTCAATGCGTGACTCATATCGATTTATGATTTGTTTCTATATCAAAAATGTGATCATGATTGAGGATGAAGACCAAGAATCATCGGAGAATGAAGACAAACCAACTGACAATGACATCACGAAAATCAAGAAATTAATCAAAAGAATTTCCATTCCAATCTACTATAATCAATTAATTATGACAGAAACGAAATAATTTTAGATCGACCAACATCAGAAGCTAATTTAAGTGAAGAACTTTCTAATTTTCTCTTATGAGAATTTTTTTAAAATAATTAAATACTTCAAAAGAATTTTCTTTAATATTTCATATTTTCCAAATATTTTCTGTTTTTTTAATTTTAAGAAATAAATTGCAATATTTTCTTCCTTATCATCATCAATTAATGAGAATAAAATGCCATAAATCTTAATCTTAGCAGATTCAATATTAATTAAAATATATTTTTAATTACATTGAGAAACGACCTGCTTGTCTCGAAATTCAATGAGTTATTTTATTCTTCTTGGCTTTTAGCTGTGAGTTGCTTTCCCTTTCAACATCACAACCAACTAAAACAAGAAGAACAAATTACTCGCCAATGCAATACTTAATCACAAACTAACAAATGTTAATCATTTTCTTAGATCTTTGTTTGTCCTTCGGCTGTTTTATTGGACTCTGCTGGAACTGACAAAAGTTGTCTCGTTGACGAACTCGAACTGTAACTTTCACCTCCTGAACTACGTGTTGAGACTTGAGAATTCCCAGAAATTGGACTATCAGGTAGTTCAGTATCTTTGATAGCTGCTAAAGGTGTGACGATATCTCTCTGTCATTTAATGAAAATAAAAGAATTAAATTTAAGGAATCGAACAAAAGAAAGTTAAATTTACTTTCTCAAGTTGAGCTGATGGAGATTTAACGGGACTTAAAATTGTTGTGTGCGGATCTTCCGGTGTGTAATAATCTGAGTCATCAGCTTTCGTTTCAACTTCTTCTGTCATCATTGTTGCTTTGTCCTATTCACAATAATTAAAAAAATTATTCATTGAAGAAGTGAAATTAAAATTTCTCACCTCATCCGTGTCATCAACCGAATCTTCAACCGCATTCACTCGTAAACTCTTTCCTGATGTTCTATCATCAGTTATCAGCAGTGGAGATAACTTCTCTGCTTCACTGTCATCATCCAAATCCTATTAACATATTTTTTATAGAATAAAAGTTAATTAAAAATAAATTTTCTTATCATACTCACATTGCTTGAACTTTTCTCGTTTATGTACTTAACACAATCACGATCACGGTTTGATGAGCTTCTTGAAATTGTTTTCTTTTCTTTGTTGTTGCTTGACGATCGTGTGACTGTCGGTGATCTTTTATTTAATAAATCCGAATTTTCCTCGTTAGATAAAAGCACCGACATTCGGAATTCTGTTGATCCGCTAATTCTTTCTTTGGAATTTCGTTTTAAGGAATTTGCTGGACTTGTTTTCTGATCACTTTCCTTGTTGAGAGCTTCGATTGTGTCTTTACGGTCAATACTGTTGCGCTTATAGCCGGGGCCATTAAGTGCTTCAATTAAAGGAATTGGCATGTAGCCCATGGGAATATTTTCATTACTATCTTGTGGATTTATATTGATAACTGGTGTGTTTGACTTCTGAACAGCTCGTATTTGTAACAAAGCTCTGAATGGCGCTCTACATATCGGACAATTATTAGCCTGATACCGAAGAGAATCAGCGCAGCTGTTACATAAACACAAATGTCGACATGGGAGGATGAGAGTGTCTCTCGGCTCACAAATACAAATCACACACTCAGATCCATTATCTTCATCATCATCTGTTGTTGGTCGCGTTAAGTTTTTGTTCTCAATTCCATAGATCTCTTGCAGTAAATAACACAATCCATCGACAAATATTTTCTGTTTCATTGCTCTTAAATGATAGTCGCCTTCCGTTGTATGATGATCAACGACACAAATTGATGTGTGAGAATGCATCATACTGTCATTACTCTCGTCAATTATGCAGTGAATGACAATCGGATAAATGTCTTTCTCTGGATTATATTGCATGTCTTCATCAGAATATTTACTTGGAATAAATACATGAGTTGGTTGTGAAAAGACTTGATTTGCACCTTTTTGGTAGTAAAATGTTTCTGAAGTTGTGGCTGTATCGCGAGGCAAATAAGAGATGGTGTTTGTTGTTATTTCTTCTGTACAGAAATAATAAATTTTTATTGCACATTTCATATCAGCGTCGAAGATGAACTCAATGTTGTAGCCTTTCTCTTCACTGTCTTCAATTTTAACAAACTTTACAGATTCTTTTCGTATGTTCACAAGACTTTTAAGAGTCTTTGTTGGTTCCGAATTTTTCGGTGGCAAATAAGGAAACTAGATAAAGTGGGTCGAAATATAAATAAATGATAGCTCAATAAAATTCTTTTAAAGAATTCTTACTGCTATTGGTTTCGATCCTAGCCAATTAAGGTCAGTGTTCTCACCAAAGAGATATGATTCTGGAACAGCTTGATCGAATCGCTCTCCACCCATGATAAACGACGATGCAAAAAAATTTCCTGATGTTGTTGTGAAATTTAAAACTTTCATGTAGCACAGAAAAAATGTAAAATTATAAAATTTGCTTTTTATACCTGATTTTGGAGGATATTTGTAGTTATTTGTTGCTTCTGTCTCTTCTACTGTAATGTTGTTAAGCTGGTTATTTAATCTGCTTATAAAACTCCCCATTATTGCGATTTCTTAATTTATTTTGTTTTTATGATTATTTTGATTTCTCAGACTGTGGAAGTAAATAAATGAAAGTTTGCCAACCCCTCGCCTTCATTTCAGTGCACCAACCAGTAAAAAAATTCAAAAATATGCACCAACGGTCATTGTTTAAATATTATTATTAATTTTATTGACTAAATCATAAATTAAATATTTTTTTAGAATTTCGCTATCATGATCAGTGTTTAAAGAACTATCTAATGGCTTTATAAATTAAATTTTAATCACTTCTTATCATTTATAAAATTAATAAATCGTCTACGGTATCAGATCTACGTACGGTTAGAACATCTGCCATTGAAAATTTTACCGGAGTGCTGCAATTTAGTGCTTAATTTAAAAATCGTTTTAAAAATACATTATCAAAGGTAGTGCTATAATTAAATATCAGAAAAAAACAATAAATGTTTCTAAAATATTCTTATCATAAAGATATATTTATTTGAGCTCGAAATGTAGACGAAAAAAATTTTTCAACATTAATGGAATCCATTAAAGCGCGTATATAAAAAAAGAAACCAAGCCAAAAAAAATTTGAGACGTAAAATGAAATTAAATTAAAAATATATGCAAAGCTTTCAATATTTTTTGCTGATATAGTAATTTACCTTATCTAATCACTGATTTTTTGGCGTATATTGTTTCTCGAAAAATGTGCTTTTCAATTTTTCCAAATTTTTTTTAGAAATGTCGCCGCTTAAATTTCCTATCGCAATTTGTTAACCCTTTTTCTCTCTTCTGTTTCTGTTATCATTACAGAAGTTCGCTTCGTTAGAATTTGATTAAAACTCAAAAATAAAAGTTATAATCAGGATGTCGGATGCTCCAAAGAAAGGTCGTGGCCGTCCTGCAAAGGTGAGGCTCTTATTAATTTATTTTACTCAATTCTCCTTTTCAATAAGAAATCACAATATTCTCTATTATTTTTATTGCCACTTCAATAATTTATACAATTTTGAAAATGAAACGAGAAAATGTTTTCGCGCCTTTGATGAGCGCTATCAAATGTTTCTCTCGTTTACAAAACAAAAATAAAGGCAACAATTTTTTAAAATAATTCATTTTAATATTAAAGCAAACAGTTGAAGCTGTCGTCGAAAAAGTTGAAAAATCTCCAAAGAAAAGTGAAAAGCCAGTGAAAGAAGTTGCATCGCCGAAGGAAGAGGTAGCTAAAGAGGAGAATGGAGGAGCAAAGAAGGGACGTGGACGGCCACCAAAGAATGCTGCTGCTGCTGGAGCTAAGAAAGCATCTCCACCGAAACGAGCTGCAGCTACAGGGTCTGGAAGAGGTAAGAAAAATTAATGTTTAATTAATGAGAATTTATTTTTAATCAAATTAAAAATACTAAATTAGGCCGTGGACGACCACCAAAGGCTGCAAAGAAACAAGAAAGCGCTGAAGAATCTGCTGAAGCTGATTCTGATTAAATATATATTCACTTACTTCAAAGGACTTTTTTTACATCTAATTCAATCCACGCAAACATCCTTGTGAACAACAATAAACTTTCCTTTCTAAAATATAGTTTACAACAAAATCATAATTATCAGAGAAAAAAAGCCATTTTTAATAAGAAACTAAGTATATTTCCACAGATGTTAGATTTAAGTAAAGCAAAAAGCTATTTTCCAATTGAAAATTAACAAACCAATGTATGCAAAAGGATCAAGAAAAAAAATGAATAGTTTGAGAAATTTCATTTGGAGATCGATGTTCTGACTTACAGATCATCAAAGTACATTTGCATAGAAAAAAAATATAAAACTTTCATTTATCCTTGCATTTAATTAACATTAGATAAAAGATTAATAATAGAAGTGAATGTAATCGAATAGAAAAAGAAAATGCAAAATAGTCTTGAAATTGATTTTTAGAACTCGATGATCTGTCGTCGATCTCCAAGAGTTAGACAGATGGCGAAATGTTAAGAATAAATGTATCAGGTTTTTTTTTCTTTATTAAATATTTCTTCTTATTAGATATTTTAAGTTTTCTAATCATTATATATTTCGGATGTTAATTCTTACTTTGCTTCATTATCAAGTTCATTATCAATTGTTTTTCCTTTTATCTCTTCTTTTTTATTTAATAGTTCTTTTTTATTTCATGATAACGTAATTTCTTTTATTTCATCTTCTTATCACTCTTAACATGAGATAGATTAATCGACGAAATGAAATTAACAGTTTAGTGTGGTTTTTTTCTAAATACACAAAATTAAGTAAAATAAATTGCGTAATACAAAAGAAGTTTGTAGATGGAATTTTAAAACAAAAAAAGAGAAATAAATGTGTTTTTGATAAAAAAGAATCTCGATGTTTATCTTTCTGTTCTTCTTTTAGCAATGAAATCGAGTTAAATGTATTAAAATCTCATTCTTCATAATAAGCATATTCACAGGCAACTTTACAGATTACTTTTCTCTCCGCTATTTTATTCGTTGATTCGAAAGCTCTCTAAAAATGTTGGGAGATGCAACTTGACTCTCTTCAAAAGGTAAACGAACGAGCAATGAACAAAAAGCTTCTCATGGAATCAACGAAATAATTTTTCGTGAAAGTAAATTTTGCTCTTGGTAAGTGAAAAGCTTTTCAGATATTCTTTTGTTATTTTTTAATAGAATTGTTTTTAATATCAAAAGAAAAAAATTTGATAAAGTGCTAAGCATTTGAAGATTGAATGCATCAAATATTTTCATGAAAATAATTTAATTTCATGCAGGAAAACAAAATTTCTTCTCAGCATCTTTCGCCCCCTATAATTCTTTAAGCTCATGCAATAAATTTTCCTTCATTTTATAAATGGCGACATCAGCATACAATATACAGACAAAATATTTTGAGACAGTACCTAATTCTTAAAATTCATAAATAATTTAAAGAGAGAAATAAAAAAGTATAAAATATTTAAATTTTTTAAATAAAATTCCTCAATAAGCTACATTCAAGGAAAGAACAAAAAGTGATGCAGCTTCACAACAATGAGAAAAAAAGAAAAATAAAATTAACGTTACGCAGGTTATATTCTGTTTACATTATTTTAATTTGTTTCTATAGGAGGATAATCTTTCTTGAATGTCGGATTCTAAAGAAGCTGTTACTGAAAAGAAAGGGCGTGGGAGTCCTTCAAACTCTGATAAGAAAGACACGAATGAGAGAGTATTATTTAACATTTCTCTAAAGTAAATATAGTTTCTTAAAGACATTTCAATATTTCTCAGAAAAGAAATGCAGAAGCCGATAAAAATTATTCTCCACCAGCTAAGAAAGGTCGGGGAAGACCCAAAGGATCAACCAAAAAATCTAAAATCAAAAAACCTGACCCAATGCCCAAAGCACCTCGCAAAGCTAAAAATGTGTCAAGTTCAGAATCAGACGAAAGTCATGAATCACCATAAACTATCTTTTTGTCGACTTCGTTTAAATATCAAATCTCATCATTAATTTTAATTTGAAAGAAAATCAGCATGAAAATAAATAAACTTTAAAAGGATTTAATTTTAATTTTAAAATTCAAAACTGATTAAACTAATTTTGGATCAATAAAATGATGCTGAGTTTGTCACAAAGAAAATTTAATCATTTGGTATTTACTGATAAGAATTGTTATCTTTTTTTATGTTTACTTATGTAAGTAAGAGATAAAATAAAACTTAGAAAAATAACGTTCAGTATGCATGCTCGTTATCAATAACAATTTAAATTCAAACATTGAAAAATTACAAACCCCGCTTTTGTTGGAATATTCTGATTGGCCCAAATTGAAGAACGTAAAATAAAACCTAAAAGTATAGGCTTAAGTTGTAAAAATGACTACTTGTCCGATATGTTTCTTCACCAGCATCATTTAATTATCTGGAGATTCTTCCCAATACGAGTATTAAAATGAAATATTGATAGTAATTGAAGAATGCCTTTGTAAGATTTAATTTTATTCAAAATCAAAATAAGGAACGATATCCAAAAACTGCATAAAACGCTTTCTAGTTTAGCGTTTTGTAAGTCAAACCCTACTTTACTTACTATTGACTCGGCAACTTGTGTTTTCTTCGTCATTCAATAAAATTTTCTCAAATCGAAAAGACGTGTTTTTTAAGAACCCATTAGAAAACTTAATTAATAAAACTTGTTCTAAAATGAAACTTAGTTCAGGTTTAATTGTGATTTTAGGCTTTATTGCCTTAGCAAATTGTGAAGTTTTCTTCGAAGAAAAGTTCTTAGATGGTGAGTTAAATTTTGTTGTTGGGTGTTAGCCGGTGGCAAAACCACGATTTATCTAGAAAGTTCGAAGAAATTTCACATTAATTCAAAAATAAACTTACCACAAATGAACTTTTGAAAAGATTTTCCAAGGAAAATTGAAAATATGTTATGAAAATGAGCTTAATTTTTGTTTATTAATTTTTCTCAATCCGGTAGACTCATGGGAGAAAAACTGGGTGTATTCGAAACACGAGGGCAAAGAATTTGGTCAGTTTGTAAGAACTGCTGGTAAATTCTTCAACGACGAAGAGCAAGATAAAGGTAAGATACGTTTTCATTTATAAATTTTCATTAAAAAATGCTTATTTAAAATATCTCCAAGTTTTTGTACTTACGTGTCATTTTCTCACTAACACATTAACACGTAATGCTTATTCATTCGAATAGTTTATGTTGCCTTCCGTTTGTAGCTACTTTTGTATAGAAATGTCTCGACTTCATAAAGTATTTTCTGCATAATTAGGCATTTTACTAATTGATTTCTACTTTTTATAATTAGGTCTTCAAACGTCACAAGATGCTCGCTTTTATGCCCTTTCAACAAAATTCACTCCTTTTTCAAACAAAGATAAGCCACTTGTGATTCAATTCAGTGTTAAACATGAACAGAATATCGATTGTGGTGGTGGATATCTCAAGGTCTTCGATTGTTCATTAGAGCAAACAGACATGCATGGTGAATCGCCATATCTGATTATGTTTGGACCTGATATCTGCGGACCAGGTACAAAGAAGGTAAGTCAAAAAGAAATCATCATAATTACATCCCTTTTTTATCTTAACCAGTGTCTGTCACCAAAAATTATCCAGCTATTAATAGCTGCGTTAAAAGCAAACGCACAAAGAAATTTTAAAAATGGTACAAAAATAAACTGATGATTTTTTCTCCAATTTTCTTCTCTTTTACTCACAGGTTCATGTCATATTCAGTTACAAAGGAAAGAATCATTTGATAAACAAAGAGATTCGTTGCAAAGATGACGTTTTCACTCACTTCTACACATTGATTGTACAACCTGACAATACCTATGAAGTGTTGATTGATAATGAGAAAGTTGAATCAGGATCATTGGAAGACGATTGGGATTTCTTGCCACCAAAGAAAATTAAGGATCCAGAAGCAAAGAAACCAGAAGATTGGGACGAACGTGCAACAATTCCAGACCCAGATGATAAGAAACCAGAAGATTGGGACAAACCAGAACACATTCCAGATCCAGGTTAGTAAAGAAACTAAAATTATTTTTGTAAACAGAATTTTAAAAAATGGTTTTCAAATGTAGATGCCACAAAACCTGATGATTGGGATGATGAGATGGATGGTGAATGGGAGCCTCCACAGATTGATAATCCTGACTTCAAGGGTGAATGGAAACCAAAGCAAATTGATAATCCAGCATACAAAGGAATCTGGAAGCATCCAGAAATTGACAATCCTGAATACACAGCTGATGAGAACATTTACCTTCGTGAAGAGGTTTGCACAGTCGGTCTTGATTTGTGGCAAGTGAAATCTGGAACGATTTTCGACAACATTCTCTTCACTGATGATCCTGAATATGCTAAGACAGCAGCTGGTACCTTCAAAGCTACACAAGAAGGTGAAAAGAAAGTGAAAGATGAACAGGATGAAGAAGAAAGAAAGAAGGCTGAAGCTGAAGCAAAGACAGAAGAGAAGGACGAAGATAATGAAGATTTAGACGATGAAGAAGACACACCAGGAGAGGCAACAGAAGACGTCGGAGATCACGACGAATTGTAAATTATTCGATCTTCATATGAGTTCCAAAACAACAACAAACTGAGCAACTAATTTATAAGAACCGAGTTTGATTTAGAACTTAAAGACAAATTGAAAATAATTCTCCCATCGCACTGACATCACAATAATGTGGGAGTTGTTAGGGTCAAATAATTCGTGGAATAATTTAGCAATTTTTTTGTCGTACCTAGAATCTTATTTAATGAAAAGTTTACGTTTAGAAAATCTTTTCTAAAGCAAAAAGAATTAAGAATTTTCCAAACAAGTCAAAAGGAAAGAATTTCTTTTTTTGTCGTCTTAATCACGTTCGATAATTTTCCTCTCTTTCATATCGAACATATCGTGTGAAAATGAAATTTGATCTTCTTATTAATATCCAAAAAATTTTTGTTTACAATCATCACATTGGAGACAGAAAAGATTTTTTGTGTTCTGTGAACTCCGTTACACGAAATGAATGATGAATTAATCTTTTTATAACGTGAAATGCTGAAAAATAAAAAATAAACTAAAAAAATCAAAGAAATGTCTTATCTGGTACATTTTTGACTTCAGGTTGTGCAGTAAAACTGAAACAGACAATCAGAATAATTTTTCTAATCAATTTTGAAAAATTCTACATGTGGAATTGGAATCTGAATAGACAGAACAAGAAACAAGTTTTTGTGGAAGTAGAATGTGATAAAAATTATCAATCAGTTCCGGTCCCAGTCTGTAAAAGATTATCAGTGGATTTGATTGAGTAATGGGAAGATATTTTAGGTGAAGGCTGTGGATATATTGCTAAACGTTATCTCTATTCATTATCAATGTAATTTATAATGAGTTTGTGAACATGAAAATTTACTAAAATTGATAGAAGAAGGCCAATGGATTGGACGAAACACATTTGAACACGTAATTCTTTAATTTTAATGAGACAATTGTAGCTTACAATTGAGCGTGACTATTCAAACAGTTTCATGATAAGAGCTTTAAGATAATCGAGCTTTATTCATTAGAAATTCTCTAATCTCAAAACTTCGTTATTACGACGATGTTTTATCAACGGAGTTTTATAAGCCGGCAAGTTATGTTATTGATAAAGCAGTAAACACTTGGATAAACACTGCGTTGAAGTAATTATGAATAATATCAGAAGTTACATAATAGGACATGAAATTTTGAAAAGAACACTTTCAAGTGTTTCCGGGAATGTGAAAATCGTTGAGCAGAAGGTGAGGGTGGGTGGATACGACATAAATTATGTTGGATCGTCGATTGATAGTGGAATAACGAATAAAACCATTGTTTGTCTTCCTGGTGCTTTAGGTTGTTAAGAAATTATTCATTACGAACTTTTTGAATACTTAAAGAGCGACTTTCCATTTTAGGATCTGCGTTTACAGATTTTAAGCCACAAATTGAAAATCTTCCTAAATTGTTACCGAATTTCAATATAATTGCTTGGGATCCTCCAGGATATGGAAAATCTATTCCACCATCACGTCAATTTCCTCTTAACTTTCTTGAAAAAGATGCTGACATGTTAAAGGATTTGATGGAAGTTTTGAAGATTCCAAATTACAATATTTTGGGATGGTCAGATGGTGGAATCACTGCAATGATTTTTGCTGCCAAATATCCATCGAAAGTTGAAAAGCTTGCGATCTTTGGATCAAATGCTTATTTGATTGCAGATGAAATAAAAATGTTTGAAAGCATACGTGACATTAGTAAATGGAGTGCAAAAATGAGAGATCCACTCGAGAAACTTTATGGCGCTGAATATTTCAAGACCAACTGGGAGAAATGGATTGACACGTTTAAAGAAATTTACGAGAAGAATAATGGCGACATTTGTAAAAAGTTTGTGAATCAAATTAAAGCTGAGACTTTAATTCTTCATGGAGAAAAAGACCCGATGGTTGCTAAAGAACATATTCCATATTTGTTGACGAATATTCCTGGATCGAAGATTGTAACATGGCCGGAAGGTAAACATAACATTCACCTTCGATATGCTGTCGAGTTTAATGAAAAAGTTGCTGAATTCTTTAAGAAATAAATTTTTATTATTCATTTAGTAAAAATGGTTTTTATTACACATCCTTTGTCGATGTCGATGGATTTTCTTCCTTTTCTATTCCACTTGATTTCGAATCTTTCAATTCCTTCTCAAGTCGCACAACTTTATCTTTATATTGATCTTTTAATATGTTGAAGATTTCTTTCTGTGCTTTGTATTCAGCTTTCAAATCTAACGTCAGCTTGTCGCTTAATTCCATTTTCTTTTCCATCAAACTCTTTCGAGCTCTTTCAGCTTTGAACTTGACATCCATTGCTTCCATTCTTTCTGTTAATTCACGAACTTCAATATCACGAATCATCAGCATGTCTTTGGTGAGCGATACAACATCTTTTAATGACTCAATCTGAAAATTTTCATAAGTAAAATTGTTGTCAAGAAAAATTCAATTTCTTACCTGAATATTCTGAGCTTCAACTTTCAACTCCAATGATTTCAACATTTTTGTTCTTTCAAAAAGAAGATCTTGTGCTTTTCTCAGAACGCCATCGTACTTTTCCTTGAAAGCTTCAATATTCTTATTACTTACACCACTTGCCGATTCTCTTAACTCATCCAATTCCATCTTTTCAAGTCGCTTCTGAATGACATCTTTCTCATGATTCAGCTTTTGAAGATCATGCTCGAACTTCTTTGATTTTTCTTCACTGTAATTAATCAACTTTTCATTCAACGTCTTGAGATTTGCAATCTGTTTCTGGTATTCAGCTTCACGTTCCTGCCAATCTTCTGGCAATGCTGGGATATTTGACACAACTTCTCCGACAATCTCTGACATTTTTCTCAGCAATTCACTTTCCAGATGAAACCAAATTTTCTTTGTAAAGTGAAAATCTATTCTTAGACATTTGAATCATGAAGAGAATTCGTTGTGAATAACTTTCCAATGAGAGTCGATCAAAGATGAGAATTTTCCGAGATGTAAACAAGAAAAGCATGATGAAAAGTCCGCAAGTTTAATGTTTTTAAATTTTTTCTTTTATTATTATATTCTCGTGAGTTAAATACAAAATAAGCAAAGTGCAACAGCGACATGATTAGACGCTTGAAAAAAATATGAGACTTGTGGTGGATGATGATTAGTTAAATTAATAATTTCCTTTGAAAAAGTGTCGCGAAAAAGAAAAAAAATTATTCTTATTTTTGTATTTTTAAAGTTAGCAAATCTCAAAGAAAAAAAAAAGGTTTTTAACCGTCGAGTTCACCAGCATGACAAGCATCAGCGTAACTCTTTCCACCAGATTTATCTTCGGGATTTAATTTGATCATGTCATCAATACGCAAAATGGTAATTGCAGCTTCAGTTGCGAACTTAAGCGACTTAATTTTAGACATTGCTGGCTCCAATACGCCAGCTTTCTTATTGTCTTTCACAACGCCTTCAACGAGATCCAAGCCATACCATTTCAAATGTGAATGATCTTTTTTCGTTTGACTGGAATTGTGATAAGCACGAAGTTTAGCGACGAGATCGGTGGCGTCTTTTGCTGCATTCACGGCGAGTGTTTTTGGAATCACAAGAAGTGATTTAGCGAATTCAGCAATTGCCAATTGTTCACGTGAGCTCAATGATGTTGCAAAGTTCTCTAAATAGATTGACAAGGCAGCTTCAACGCATCCACCACCAGCAACGACTTTCTTTCCTTCAAGAACACGTTTAACGACACAAAGTGCATCATGAACCGAACGTTCCATTTCATCGCAGTAGAAATCGTTTGGACCACGAAGAATAATTGAAGCAGCAGTTCGTGCTTTTGGTCCTTTGATCAAAATCAATTCGTCATCGCAAATGACATCTTGAACAACTTCAGCAGCTTCTCCAATCATCGACGCATCGAAGCTTTCTTCGCCGTCCATATTCGACAATGAAGTTAGGAAGTTTGCACCAGTTGCTTTTGCAATTCTCTTCAAATCAGATTTTTTAACACGACGAACGCCCATGCAACCTGATTCGACAAAATATTTCATACAGAGATCATCAATACCTCCACTGCACAAAATAACGTTCACGCCTGTTGCGAGAATCTTTTCAATGCGTTCTTTTGTGATGTCCAATTCACGAGCACGAATACCGTCGAGTTTCTCTGGATCGGTGATGAGAACTTGAACGCCTAACTTCATTTTTGTCTTTTGCAAGGAGAAATCAAGACAAGCGATTTTAGCGTTGACGATTTTTTTCGGCATTTGTTGAGAGGCAACTGTGCAATTGAGCGCATATCCTTGAATTAATACACTTTCACGTGCTGATTTTCCATGAGCTTTCAAGACATTCACAGCTTTGATTGGATAGGCGGGATTTCCTCTTTGATCTGTGATTTTAATTGCTTGTGCAGCGTCGACACACATCGAAGCAAAGAAATCGGAATCAGCTCCGATGATTTTTGAGCTCATCGACGTTTTTGCGCAATTCACAAGACAATCACGACCTAATTCATCAACAGGTGCTGTAAGATGTTCAGAGATATACTTGCAGGCTTCTTTACAAGCAAGACGATAACCAGAAATGATTGACGTTGGGTGAATCTTCTGCTTAACAAGTTCATCAGCATTTTTTAAAAGTTCAGCAGCAATAATAACAACGGAAGTTGTTCCATCACCGACTTCCTCATCTTGTAGTTGAGCTAATTCCACAAGAACTCTAAAAAAATGATAAAATTTATTTTATGACTCATTTTCATTGAATTTTTTTTCATACTTTGCAGCTGGATGTTCAACTTCCAAAAGTCTTAAAATTGTTGCTCCATCATTTGTCACTGTCACATCACCGATATCATCTACTAACATTTTATCCAAACCAACTGGTCCTAAAGAGCTTTTGACAATATTAGCGATGGAAGCTGCTGCCATCACTGAAATTTAATTAAAAAAATTAATCTACAGGCATGTTAAATAAATAAAGTTGAAATTTTAAGAATTGATTAAAGTTCTCAACGCTATTTTAAGATCATTTATCTCTTTTATCATAAAACAAATGATTGGAATGTACAAACATCAATAATTTAATCAATTTAAGTCATTTTCCATCAAAACCTCAAACATGTGATGTTCATGAAAAATTTCACAATTGAATAAAATGAATTTCTTATGAGCAACTTACCATTTTGAGTGCGAACTGGTGCTCCAGACTGTCGGCTTCCAGCTATTGTGAGTGGTTGCTGAATTGTTGACATAGTGTTATTATTTTAATGATGTTTCTCTCGTAAATTCAGGGAATATGAAAAAAATTGCTTTGGCCGAGTACAAAAATTGTTCGAGAGGTTTCTGGAGGTTAAAAAGTTGCTGAAAACTTAGCGAAAACTGTTATAAAGCTTTTTCTCAAGAAATACAAAGAAAATGGTCAGTCGGACAAGATAAAGCCTACGAACTTCTTAAATTATTTTTATAACAACTTCTAGTTAGTCTGTTTTGATCACTTCTCGCTTTTCTCTCATCTCCTATTCATTTGCCATCGAAGTTTGCTGGTGATAACATTGCTTTAACTAAGTTTAAATATTCTTAGTAATTCATTTTTAAGTCAAGTGATAGTAAAAAGGAAAATGTCAAAGACTTCAGTGTGTATTGTTGGATCTGGTAACTGGTAAGTTGATTAAAAGTGAATAAGTACAAGATTAATTCCTTGGTGCCTCGTGTTAATCTTGTTACGTCTTAAGGATAGCTAATAAATTAAACAAAAATTTAATTGACTCATTAATCATCCTTGGATGACATAACAAATTAATTCTGAAATTTTTTGCTGCGTAAATCTACTAACCCGATCATTGATCCACAACGATATTTTGGACAACATTTCCATCTATTTGTACTTGGGTAGAAAGATTTTTGATAAAATACGCTAAATGATTAAAGTCCATAATTTTGTTAGCTACGGATGAGCGAGAAAACAATTGTATGTGAAAATATATTTCAAGGCCACCAACAAGGGAAGGGAGGAAAATGCACGAGTGCACGAAAATGGGGAAATAGAAAAGTTTTATGCAACTGTCACTTATGCAATTCTTCCCCATTCTTAAACCGAGACTTTCAGTCTGCTTTTTTCAATGTCAATAACGATTTTTAGTGTCATACGATAAATGAATTAATAAAATTTTCTTTTAAACTTTCAGGGGCTCGGCCATTGCCAAAATTGTCGGAGTAAATGCAAAGAGGTTGCCACAATATGAAGGTAAATTACTGATTTTGTAACAAATTAAAAAAAGAAGAAACTAAGGTGCATTATGCATTTTTTTTATCAAACAGACCGCGTCACCATGTACGTTTTTGAGGAGATGATCGAAGGCAAAAAACTCACCGAAATCATTAACACCACTCATGAGAATGTCAAGTATTTGCCAGGACATAAATTACCAGAGAATGTCGTAAGTAAAATTGTTTTTTTCTCAAGGTCCTAGAAATGTACCAAATTAAGTTCATCTTGTGTTTATGAATCGGCTGATGTTTGATATCGTGCCAATCATAAAAAACTTAATGCCAGAATTGAATTGTTACGTCTAACAAACAACGAGAAGATTTAAAAAAAACTTTCGATGCAAACAGCTGAAATGAAACAAAATCAATATGCGACCATGATAATAAGGTCATGGTCAAAGTGAGTGAAAAAAGGAACGGAAGAAAAGATGTTGATAAACAAGCAACATGTTAGTTACAATTTAGTCAAATAGTGATAGAAATTGTCAACAAATATTATTTAAAAATATTAATTATAAACATTAGTTAGTTGATTATTCTATAGATTTTTGATTATTTCTTGTTCAAAGTGCTTGAAATGTGATAACATTTCTCTTCCTTGTGTTTATTTTATTAGCCATTTTATAATGGATGCGATTATCTTTCAGACTTGTGTAACACGATACACTTGTCTTCATTTAATTTCTGTCTGATTGGAAGAAGAAAGAAATTTGTTATCAGGCAGAAACGTTAATGGATTTACTAGAGGCAAAGGTCTTTCAAGACTTGTTCACATTCAAAATTTAAGGAATGGAAAGTTTCTTTGATCGTTTCAAGGAAGGTTTAGTTCTTGCTTTGTTCTTGATTCAAAGAACTTTGTGTGGTCAGGTTGTAAATAAACTCTTAAAAAAATAGAAATATTTGTTTTTGTGTTTGGAATGTGGACGTAAAATGAACAAAAAATGTATTGAATGGTTGATAATCCATAACATGTCAACATGTTTGAACTGAACCAATTATTCAAGTTGTTTTGAGAAAAAAATAAAATTTCTTGAACAAATTATTTCAAGTTTATTTTATAAAACATGAAAACGATTATGAAATCATTTGACAACACAAATTGTTGTTCTTCTGGTTTAGTTTTTACATCAAACAAGAATTTCAAATGCTTTTTAAATATCAGCAGTAATAGGTTGATAAAAGTTAATCACATTTTTTTCCTGATAAACTTCCACTTAGATAAAATGTAATTTACTAGCTTTGACCTCACCGATTTGATTGTTTCTGATAAAACTTCTAAGCTATAATTTGTTTCTCATGTCATTCCCCAACTGATGGAAGTTACGTGTGACTAAAGTTTTTGTTTTGACTTTTCTAAACATGCAACTTGCAATTTCATTGAACATCACATAAAAATAAGAGAACAACAAAAGTTTTGTTTCTCTATTTTAATTTCAAGTTCAAGTTTTATTTTTAGTCGATTAAATTTTTCATTTTACACAAATTTGAAATTGTCTTTGCGAGGAGGAAAACAAGAAATTAATTTTTTTATCAAAACTTGACACTTTGCCAACGCAACTGAGACAATTTCTCTTTTCATGACAGGATCTTAGATGAATTGTTGACATTAACCTTAACTCTTCTCATTCTTTCTTACGCAGGTTGCTGTTCCCGATGTCGTCGAAGCGGCTAAAGATGCTGACATTCTCATCTTTGTTATTCCACATCAATTTATTAAGGGCTTGGGAGCTCAAATGGTTGGAAAGATTAAGTCATCAGCTATTGGCTTGTCATTGATCAAAGGATTTGATGTTGCTGAAGGTGGTGGCATTGAATTGATCTCACACATCATCACCAGGCATCTTCAGGTAAATTACACATTAAACAGTCAAATATTTGTAGATTTATTAAAGAATTTTTTAGATTCCATGTGCTGTCTTAATGGGCGCTAACTTAGCCAATGAAGTTGCCGATGAAAAGTTCTGTGAAACCACAATCGGTGTCAAGGATCAAAAAATGGCTCCAATTCTTCGCGATCTTTTCCAAACACCAAACTTCCGTGTTGTTGTTAGTGACGATGTTGATGCTGTTGAAATTTGCGGTGCACTTAAAAACATTGTCGCTTGTGGTGCCGGATTTGTTGATGGGCTTGGACTTGGAGACAACACTAAAGCAGCCGTCATTCGATTGGGTCTTATGGAGATGATTAAGTTTGTTGATGTCTTCTATCCGGGAAGTAAACTTTCGACATTCTTTGAAAGTTGTGGAGTTGCTGATTTGATCACAACTTGCTATGGTTTGAAGTGTTGTTGGAAATCTCTGAACTGAAAGTAAAAAGTTTTTGTTTTTAGGCGGTCGTAACCGTAAATGTAGTGAAGCTTTCGTTAAGACTGGAAAAAGCATCTCTGAGCTTGAAAAGGAAATGTTGAACGGACAAAAGTTGCAGGTAAATAAATGCATAAAATAATTGTTGGTGACATTGATTGATGGAAATTTTATTTAGGGACCCATCACTGCTGAAGAAGTCAATCACATGTTAAAGACAAAGAACATGGAAGAGAAATTCCCTCTCTTCACTGCAATTCATCGCATCTGCACTGGGCAAATCAAACCAACACAATTAATTGACTGCATTCGTAACCATCCTGAACACATGTAAGTCTTTAACAACAAAAACGATTTTTATTTTCTTCTTCTTCTTGTCCGTAAGTCTTTTTAATTTTCCTGTCAACTTTTCCTATTTTCCGTACAAATGAAAAAAAATTATTCTCTTTTTTCTTTATTATTAATTGCATTTTCGATTGGCATTTCAATCTTCCTTTTCTGTCTATTATTTTAATCCGTGACTGATAATTTATGTACCTTGATATGTTACAACTCTTGAGATGTTTATTAGGTAATAATTGTTGATAGATGAAAACATTAAAAATGATATGAACAAAATTTAAAGAAAGTTAGTTAAGGTCGAATGCAAATTTATTTTAAGAAAAATTTAAAATTGAGCTTAAAGGTGATGGAATGTTACAAATATTTGATTAGGTAAACAATTTTTCGGATTTAACATTTTCAAAATATTGTAAGAATGAGTAAAAGAAAATTTTTCTTCAAGACTAAAACTTCTTGTGATGAAATAATAATTTAGTTTCAAGAGAATCTTCATTGATAAATTGACGACTCATTTTTATTAGAAATTTAATATATAAATATCTAAGACAAATTGGCTGCCAAAAAAATTCTGATTGTTTAAGATATTAAAAATTATTTTAGATTTTCAATGCAATCATATCATGATTAAGTTTTGAATAAATTACAAGGACAAAAGGTTGTTAGTTAAATTTATAAATAATCTGAATTTGCCCTTAAAAATTGGATTAAATTTGTAAACTGATTGGAACTGACTGGCAATCTTCAAATGAAAATCAAGGAAATTTTTTGATTTTATTGACTTGAAACGAAATTTATTAAAGACATGAAATTTAAAAGTAGTTTAGTTAAAGAAAATGCGGACATTATTTAGTCGTAAATGCACATGGTTAGAGGAGAAATCTATTTTTGCCTGTAGGATGTAAACTTGTCACTAATCGCTGTATGAATAAAAATAACGTAAACTAAAACAAAAATAAGGAATCGTAAATGCAATTTCTTAAATAATATTTTTCACATCACAATTCATTCCTTCTCTCATCACAAACTCCATAAAAACTTCATTTCATAACTATAGTCTAGTTTACTTTTTAAATCTATTTCAGATTCAATTCTACTTGTGCATAAAAATATTTTATTATTTTCTAGGCAAGAAGAACTTAGTTTGATTAATTTCTTTTTTCAATGAACTGCTTGCAAGCTTCTTTATTTCTTTGCACTTTTGATTTTAAAATTTATTTATAAGTTTAGATATGTATTTATTTAGTTATTTATTTTGATTGTTTTATTGGTATTTTGGCTTTGAACAAAAATTTATTTTTAAAGAAGTGAGTGAAGTCTAATGTCTGGCTTAGAATTGGAAAAAGAACGAAATTCATTTCTCTAAATTATTTTATTTCTTCTCGTTTATAGGGATTGTTCCGATGGCTTTGCCAAACTATAAAAAAATTGATCATCGTAACGCAATTGTCATTCATGAGTTTCATGAGCGCAAATCATGCCATACATAAGTTACATTAACCGATGATTGGATTTATTATCAGCAGCATATAAAAACTGATAATTGGAAATGATTTACATACAAGACTGCTTATTCGGAGGACAATTTATGTCCAACAGGAATTTCTATGCTGCTGAGAAAGTTCTTAAAAATTTTACATTAAGAAAATTTATGTTATTATGTTTATGTTCAACTGTTATTCTAACAAACCGAAAATTTTATATTATCATATGGACGTTTGAATTATTTGTATGAAGTTACATAGGTAAGCGTAAAAAGTGTTTCTATGTGTAACTTAAGCTTCTCCCATGCAAATATTCGAAGGACACCAAAGGCACTAAAGAAATTTAGAGACAAATCACATGAAACCAAAACGCTTTCCTGAGTGGAAATATTTTCAGTTGAGCTATCATTTAAGTGTTCATTTGATATTAATTATTTGAATTTGTAAGAAATGTTTTTAAACTTTTCAGTGTATGTGATTGGAATAAGCTCTAAAGATTTATTTTTTGAATTTTATTCTTTCGCAGGCAACAATTCTAATCTGTTTTAAAAATTCCAAAAGATTCTTGCGTTAAAGACATGTACGCTAAGCAAGAAAATATTTTCTTGGACTTTTATTCTCATTATGGAATTGAAAGATTTTGAAAAGCTCCGAGTTTAGACACTAAATTTATATTATTACTTTAGTTCTTTATTTTGAAAGTTTCAATAAAAGAAAAATTTGACAAATGAAATAATTATGATTTTTAAGCTTCCATTTATATATTTTGACATGTTATATTTACAGAAAAGCTTTTACAAGTGTTTTATAGACTATGAATTGGTTTGTAACATTTTTTAAAAATTGTTACGAATATCAAGTCGTTTTGTTTGATTTTAAAAGTTTCGTATTCCACTTTGTTCTAAACACGTTTATCTCGGAGTTACTAAAAATCTCGGAGTTAGATTAAAACCTTTATTCGGTCTGCTCAGAAATTACTACTAGGGCATCAAACTACAAATCCAATTTAGATCTTAGTCTAACCCCAATTCCATATTTAACATTTAAATCCAATCTTCAAAATATTTTTAAATAAAAAGTGGCTAGCCCTTTGGCAATAGAAATTTAGATTCTTGTCTCAAAATCTTTTAATTTTCATTTGAAAGGAATCGTCGTTTAAGCGACAAGATAACCACAAGGATGCCTAGTTCAGATCCGCTGCCACCGAAAGAGAATGCAATTTTCAGGAAAATTCTGGTGAGAATTATAAAATTTAAGAGTTTTGTTTTTCTACGAAATTTTAACTTTCAACGAGGAGATAAAAACAAACTTTTCGGCATCATTATAATGCCGATAAAAGATAAATATTTTTTTATCTCTCGATTGATCTCAAACATTGGTATTTCATGTTACATTCAATGATAATTTGTCTCATCAAATATCGACACTGCTTGAATGAATCTTTTCGAGGTTAGACAATATTTTTTCCTCCATAATCCAATCATAATTTCTTTCAGAAATGTTACGAAATGAAACAGTACAAGAATGGTCTGAAATTGGCAAAACAAATACTTTCAAATCCCAAGTACACTGAACATGGTGAGACACTTGCAATGAAAGGATTAACTTTGAACTGTCTTGGAAGAAAAGATGAGGCTTACGATCATGTTCGTCGCGGTCTCAGAAATGATCTCAAATCTCATGTATGCTGGCATGTTTACGGATTACTACAGCGATCTGATAAAAAATATGACGAGGCCATTAAGTGTTATCGTAATGCATTGAAATGGGAGAAAGATAACATTCAGATTCTAAGAGATCTGTCGCTTTTGCAGATTCAAATGGGTGACCTTGAAGGATATCGGGTGAGTAGATTTGATAACAATAACTCAAAATGTGCAAAAAAATTAATTTAGAAAAATATTTTTAGGAAACTCGACATCAACTCTTTAAACTTCGTCCATCGCAACATGCATCGTGGATAGGATTCGCTATGAGTTATCATCTTCTCAACGATTTCGAGACAGCCAACAGCATCCTTGAAACATTCAGAACATCACAAACCGTAGAGAATTATGACTACAAACATAGTGAGTTTCTTTTGTATCAAAATCAAGTGCTTCAAGAGTCAGGTGATTTAGAGAAAGCACTGAAACATCTTGAAGAACACCAAACGCAGATTCTTGACAAATCAGTTGTGAAAGAAACGCACGGTGAGCTGTGCCTTAAGATGAAGCGTTTTGATGCGGCTGTGCCATTATTTATGGATCTCATTCGTCGCAATCCAGACAACTCAAAATATTTCCATAAATATTTGGAAGCACGTCAGCTCACCGATTCTGCTCAAATTATTCAATTCTATAAAGAAATTGCGGCTGAATTTCCATCTTCATTGTGTGTACAAAGATTACCGTTGGATATTGCACAAGGCAATGCTTTTGAAGGATTAATGAATGAATATCTGAAGAAGAATCTTCGTAAAGGTGTTCCGCCTTTGTTCGCTAACGTTCGTTCATTGTATGTCGATCAATCAAAAGTCGCAATTATTGAGAGACTCTTACTGGATTATTTGGCAAATCTTCCATCGATTGGATATTTCACCAAAGCAGATCAAGAAGCTGGTATGGCACGTGAGCCAGCATCAGCTCTTCTATGGACTTACTACTTCCTTGCCCAGCATTACGATTATCAACGAAATAGTTTGAAATCCTTAGAATTTGTTAATTTGGCAATTGAGCATACGCCGACATTAATCGAGCTTTTCGTTGCGAAAGGAAAAATTTATAAACATAGCGGCGATCCCATTGAAGCATATCGACAACTTGATGAAGCTCAATCGCTTGACACTGCTGATCGTTATATTAACTCAAAATGCGCTAAATATATGTTGAGAGCAAATAAAATCAAGGATGCTGAAGAGATGTGTTCAAAATTTACACGCGAAGGTGTATCAGCAATGGAGAATTTAAATGAAATGCAATGTATGTGGTTCCAGACTGAATGTGCACTCGCTTATCAACGAATGGGACAATGGGGTGATGCATTAAAGAAATGTCATGAAATTGATCGTCATTTCGCAGAGATTATTGAAGATCAATTTGACTTCCATACATATTGTATGAGAAAAATGACATTAAGATCATATGTTGATCTTTTGCGTTTAGAAAATCGTCTCAGGGATCATCCGTTTTATTTCAGAGCTGCCAAGTGTGCGATAGAGGTGAGAAATTCTTTTCCATTGCTCTGATTTATGATGACAATAAAATTTTATTATTTTATTAGGTTTATCTTAAACTTTTCGACGATCCATTACAAGCTGATTCTTTGACTGAAGAAGCTGACATTGGTAAGTTTACTCGAGAGTTTTTTTTATCAACATTTCTATCATAATTTCATTTGTACAGAAAACTTATCACCCGCTGAACTTAAGAAATTACGTAATAAACAACGAAAAGCAAAGAAAAAGGCAGAATTAGAAAATGCTCAAGCAGCAAAAGCTGAAAAGAAGAAAGAGCAATACAATAAATCAAGACAACAGCAAAATCAAGATGGAGATCCAGAAGCGCCAGTATTGGATGAATTGATTCCAGAAAAGCTTGCAAGAGCTGAAGATCCACTTGGGAAGGCAATTGAATTCCTTAAGCCACTTCAACTTCTTTCTCGTGGATTAATTGAAACACATTTGCTGACATTTGAGATTTATTATCGAAAGAACAAATTGTTAATCATGCTCCAAGCACTTAAACGTGCCTATGCTATCGATTCAAATAACGCGACACTTCATGGTTGCATCGTACGATTCATTAAACTGCTAGGAAAATGTTTGGCTGGTGCCAATGAATATGTTCGAATTGTCATTCAACGTGAAATTGAGACAGATTTGCCAATTATTGGAAAGTCGAATAAGATTGTGAATGAAGAATTTATAGCAAGAAACAAAGACTCGGCTGAGGCTCTCATTGCTGGTGCTCGTGTTTATTATGATGATTCATCTGACAACAAAACCAAAGCAATTGAACTTTTAATGTCATCTACACATTTAAAATCATTTACATTGTCGGTAAGCTATCAAAATTGTTTTAAAATATTAATTTATGGAAATTAATTATTTTTGATTTAATTTATTTACAGCATGCTCAACTCATTTACAGTCTGTTAAAGAATGGCGCTTTCGGAAATAACGAGTCAGATACCGAAAAGTTCCTTGAACGTTGTCGCGAATTGTATCCAATTGCAATTGATTTTAAGCCCTTTACAAATGATTCGACGCCGGATAAGATTGAAACAAATGACGAAAATGCTTAAACAAGAAACGGAACACAAGGAAAATAATAAATTTAGGAAAGTTGTTTAAAACGTGTGTAGTTGAAAAAAGGGTGAAAATTTTTCTTCATAATCTTTCTTTTCCATCCATTTTCATGAAATTTCTTTTTAAAACAAATTGCAACTTAAACTCGAGTGTTTCGTTGGCGATTTAAATGATGAAGTTTGTTGTAACTGAAACTTGTAGAATAATCAAAAATGAAGAATGATAAAGGAAAAAAGAAAACAATCTGCTTCGACAGATTCAATTTCAAGAAATTTCTTTTTTTTTACTGTAAGATGGCAGCAGGAGTTAGTTTCATGATGACTTTTGATGATTGATGATGATTTAATAGCAACAACGTATGTAACTCTAAGTTTTAACTTTGGTATCTACATTCGCACGGATTTGACCTTCCATACAAAGTGCAATTAGCAAACTATTTCTCCGTGCGAGAAATTTCTCCGTGCGAGAAAAGCACAAACAATTTCAATCAGGTAACTCTCAATTTTCAAAAAAATGATCGTTAAACTTGTTATTATTTCATGCGAACTTCATGACAACTCTATAAATAGATAACTTTGATCAATATTGGATATATTGAGATAGGAAATGTCACTGATGAAAGAGCTCCATAAATTTCCATAAATTCACTTAACAGGAAGTTTGAAAATTTAAAAAACCGCCTCCACAAAGTCGAACATTTCTTTTTTGACATCTCCAATATTGGTAACGATGTGCTTTGAAGTAGTATTTATCGAACATAAATTCATATGCTGCGCAGAAATTCTTGTTAAAATTAATTTAAAATAAATACTCGATAATTGAACAAATTCTTAGATTTCTATGTTTTATTGAAATGTAGCTGCAAAAGGAACCCAAAAAAGTTTAACTCAACAATTTGCCATCAGTTTTATAAAATCAGGAGCAGGGAAATCATATGCTGAACCTTAGGATGAACATTAAAAAAAAAGATCCAGGAACATTCCATCAAAGTAAACGAGAAGTCTATATCAAGTTTTGTTTGTTAGATTCACGGATAAAATGGACAAACAAATTTTGTGTAATTAATCATAAAGATCCATTAATCAAAAAAAAAAAATTATTGAATGTACGAGAGTTGACAGGATTAAATATTTCTGATTTTGAATTTTTCTTTTTGAGGCAGTCACCTTATTGTGACTTATAAAATGTGGAATTCATTAATTGATGACATTGCATTTATTCCATAAAGAAGAAAAAAAGCTCAGAATTTCCAGGGTTTGCAGAAAGGAAATATTTACCGTAATTGCTTTTCAACAATAACAGGAAATATTTCATTTAAGCTTAACATGTTCAGGGAAGAAAACATTGAATTGCTATGTCATCATTCGGGATATAAGTTACATCGTGCGTTTGTTGTGTGGGAGTTTAAAAACGTTGATCACATGATAAGATTGCTTTTATATCAAAACCTTGACAGAATGAATATAATTGAATGATTTGTTTTCTACCCACTCAAAAAATAACAGAAAAAAAACAATCTCGACTAGACATATAAATGTTACAATTAGAAAGACAATCCAGACAACAATTATTTCATCTTTAACAAGCGTACGAGTGACTTGAAGCTTGAAAATTTTTCGCCATGGGGCGAAGGATGAAAAATGCGCTAATAATGATAATCGATGACAACAATAATAATGCGAGAAAAATCAATTTAATCTTCATGTTAAAGATTCTCTTAAAGCTTTTATCGTGACAAGAATAATGATGATTTATCGTCATAAGCCATAAGATTGCTTAAAAGATTTCAAATTGAGGTTGAATAATTGATTTAGGAAACTTTTTTTTTGTTTGATATATAATTGACTTGAAAAGCCCTTCGACTGAATTGACCCTCAAAATTGATTTGTTTGCACTTTCAAGTGCCCCACACCATTGTTTGTCCATTGATGAGAATATATAATTTTCACCTTTATTACGGATGGAAGTTATAGCTGTGAAACCTGTTGATAAGAAGGAAAGCAAAAGGAAAATTCTCGCTTTTCGTTTTCAGCTCAGTGTCATTTATCAAAAAAGGCACTAAAATGTTTACGCACAGGCAGAGCAAAGAAAGAGATTTCTTATTCAAGAGCTTTCTCCCATGCTTGGATATCTCGGGGTCTTTTTATTATTTCTTTACTTTTTTTTGCCGTACTCGCCGTCGTTCTCCTTTTGATGATAAATCATCGCACTTTTATGGCATTTATCGTCGCATTAAAGGAAGAGGGGGAAAATAAAAGAAGAAATTTCTTTTTGAGTGAAAGCAAGCCATCGATGAAAAGGCATTAGATCGTATTGTGCTATTGTCACATCAAGCTCAGTCAATACCAAAACTCATCTGTTGTCTTCATGAGCTCTTGAACATCTAATCTTGTGAATTTTTTTTTTCTTCTTTACATTTCCCCATGTCTTCACTTCCATTTTCATCATTCATCACGATGTCGTCGACTACGGTGAAACCTGAAAAAGGCTTTTCATATATTTTATTTGGCTTAGTGACGCCAAAAAAGGAGAGAAATAATTCTCATACACACAATTGAAAAAGAATACAGCGAAACAATATTGTGACGAGGCAAGGAAATTTTATGACACTTGTTTAGTACTTTTTTTAATGGAAAATTCCTTTGAGATGAATGAATGTTGCGTAACAAATAAATCACGAGATTTTCGCCGAAAAAAAAAATCAGGTGGAATCTTAAAAGTTTTCTTATTGCGTCGAATAAAACGTAAAGATTTATTCCACACTTCAATAAGAGAGGAAGCTGCTTCAAAAAAATTTCTTTTTATAACAATTACAATATATTCATACAAAACTTATTCAAAAGAATGTTTAAAGCTCTTGGCCAACAATAAATCATTCGACAGCTAATAAAAAATTAGAGGGAAATCGTCGTCAAATGTATTTTTGCGGTTCTTTTCATAGTTTGCACATCTGCTTTGAGTTTTCTTTGAGGCACGATTTTATCTGTGCGCTCGTGTTTGTTAATTTGACCCGTTCTCGGCATCACTTTTTCTCATCTGTGCGTTATAAACTTTGAAAAATCATTTAATGTTGCTAAGTATAATTTTTAACGTCACAAACTTTGTTTTATTAGCACGAATTTTCATCACTTGCGGTTTTTCATAACCATCATCATCAAAACGTTGTCCTAATTATCATCGGTGATTACATTTCATGAATTTCTCGATAGAGCTCAATTTCATGAATGATATTATAAAACTTCTTCCATTACTGAGCTATGGTTCCATCTTCTATCATCATCTCAATCATATTTTGTCGGCTATGCTTCCTGTTCAGGAGAGAAATGAAAAATAAAAAGACGAAAAAGAAAATCGCTGGCGCTGTGAATGTGGATGAAAATAAATTGCAAAACAAATCATAATATTTCTCTCCATCTTCTTGTTCAAATATATATAATTCCAATGGAAAAAAAAGATGAAAATTATGGAAAAATATGTTGTCTACGTGCTGGCATTTTGTTTTCTAAAACTTTTTCCTCCCCCGCTTCAATTTCTTGTTAAACTTCAACGAACAAAAGTGTCATTAGATGTTCAATTTAGTATCGATTAAATATGAAACGCATTTTCGTTTTTCCTGTCTCACTATGTGGTATTTGTTAAATGTTATGTTGAAAAAGTTCAACGACAGACTTGAACGATGACCTCATTTCCTTTCTTTCTTTTTATCGTAACTAATGATTTCCATTCATGTAATGTCTGGTCTTAATCAGGTAGAAGATTTATTATTGTCAAAATAATATCCTACATCGTGTTTTCTCATTCAACATCATCACGCCCACACTAAAGCAACACAATAAGTCAGTTCCAGGCATTTCAAACGCACAGAATCACGACGCCATCGAAACAAGATGAATCTGTTTTAAGCAGCCAAACTTTGCTTTCTATTTTATTACATCAATTCAACATGAATTTTGCCTTTTGCCCTAATTTTCCAACCGTTCAACGCAGAGTTTAATCTGAGACAATAGGCGTGAAATTCCAAATCAACAACCCCGAAAGATATAAGTTAGAGAAGCATGTAGTTACAAATGTTTCTAATGGTGTGTGCATGTAACTTCATTAAGCTTTCAATCAACTGAAAACAAACGATTCAAAGTGTCTTGTGTAGCTTTTCTGCATCTTTTCCTTTCTTCTTCTTAAACATTATTTTGAATAGAAAATCCTGAAAGATTATTTATATTTATTTTATCTTGTTCAGCGATGTTGGAACATTTTTCATTTGGTAAAATGGTTTTTCATTCTTCTTTTCTCTTCTTTCTTATTTTCTTTGTTATTAGATATTCAAGTCAAGTTGAGATTCTTATTGTGCGAAAGAAGAAAGAAGACAGAAAGCATTGCTGAAAATCTTGAAGCTTTTAAACATTATAAATCGCACTTGACGATGAAGAGCCGTCCGAAAAAAATTCGTGCTTGTGGATTCCGATGCTTAGTTTTATTTCTTTTTTTTTGTTCCCTTGGAAGCTCACCAGTAATTCGTCTTTTTCTTTTGTATTTTACTTTAATACACTCTGAAGACTGAAGCCCATGATCCGTTAATCTTTTTCAAGACGACGTGCGTCTACATATCTCCTACTGTGTATAGTCTGCCAGAATCATAATTTTTCTAGCAACACATCCACTTACTACTACTTACTAGCCACTTGAATTGATGGCTCCGTTTTATTTATTTGCCTTATTCAATGTTTCCTTTCTTTCTCCTTCTCAGCTTGTGTCCGCAAGTGATTGTAATTTGTTAACCATTCTATTACAGCAAATTAGTCATCTCATGTTTCCGCCACTGTTCATTAAGGCAGAAACACATGACTGTCTAATGAAACAATAGAATAAGAAAGGAACAAATTAAGTAAAGAGCTTTTCATATGATGAGTTTTTACGCCTTTCTTCTATTCCTTCTTTCGATTCGTTTTCCCTCTCGCCTCGTAATGAATTTCTTGTATTATTTATCAATTTCAATCTTGGAGTTACCTTCATCCTGGCTTTCTTAGTCACAAGAATTTTCTTCTTTTTTCCTTAGAAAATTTTAAATTAAACTGATATAAAAAGTGAAATTTAGGGATGGCAAATTTATTTATTATTCAATGTGAAATGAAGAAGAAGAAGGAAGGCATTTGATATTAAGGTTGCGGGTTGTAAGGCAGTAGCTTGAGTTTTATGGAGAGATTGAAGAAAGCAGAAAAAAGCTGTTGGCTTTGAAAAGTTTTCGTTGAAAAGTTTTATAAAAAATTAAAACTTCGGGCATGGATTGGATATCTGAAAAGAAGAAAAAAAGAAAAGTTAAAGGCGAAGCAATTGTAAGTATCGTCACGTCTATAAATCATCTTGTTTTCAAACAAAAATTGAACATGAAAATCTAATTGATAACAAACAACGCTTGTATGTTATAAATTTCGTTAAATTTTCAAAAATTCATGAAGTTTTCTCTTCGAGATCATAAAAAAAGTTTAACAGTACAGATTTGTACGATATTGTGTTGATTTCAGAATGTTTTACAGATATTTTTGAAATCAGAAAAAGAAATACTTTCTTTTTCTTCGTGTTTCTTTCTCTACTTTGAGTCATCGTTAAATCACCCTTAAGCTGACAGAAAGCATCGAATGATTTAATAAATTCTTCGTCTTCTTTTTTCCTAAAACCAATCGATGAACGAAAAAAAGTTTCTTTCATTTCACTTCATTCCAACAACGAGCGAACTGTATACTTATCTACAAGAAAAATTTCTTTCTTTTTATATTTGAATAAATAAATCATCATTCTTCGCTTCTTGTATAAATTTCCATCATTCATGAATCTCGAAAACGATCGTTCAAAAGCCATTAGAATTTTGTTTTTTCTAGCTTCATTATATCCAATTTGCTTCATTTCATCTTTGAGTGGCGGCCACAAATTTACAACTCAATCCCGTTTCGACCCATAAATTTGAAGACAACTCAAACAATGAACGATGCGCGTTTCATCAAATTCAAATTGCATCCCATGGAAGCAATGAATAGTTTCGAAACATCCAATGCAATAAAATTCCACACCCACACGTTTCATTTGCTGGATTCCGTACTCATTTCAATTTATTATTAAATTATTGAGTCATAGTTGCACATACTTACAATTTTCCACAATTCAATTTCAACTTTTATATTTCTTCGAAGTTCAGACACGTATTTTGATGGTAATTTAATCTCAATAGTTATTTGAGTTAGCTTTAGTTATAAATTATTAGCATTAATCACTTTTCTCAAAACTTTCTTGTAAATAGTGGAATTAAAAATATGAAATCGATAAGTTATTCCGTTGAGGAAGTTGATGAAATATTGGAAGCACGTATATAGATCGCCAGCAATCTCTCATAAATTTAACGTGCATGAAACACGTTTCATTAAACAATGTCGGTTTCTCATACGGTTGCTTCTTGATTTTCTCTAAAGTTATATCTCTGAAATGCGTTCAATAGCACGAACTTCTAATTATAATACCAACGTTGAACTGTGAAAAAAAAACTTGAGGGAAATTTGTTTTTCCTTGGAAAAGTTATAACTTTCTTTGATAATTTTTCATAATTTTTTTTCTTCTTCAAAAACCATCGAACTCTCGCTTCATAAAAATAGATTTCGTTTTAGTAAGTTTCTTTTTTTTTTAAATGTTCCCACTTGACTATTCGACCAGAGAATGAGAAATCAAAACAAAAAGCTGTTCAGAATTTGGACGAGAATTTTTCTTACGAGGTTCATGACCTCGTCGCGTGATTAATTTTGACACGGATTTTGTGTCAGAAGATTCTGGCGCGTGCAAATAAAAACTTGGATACCTGACTTTTTATTTTATGATCAAAACATTTAAATATAGCACGACACTACCGAATGCTGTGATAACGACAGCAGCAACCAACCTACTTGTGTTATAAAAAGATTCTTTTACGTATGCTTTCTGTTAAAATTAGAAAAAATATTTTAATTTTAGATCAAAAAAGAAAAAATGAGTAAAGAGAAAATTTTTTGGTTGATTTTCAGCTGGCAATGTTACTGCGTGCGTTACTAAATATATTTAATAACAAGAAATGAAGAAATATGTTTGATAATTTTCTCTGAGTTTGAAAGGCTGTAAATATGTTCGTGTCGTAAATGAGAATGAGTGGAAAGAAATGAAAGCATTTAATGTAGAGACATGAAGTGTGCTTCCAATGATGTTTTTATTACTTCAAATAATGTTCCACTGACATCATAAAGCGTGTTCGCATCTACTTAAACTATGAGAAAATTTTAATCAACTTCTACGGTGGAAGATCGCAGAATTTTGTTTCTTCTTTCTTTAATTCATCAGATTTGTATCCATCATCGAGAATCGAGATGTAATGTTTATCTTTCCAACTCATATATCAATGAAAAAGAGGATTTTTCTTCTCTTTATTTCACTGTTTATTCGAAAACGATTTTCTACCAAAATATTCATTTCATTTTCCTTTCGACTTCAATTCACGTTCTATTTCGGATCATATAAACAAACAAGACTTTCTTCTTCTTCTCCTTCTTTTTCGTATGGAAACAGCTTAGTGAAGTTACTGTGATAATTCTTCTTTTCATTTGATTCCATGAAAGTCTTCAATCCCAAAGTACGAGGGCTGATTCAGAATAACGCAAAGAAATTAAGAAAATTTTTCAAGATCTTAAAATGATTTTGTTACGTCATAATTGATGTCTTAAATTCTTTTAAGATTCATCACATTATTTTCAGTCGCTTCCTATCATAATGTTAAATATTTTCTTCTCATTCCTGATTTAAAAAAAAAACGAAGTGAAATTACTCATAAAAGCGAACATATTTGCACAGGAAATTCTTTGGAAATTCATCTCGTATTTTCTCATCTTGATTTGAGTTCTTTTCTTCTTCTTTTTATTTTGAAAACGCAATGTTAGCATAAAAATATCAGATTGAATCGAAAAGAAAATCAAAAGTTATGGAATCAAGATTTATGGTTTATGAACTTCGAACCAATAAAAATTTATATATTTCAATGATTCGACGGGGAGAGAATGAAAAAGGAAAAGTGAAATAAAGAAATTTTTCATCGAAGGCAAACATAAAGATATTCGCTAGCATGTAGCTTTGAGTTTTTTATTGGAAATGGAACATATATAGATAACCTCATAGGAGATTGCATGAGCCTCAGCGTAAACTTTCCCCATTTTCTCAATTTGGAAACATAAACTTTTCCGCTTGTCATGGTAAAACGCTTAAAAAATCCTCGAAACAAAGAGACAGAAAAAATATTAAAAGTTAAAAGAGATTTAAGGGAGATTTGCGACAGAAACAAACAAGACACAAAACTTTGATATGAATGAGAAAAGTTTTATCCACTCTCTACTGACTGCACGCATTTCTAATGAACCATAAGTATCACAAATTCTCTGTGAACAAAGTTGCCTTCTATGAAAAATCTCTCGTGGCCACACGCTCAAGCAGTTGCTCTGAAAAAATCTCATTAATATATTAATGAATACATGGCAACCGCCGGAGATGAAAATCATCTTTTTATAGACGCGGAATTGGATAGAAATACAACAGAGGGAGAAGGCGAACTTCTGTGATGTCATGATGTATTTAATAATGAAAGGAAAATAAGCAAGAAGTAGCGAGAAAATAAAATATATAAAAAAATGGAAAATGTTTTCTATTTCTCAACTTAAGTCACGAGAAGGGGACAAAATGTAATAAATTTTGAAGATGTTCCACGAAATGTGTCATTGTGAACATAAATTTTAATCCACCTGCGTAGAATGTTTAAATTTTCAATATTTTTATTCTTGACACTCTGAAAGGTATAAATGTGCGACTTTTCTCTGTTTTACATGAAAGCATTCAAGAGAGTGACATTTAAATTGCCATCAAGAAAACTTGTCATGCTTAAACTTTAAAGTTATTGCAATTTCATCATGTTGACACATAACCATCACAAATCCCACATACTTATATTCCCATAATCCACTTCATTTAGAACATAAAAATATTGCAAATTATATCGTCGACTTTTGTTTCTTGTAACTATTCAAGTTTTTGTTGTTTTTATTTTTTATTTTTTGCACTGATGTTTCACATTCATTCACGAGAATTATGTTGCTTTTTCTTCTTGTTATTTTTCACATGCCAACTCGCTTACGCTGTTGATGCACTTAATAAATTTGTGAGCTGTGTGACATTTAAGTGTAAAAAGAAGGCTCACCGGATGTGCGTGGGAAATATAGAATTTCTCGCGTTATACTTATAGGTGGTGTAATGTAATTTGTGTAGAAATAAATCATCGTCATAAGTTGATTCTTCTTTTTATTCATATCTTGGATTTTCTCAAGTTGTTGAAACAGCACGTGATGTAAGAAAATCGATTAAGGGTGTCTTTTTCAGATTGCTGTCATCTTTAAATTTACGGTTCAGAGGGCGAATATTTTCTTCAAAGCTTAACACAGTGAATTAGTTTAATTCGCCCAACCACATACCGCAGCACATGAGCGACAGTAAAGCGGAAAAAGACAATTTAATCGATTATCATAATGTTGAAACGATGTTCATTGAAACAGGGATTTCCGTCACTCTCTCTAATGCTGATGTCATTGACGACGTTGAGGCCATGTCCGATTCTCCAACACACGTTTTCCTTTCATGCTGTGAACAATCTTCAACATAAAGAGAAGATTTGTCACATAATCGCTGTCGATATAGTCTTGAAATACCATTTTAGGCTGAAGCATAGCACGAGGTAAGGAATTTTTCATTTTCACATAAAAAAGAAAGAGAAGAAGAAGGCAAAAAAATATTTCACTGACATTTTTTAAATGAAATTTTTTCTGCAACCCATCTCACAATGAACCACTCCCACCTTTTTGATTCAATATTCTGCTATGAAATTCAAACGAATAAGTGAGAATTTCTTGTACAACAATACTAAAGACTTTCATCATGATGAGCATGTAATTTAACCAAAATTGGTAGTAAATTTTGTGTGTTTGAAAGAATTCTTCCGGGGTAATGTGAATCTTTGAATATCTCTTAAGTTAACATTCTTTAAAGTGAAACGCTTTGAAACTCCATCATACATTCGTCTATGAGAGAATTCATAAAGTCAATGAGTTTGGAAGTTGGATGGCACTAAGAACTTGAACATTACGAAACTTTTTTTTTCATCATTGAATTTTCATTTGCAAATCGGTTCAAACTTCATCCTTGGGCACTCTGAATTTTCTCTACATGTATGTAGAATGATAAGCATATTTTGTGGAAATGTCCAAGGAAATGTCCAAACAAAATGAAATCCATAGCAATTTCATTGTAATACTGATTGTGAACAAAGGAAATAGGAAGGAAATTTTCTACCATGATAATACTGTTTAATAATTTAACTGAAATTATGCGCTTTGAGGGTTGGAAAATTTTGCGAAAGCAAAGTCGGGACAGCCCATTCCAATAATTCCTTTTTATTTTGTTGAAAATTATTGTTTTTTCAAAGCCGCAATTTCCCAATTATAAAATTTCCACCGCTTCCCTATTTCTAAAAACAAGATTTCTTAAGACATCAACAAATTTCAAAGTTTTCTGGTTTAATTTCCTTGGCGCTTTTTCAAACTTAATTTAATTAATTTCTTTTTTTTTCTATGTTTGTTCCTTTTTTCGTTTTCCTTTTTTTATTGTCAGCTTGAATTCAGTTTTGGGCAAACGTATCCAGTCAGTTGTTATTGTTCCGTAGCCTTTTAGGATGATTGAAATTTTCCATTTTTATCTCAATTTTCATTCCATGAGTTTTTGTTACCCTCACATTTTCTTCCTTCGGGTGCAGGAAAACAACCGAAATCAAAAGAATTTTCTTTATTGCACTTTTAGTCGAAGCCCTCAATAGGGATGAGACAAAAATAATTTTTATTCTTCATCTGTTCATCTGTTCGATGGGGAAAAGTGCCAGAAAAAAAATCTTTTTTAATTCAATTTTCAACTTTAATGAACGTTCGACTGATCACAGAATTGGAGAATTAAATCTGAATCTGTTTTCCACGACACGCGACGAATAACTGAATCATGTTTTCTTGTGTTTAAGTCAGAGATGAAGCTGAATCTCACTTTAAGTTTTTAGGAATTTTCCTCTCCTTTCTTTCATTTACATAGGAAAGAAAGAAAAAAATCTCAGATTTTTCAAACAAAAATAAATAAAAAAAATTAATACTATTGAAAAACTTTTCTTCTTTCTTCGACGTTACGCGCTTCTAATGTGGTAGTTTTAATATTTCCTCATCTAAAAATAAGTGAGTAAGAAACCCCAAATAGTGTACTGCAAGCGCTATGGAGAGCGCTGTGGAGTGTTTCCGAAATAACGTGTATCTGGCATTGATCTGCTTCGTTACGGTTTTCCGCATCTGTTTAGTGTAATCATCGACTTCATTATTCGTTAATTAATTAATGACGGGAGGCGAGAGCAGAGCTGAAAAAGACTTTTAACGAAAAGAAACAAAAGATGCTTCCATAATGAGATTGCTATTTATATTTTATAAATGTTGTGTGGGCTTCACAAGGGCAAATTAAGGCAACGTAATTTTCAATCTTTGCCCTCTTCATGCGTCTTTACATTTTTTTCCTTTCTTTAAACAACACATAACTCAACACAAATGTTTACAATAACTTCTAAGGCTTACTTGCTGCTCTCTCTCTTGCTGCATGATTTCTTTTCTTTATATTTTTATGAATCGCATACGTAAGAAGGAAATATTAAGCTGAAATTTCTTTATGAAAAAAAAAGAAAAATTTTTAAAAGTTTTTCACTTTTCTGCTTCGTACTTAAACTGAAGAAAAGAAAAATGTAAGAAAGAAAAGTTTTTTTCGAATAGAAATCGGTTCATTGAAAGCAGAAAGTCTTTAAGAAATTAATGACGCATTCTAAAGCAATTGAATATCTATTATTCAATTTCTGAAATCAACATTATGGGCAGTTAAAGTTTTCGTTTCCGTTAATTAATAATTAATCATTTTCGAGCTACTTCAACTTGATTGTAGAAAGAATCAAGAAACTTGATTCATACTAACGTAGAATTCATACAAAAGTAAATTATTAAATTAATTCTCAAGCTACTGATAAGGGAAAAGTGATTTAAAAATTATGAACTCACATCCTTGGTCTTTAAAATGAATTAAAGAAAATTCACAGCCATAGGGAAAATTTTCCTCTACAAATTTGAAAAAATAAATTCTGTAATAAAGTCTGAAGACGAATCGAATGAAGATGGAAAACTTTTATAATTTCTTTCTTCTCTTTCTCCCTCAAACTCAACATTCAGAGGCAAAATGATGAAAGTTTTCAGATGAAGAAAATATTAAAAGACGAAAACTGATTGTGAAGAGAAATGAAAGTGCAAAAAGTTCATCAGCATTGAGAAATTTATCGTAGTAGAATTAAATACGTGCGAAAACTATAAGAGCATTCAATGAGATGCTTTCAACAGGTACCTAAAGGAATTAAGACTGTTTAAGACGAGCCAGGAATGCTTAACTAAAGTGTTCGATAAATGAAGAACCGAAGAAATTTCGCTTATTAATTCGCCTCGAGATTTTGTTCCATTTAATGTACTCTCGACTAATGAACTTCACTTAGCGACTTTCATTTGATCGCAAATTGTTTTCATGGCAAATTAAATGTTTTCTTTTGTTGAATTTTAAATTAGATACATGTTTATGCAGAATAAAAAAACGATGCGATGTTTCTGAATTTTTTAGAGAGAAAATAAATTAAATTAATGTCAAGATTTGTAGGTAGATGCCTAAGGAGTAACAAAAGAAACTTGATATTTAACTTAATTTTTGTTTGGAAATATGACTGAAAGATTTACGTACAACTCATACGCATTTTCTCCACTCACACTTAAAATATTGCATGAGAAATAATCATAAAAATGTTTTCTAACAATCACTTTCCGATTACCTTTTTCCGTGTTTCTTTTAAATATTTCATCCCTTTTTGACATGAGCAATTCTTCTTACCATCACTTTTGATTTTGATGGATTTTTATTCATGCAGAAATTAACTCTTTCTTATGATTGAAATGAAACAGTCGAAAAGAATCTTCTTGCCTCTTGCAACTTTTCTTTATTTATTCAATTCGAGATATTAAAGCTGAGAACTTTAACATATGAAGATAACTCTATCCAGAGTCACGAACATTTCCAGCTTCATCACGAGATGTTTGCTTCAATAATAGATGAAGAAAGCAAAATAACAAAACATTAAGCAGCATGTGCAGGAGACAACACAAGTGTAACCGTTAACTGCCTGGAGCAGAGTTGTTGTGTGATACGTGTTAATTTCTCTGCTAATCAAATAAGGAAAATATCTTGACAACATAAGAAATTTTATTGATAATATTGTAAGTAAGTTGCAGAGTTTGTAACACTTAAATGTTATTTGAACCTTGAACAAATATTGAACTCGAGTTAAGTCATCAAAAGTATTTGTTCCACCCTAATTTTTGTCTCTTCTAAAAATAACTCATGATTAAGTGAAAGTATATTTGGACATGTTTAAAAATCCAGGAACGCATTTTTTTCATTATAAACATCTACATTTTAACAATTAAGAGAGCATTGAAAACTTTATATAAAGATAATTTGAAGATAGTTCTGTGTGTTTGTAGAATCCCCTAAAAATGCTGTTCTTATGAAGAGTTTTCTGTATTTGATTTGTTCAGGAATTCTTCATCTTTTATCATTGAACCCAATGAATAATTCGAAACTATTGAATAATAAATTTTATTGATATTCTTGCCCTTTATTTGCCTTCAAATTGTTGAGCTAACTTTGGCATTTCTTCCATATTTTAATTAATTAAAAAAGGATTAATCGATGAATGTGCCATGAAAACGTGAAAATTGTAATTGAATAACAGTTGAGTTGTCAATTGAATTGAAATGAATGAATTTATTATATCCCCCTGCAGGGGGGCCCTGCTTACTACTTATTATCAAATATGTTTTTGTTTCAAGTTCTATGAGCTAATTAGTCACAAAATTCAATTAAAACTCATTTATACAGTTAATTAAAAGTTTTAGTTTTGAAAGAAAAATTGTAGACAAAAAATCTGTTGTTCGTCGAGACTATTTCTTCTTAACTCAATAGCGAGTATCTGTTTTCGTTAAATTTACTTTTGAGTCTCTCAACAGGTTCATAACAGAAGTGGCTAACGACTTTAATGTGAAAGGAACACAAAAATCGATATAAAAAAAAGTTAAGGAACTCTTCTTCATTGTTTCTACCCGATAGACTCAACCCCGATTTACTCGTGACTAATGAACTCAATTCGGTTTGATTGTTATCAGACGATTACTCCAAAAGCGTAGAAAATCAATCGCATGGAAAAATAGAAACCGGATACAGGAAAGAAATGGCAGACAAAAGTCAGTAAAAGAATTGTAAATGATTCTAACTTTTGATCATGATAGAAAACTTTTCAGACTTTTATCGATTCTCAGAATTTTTCGTCAAGCATTTGAAGTTCTTTAGTTAACTTTTTCCTTATAGCTTCAATAATAAAAAATGAATTTATTTAATTTTACACTCAATCGAACTTGAATGTTACTTGTAATGACATTTATTGAGTGTGTCAATACCAAACATTCCATGATAATTAAAAGAACTCAATTGTTGTTTTACACTCTTAATTGAACACCTTCGCTCTAATTTGTATTTACTCTAGCAGAAAGAAAGAAATCAAAGTATTTTCAATAGAGCAACGAGAAAAAACATTTATGAAAAATATTTTCCAATTCATTTTATGCTATTCACACCATCATATTCACACATCAAATTTATATTTTAAAGGAAAAAAGATTGAAGTGTTTACAATTCGCTTTTTTCTCTTTCGATAATAAATTAAGATGATGTTGATGAGATGTGTCGAGAAAGGGGGAAAGCAGGTGTGTAGTTGGAATAAGCAATCAGATGCTTCAAATTATATAATCAAAAGTACTTCTCTGACGTCTGCAAAAAAATTTCAATCTTCTTAAAGCTCTTAAGTTCTGGAAAATATAAAATATTCAATTCGTTTCTCACAATAAGATTTGATTGTTATTTCATACTTTGCAGAATGTTATTTTTGGAACATTTTCAACAAAAATAATGATTTTGAAACTACCTAAAAGTCTCGTCACAGGAAAATGAGGATAAATAGTTAAAGTGATTTTTCTCTTTATTTATATTAAGTAACGTTACTTACAATCCTCCCCCAACTAAATGTATCCACTCTAAAGTCCAATATACATCCACATTTCACATAAGAAGAATAAAGAATAAACATTCCCATGAATGAATTTAATTTTTCACCAATAATTCTCTCAAGCTATATTTAGATTAGTAATGTAAATAGAAAGACGACTCAAGGCAAGATGATAGCTTTTTCTCATTTCCAACCTTCAATCTAATTAATTTTTGCTTAACGAACGTAGATGTGCAATGCGCTTTGTGGTCGGTCTGTGGAATCATTTGAATTCCCCAAATGTTATACATCGACATCATTTTACCAAGAAATCGAGATAGAAATTCTCTTCCAATGATTTAATTTGCGTTTTAGGTCTCGAAGCAACAAGAAGAACTTTTTTCTATCTGTTTGCTGTTCCATTTGAATCGAAAGCCTTTCTTCGACAAATACATTTGAAGGTTTACTTCTGGGTTGGAAAACAAACGAACATAAAATTCTTAGCGTTCTTTTTTTTTGATCAAATAAATAAAAAAGAAATTCTTTGATGTCGCACAATTAAATATCAAAAGTTCCTTCACGCATTTTATTCTGAATGTTCTCAAAATTCTTAAATTAAATTGAAAGCCATTAAATTTTGTTCAGCTCACAAAGGTGACAAGTTAAATTTAAAACTCTATAAGTCTTGTGAAAAGATTTCAATTTTCAATCTCATTATGAAAATTTACGCGTCTCATAATGAGAAATGCAAAGAAATGTTTCTCATTTTTTTCGCTTTTGTTGTGCTGAGTTGTCAGAAAATTTCATTTGCAGTCTTGCGTAGAAAGATAAAAAAAGAATGAGGAGAGGTGTATGCGAATGCTCTTTAATTTATTACCTGTCACTGAACCTTTCTTCTCAACTTCCTGTTCTTGTTTCACCTTAATGTAAAATAGATCAAAGTTGGGAGCATCCGGCTCAAAACATTAGCGATGATTTTGTTTTTGGGAATTCGAACAATCCTCGTGGAATTTGTTTTTAATTGCTTTGTCATGTTGATGTTTCCGTCTTTCATTTATATTTAAGATCTTAATGAGCCATCGCACCGTTGTTAAAAAGCTAGAAAGAATCCAATTTAAGGGAAGTTCGTGTTACAGAACGTCTTCGTGATGATGAATTCTCTCTTCACGGGTTTATGTGCGGTAATGATTTCAAACGATTTTCTGCTGTGAGTTATTTTGCGGTCAATTTCAGTAATCAATCAGTGAAGACTCTTCAATTGCCTTGGGAAATCCGCTAAAATGTTCTCATTGTTGCCCTAATGGCCTATTTTAGTGATTTTTTTTTCTCTTCGCAAAAAAGATGTTTAATTAAGAGAAAATTTTGGTTCATGCTTATGCCTTACATAATTACATTATTGTATCAAGAGAAGCCTGAGGTGATCAACTTTTATACAACCTCGATTAAGTAACAACACCGAAAAAAGCTTGAAAATTATTCGTTTTGCCTTGTTACAGTAATTAAAAGTAATAAAATTAAATTGAAATGGTCATTGTGAGTCGCATAAGCTTAATGTAACGCTTCTCTTTCTTCAACTTGATTGCGGAATATTTTCCACAGGGCACAGGAAAAAAAGAAACATTTTCAACATAAACGGTAAGCGTTCTATCATTTCAAGACTTTATTGAACTTTATATGTCGATAAGAAGTAATTTTCCTGCCTTTTTCTGACTCTCACATGGCCTTATAAAGCTTCATTATCAAACTGTTCAGGGATTTTTATCGCCTTCGTTTCCTTTTGTTAGTCTTTTCACTTCTATTACCGCACAATCCCGTAAATGGTCAAAAAATAGCTTGGGACGATAAGAAGGAAAATCGATAGCAATCTGAAAAAAAAGAGCGACACATTACTGGCATCAATAAATTTTCATTGTTGGTTTTCTCATGACACTCGTGATGGAATCGCTTCTATTTTTTGTTATGCCACTCACAATGTCGCCCTCATGACGACGAGCTTTATGGACAATTCCATCTGAATGTGAAACCATTAATTATTTATCCAATCCGGTAGGGAAATGTCACTGAAAATCATATGGGAAATGATATGAACCAACTTCAAGTTAATAGTAGAAAAAAAAATCATCATAAAAAACTTATTTTTTGATTCCATCACGCTTCGTGTTGCAATTTACATAGCGAATACTTTCATTTTCCTTTTTTTTATCTTTTGTTTTAATATGGCATCCATTGAAGGCTTTGTAGTAACCGGGTTTTCAAAGTCAAGTGATTGATGGTCTTCCACATGTGTACGTGGGGACAGGGGACAGGGGACCACATCGTGACTATTAAGAGTTTCAGCCTGAAATATGGAAGTTAAATTAGATGTGAAGGATGTTGGTTGGTTTTTGTGAGAACGTCCAAACCAGACGCTCGTTGAGATTGTTTTCATCATTAATAACAGATTCATTTGTGAGGTTTGTGAGAGGTTGAATGCTTGACTTGAATGAATGAAATTTCCTCCAACCACGATAGAAAATTTCTTTTCTTCTTCTTCTTCTCTTTTGCGTATTCACATTCTTTTGTTTGTAGGCGTTAAATCATCGAACTTTGATCTAAATATGAGTCAAGATGAAAATTTCTTTTCATATCAAGAAAAAGCAGAAAACAACACCTGAAGACAAAAAGCGTCTGCTTTATTTGAAGTAAATAGTAAATTGATATTTAATGGTTCAATATCAAACACCATTCATCTTTAGTGTATAAAGCCACAATGAGCAAGCAACATTAAGTCTGTTCAACAAAAACAATATGTGTTGAAATCGATTAAGATACCATCAGCACAGACTTTACTTAAGAGTCTTTTAATTACGATGGTGAAACCTTTTGAAAATTGAAACTCATAAGGTGTCCATAAATGTGGTTAATCATCTTTGTGCTTTTGATATGTCATTTTTAACTAAAGAACACTATGAAGGGGTGGGTGGGAGAATAAAAAAGGGAGCTTAATGAATTACGGTCATGACTGTCATCAACCAGTTGTTGTGTAAACTTTTTATGAAACGTTAAAGGTTCATAATGTTGAAACATTTTTCGTGTTATGTGTTTGGTTGCGTTCTTTGTGGCTTCAGTATTCAATTGACGGTTGAACTCTCTGGAGATAGATTACGAACATTCGAAATATTTAACATTTGAACCACAATGTTTCCAGCTATTTTCAATTAAAATCGTGCCAAAAAATGTTTGCGATGATAGACATCAAACAGCATTTGGCTTGCCACTGAAGGTAAATAATCCAAAATATTATAGCGATGGATATCAATGACTTAACTATGATCGGTTATGCTTCCCTTGACGCCACTGAACGAAACAATTCCACTATTAGGAAACTGAAGTTATAGAAGAAAATTCATTTCCACAAAACACTTCATAAAACACTCTAAATAAACGCTTTTCTGTGGTTATATTTCAACAATGTGCAATTCTATATGCTGGTTAACGACGAAGTTTTCGTTTTTTGGAACGAAATCAATAAACTGGCAATATCTTACTTCAACTCATGTTTCCATTGTGGTTTAGTGTTTTTATTTTTTCAATAAAACTGTTTGATAGTTTTGTGACAAATCGTCCTCTATCCTTTTTTTTTGTCATTCTTATTTTTTCCGAAATCCCCACCCACGATTTCATTTCGATTTATACAGCGGAAATGTTTTGAATTTTTTTTCACTTGGATTCGTTTTAGAATTATTGCTATCGAGATTATCTATACGAAAACTTTGTTCTTCCTACTATTTATTGATGTATATTTTGTGTTGGAAAAATGGAAAAATTGTTTTCTTTTGTTTCCACATTTACTTAGTTTTACTATGAAGTTGGATAGAAAATTTTCTTTTAAACTTTTCTTGGGATATTCCTTGGGAAGTTCAACTCATTTATCAAGCAAGCTCCATTGCAGATTGCGCTGCGTCATTTAAGTTAAAAGTTGCAGAAGTTGGGTTGTGAAAAGTCTTTCTATAAATTCGGAGGAAGAAGCTGAGTTATTAACTAATTAAGAGAATTGCTTAAGTTTCCTTATTCATCCTAATTGATCTTCTGAGGCGATGACGCCGAAGATTTGTCTAGAATTTTAGGAAGGTTACAGTCGAGTGATTTTCATCGTTTATTTAAAGCATGGTTAGAGAAATTACATCAATTTTTCTTTTCTCCCAAAAATCTTTTTTTCATTTTAGTGTGAATGGAAATCTGGAAAAATAAGGAAGAAGAAGGAAAAAAATGTAAAAATCTCAACAAAAGCTGTTTTATCACAAATGAACAGACGAGTCGTGACTTGATTACTGTTTTCAATGTTAATTATTTGCCTTTTATGCTTTTGTGATATAATTAAAGGAAAACCAATTTTTTTTACTTCTCTGAAGCATAACCCTTGAAGCTTTTCATTTTCACTCTAAAGTATCCCTTAATTTTCCATTAATCACATTAATTACACGCCATGGATATTTCTTTCCAAATTTTTTTTGAGGAAATATCATCAAAGACTTTTTTTATTAATGGGATATAGATGTAGGCGGGACCTTGGGTGGAACGAAAGCTATTTATGGTCAGATAAGTTACAAAGAAGTCTAAGGAATTTGGATTTTCACCCACTTTCAAGTCTGTTGATTAATTTATGCAATCCGTTCTCTTTCTTTGACCTTTTTTTGTTTATAATGTTAGATAAAAATTTTCATTTTTCCTTGTTGATAAAAATGCCAGTCTGAAGACCGTTCCAAGGCACATGACAAAGCTCTTGTCATCTTGGAGTCATTTAATTTTGAGACCTTCGTCGTATCGATCAGAATGTCTAAGCGGGAAAAAAGGAAGGAGGTAAGGAAGGAGATTAGAAAAAGGATTCATAATCAAAAATTCGATGTAAAGATTAAAGAGAAATTTACTGATAAGAAAAAAAACCTCGGGCTCGTTTTGAAAGCTCAAAAAGTTCTACATATGATTCGAAATGATGAATCATTTATGATTCTTATAAATTTAGATTCTACTAGAATTATTGATTTCGAATCAACTCCAAATAAAAATGTAATCGAAAAGGGACGAAAATGATGACAAAAAGAATTCACGTTCAATCGAATTTTTCTATCTATAGAGCTTCCGCTTTCTTTTTCGGC